TTGTCAAAGAAGTTGTTGTGTGATTATTACGTACACTTTAGCAGCTGTGACAGATACTGCAGTTTTAAGGTCTAAACTAAAAAATTGAGCAGTAGGCACAACAAAAAGAAAGAGGAGAACAGTTGAGTAACCTTTTGCTGGTGCCGTGTATCCTGGTCTTATTGAATGACAAAAATATTTACTGATTTTATCTAAGGAGCCATTTGCAAATAACAATACATTATTTTTCAACCCGTTGCCACAGAGCACCATGGCAGGACTAAATACAGACATCTGCCAATTAAAAAAAAAAAAAAATCAATGTGATAAATACATACAGTGGGGAAAAAGTATTTAGTCAACCTGTAATTTTTGTCATAGTTATACCCCAGGAATGAGAGACAAAAATAAACATCTGAAAATCAAATGGTTTGACTTTTTTAAGAATGTATTTACAAATTATGGTGGAAAACAAGTATTTAGTCAGAGGTCAAACGTTTTCTGTTAGTCATAATGGTTTTCACACATTGTTGCTTGTATTTTGGCCCATTCCTCCATGCAGATCAAAGCTTTTGTCTCTGAGGTATATCTACAATGACATTTACAGCATCTCTCATATTTTTAAGTGGGAGGACTTGCACAAACTCTAACATAATAACAGAGACGTAATGGTCTTTTTACATTTAGAACTTGCACATTTGGTGGCTGACTTTACGATACTTGTTTCTTACCAAGTATTGTAACAATTGCACAGACATTGGAGGGGACCGAGGACCGCGGCGGGCAGCACGAGGCTCCCCTGTTGCCATGGAAACGGGGAATCTCGCGTGGGCAGCAGCAGTTCAGATCTGGTCCACCCACTCACTGCCGGAGTGAAATACCTGGACTCTACACCCGATAAGAGGACGGAGCCACAGCTGCTGCAGTGTTGTTTGGAAAGAGATGAAAAACACTGTCCTTATTATCTTTCCAAAACAAAAACGAATTACGACAGACATTCAGTTCGATTCATAGTATTTTTTTGTTGTACCAAATGTACTAAATCACAACAGCAGTCGACACAGAAAACTTTACGAAGTTGTCAATAACAGATCAAAGAATCAAATTGTTCAAACTCAAAGTGATGGTGATTAACTTATTTCTGATAAACCCCAAATTAAAAAAATCAGAATCATAATTTTTATTTCCATTGTAAGTGACAGGAAGTTGCTTTGGCTAACAAGTAAAAAAAAATAGAAATAATTATGAGGCATGCATAAAAATAAACATTTGACAGAGCAGTTAAAGTGAGTACAAGGTGACGGTTGTAAAGGTCAGAGTTATGGTTCATGAGTCTGAGGGGACCAAAGCCTCCACTTAGTCATCAATCATTACTAAATATGGGCTAAGGCAAGGCAAATAATCACAGTACATCAAGAAGAGATAAAAAATAAACAATCCCTCAGTTGTATGCACAGCTAAACAGAACTGTTTTTAACCTGGTTTTAAACATTGTCAAAGAGGAGGCTTGTTTCACATCTTCAGGAAGATTGTTCCAGATTTTAGCAGCATGAATCTGAAAAGCAGCCTCCCCCTGTTTGGTTCTGACTCTGGGCACTAACAGGAGTCCAGTCCCTGTGCTCCTCAGAGTCCGGGCTGGTTCATATGGAACTAACATGTCACTAATATATTTTGGTGCCAGGCCATGGAGAGACTTGTACACAAGCAGAGCTGTTTTAAAGTCAATTCTCTGAGCCACAGGAAGCCAGGACCGGACTAATATGATCATACCAATTGATTTTCTTTCATAAAGGATTTTTCTATCTGGGGGAAACGTTAAAGCACAAATATACAATATAAAACCGTGGAGACAGGGAGCAGCTCATAGAAGAAAACTGAGTCCTTGATCTACAGCCTGTGGGAGCGGATCCCTCTCTGGGCCTTCCGAGGTTTCTCACTTTCTCACCGATTCGAGGGTCTAAAGACAGTGACAACATTTATGGACAGTGGTCGTCCTGCTCCCTATGGACCAATGGCTCCTATATGTTTGGTTCTCTGATCTGTTGTTGATGAATAGAGAACTTTGTAAAGTCCAAGCATAAATTCAATTAAATCTTTGAAAAAAGGCACACAATTCGAGAAAAAAAAAAATCCTTTATTTGAGGTGGCTACAGATCAGAAACATACACTTTACATTTTTACTTCATACATGTTCATTCATCTCTAACAGACTCAGCCGATGACATCTTTTCATCGTTTTGGCTAAAGTCCCATTTATCCAGAACTCTCCACGCAGGTCTCACATGCGTCACCAGTGAGTGGCTGACACATGGTCTCACATTGGGCTTCTCCACACGCACACTTAAAAAAAACATTCCACTTCTTTCTTCTTGCATTTATTCAGCAGGAAAATCACTTCAAAACATTCGAGTTACATGTGGCAAAAAGGGCTCGATTCTAAACTAAACATTCAACAGGCATTGGACAGATCTGTAATTACAGTTGCCAATAGCAACGATATTTGTAATGGGAAAAGAGCTTGTTGCTTTGTATTGTAAACATAATAGTCCGAGTCAAAAAGAGATATAAATAAAGTGTATTGTTGGTAATTAACATCCATGTAATGTTCAATTTGATGAATATTTATGAGGTTAATTGCGTGGCGCTCTCAATGTGGGAGAGTCTAAGGACAGTGATGGTCAGTGGTCGTCCCGCTCCCTATGGACCAATGGCTCCTATGCATTTGTTATTAATCCATTTCCTGTGTTCGGGCTGTTTACTTCTCTGATCTGTTGTTGGTGAATTGACAGTTTTTTAAAGTCCTCTACCTGACAGCTGTTGTGATTTAGGGCAATACAAAAAGTGAAATGAATTACATTAATATTTAGTGGTTTGAGCTTCAAGACACGTGTAGTGCATTCCTGATTCCCATTCATTTTTTGCTAATGTCCCAAATTACAAAAAAATAAAAAAATCTTTATCTGGATTGTTGCCTCTAGTGGCAGACGTGGGGAACTACATCCTGATATAAAACGGATGGATGGACGGATAATCTAATCTACCTAACATGGCGCAAAAGTAACTGAAGGCACGTAATGTGAAGAACGGTGTTTGACTTGAGAGATTCACAGAAACTAATTTTGAGAGAATATATCCATTTTTAAAAAGGCAGAAACTGACTCTGTACATGACATCATTGTTGAGTTTCCAGATACTAGCGAGGGTGACACGGATACAAGCGGTCAAAATGAGTTTCCTGTCTCTGTTGGAATACGCTGAGGGGCTTGGAGTAGAGCCACTGTTCCTCCTATGGGTGGCGCACAGAACTTCAGGTCTGTTTTTGATATTCTAACAAATGGATAAATTAAATACTCAGAAAAAGACAGTTTTGCATAATAAGGATCCTGAATCACCTCTCCCAAACTCCCTTTAAACTCAGGTCAAAGCTTTTTCTTTAAACAGTGCAGCGTTCAGTGCTTCTTTCACCTTCAACACAACTCCTCATTTGTGATTTCAAAAAACCTAAAACACAAGCAGTGCATTCGACAAACACGGAACACGACGGACAATAATAGAATCAAACCAAACACAGATATTACAGTTTCATTTAGATGTTTTTGATGATGTAAAATAAAAGGAAAATTCCAAATGTGTAAAGTTAAGTGAATAGTTCAGTATTTTATAACCAGCGCTCGTTAGTTAAGGCGCAGTGTAAGCAAAGAGATTATATACTTTCATAATAATATATTTTTGAGGTTTAATATGAATGCAACTTATCTCAGGGTAATAATGGCTTGTATCTGGCTTTTGCATGTGAAGGGTAGGGCCTGGTTAGTACTGTGATGGGAGACACAGTGGAGCGGCTGCGGCTGTAAAGTGCCATACTGTTGTGTCCTTAGGAAAGACACTTCACCCACATTGCATAGAATGAGTCTGGTGTGTGTGTGTAAGTCTGTGTGTGAATGGTTGGTGGTGGTCGGAGGGGCAGATGGCACAGACTGGTTGCCTCGCTTCTGTCAGTGTGGAGAGAAAGAAAGAATAATGACATGTGAAGCGGCTTTGAGTGTCCTGATAAGCGCAATATAAAACCGATCCATCATTGTTATTAATAAAAGAATGTTGTTTTTGGAATCACATGAATAAATACATCACTTTCCCCTAATTTTTGTCATGAATTATTGTATGTGAATGACAAGGACTGAGGTCTAATGTCGTTCACTGAAGTTGATAAATTGTACTTAAATATTATTACTGTCTATAGAAATGAACATGAAGGATTAGTGTTATTCCAATCGCAGTCTAAGGTATTTGGACCGAATAATAACTTTTATTTGACATCATTACTAACAAAATGATGCTTGGATTGATATGAATGTTAAGCTTTAAAAATATGCAATGCTAATAACTCATTAAATTCTTCTTTGACAATAATTGAAAATCATCTCGTGCTACATTTGGCACATATTTGACATGTTATGTTCCACTGGCTCACGTTACTTTCAGTCACTTTAATACATTTTTTTTCCCAAGAAGATAACAGTATAGGTAAAGTATAATAAATATCTCCTCATTGGGGAAAATATAAACCGTACCCAAAGCATGACCAAACTAATTGCAGACCTCAGTGTTAGTTTATTAGTTGTTTTTGTATATACTGATATGTTTTTGATTGTGTCACTACATTCTGTTAATGTAGCTGGTGTGATGGTAATTTGTCATTCAGCCAACTTCAGCTCTGTCATAGCTAATTATAAAGGTCAGAATAGCCCAAAACCAGGGTTGTTGGCCCCTAGATAACTCTGGTGAACTAAAGTGGTTCTCTTAAAAGGTGTAAGGTTACTCTTGCTGTACACTACACAAACATTAATTGATAGAAATCCTTTTTGCTATGGATCTTATGTGGATGACAGACGTATCACGCAGGCACATAAAATACTGAACTATCCATAAAAGTTACCAATAACTAAATAATTTGATGCTCTATTGTTTAAAAAGTACAGTTTTGAAGTGGCACTTGTGGTTCTCATTGGGGAGGGCCGTCTTCAGCTGTCCCACTCTGCGTTTGGAGCCTCGTCTTCGTCTGAATCCGATGAGACTTTCTTCATTCTCAACATTGCGGCTTTTATACTTCTCTCCAGATCATTGTCCGCACTGCTCTGTCCCTCGCTTTTGCCGGGAACCATCTGAAACAAGATAAATTATCAAAGAAATGATGAAACTGGGCTTGTTTAACAGGTGTAGACAGATGTGAGGGAGTTGAGGTTCAGTTGCATCAGATTTTGTGCTGACGGCAAAAGTGAACGAATTAAAATGTGTTTTTTTAATAAAAACAGAAAATCACAAAATAGTTTCATATGTAAATGTGACATGTAATTTTTTTGGATCACTTCATTATTGCTGTGAGCTGGATCTATCTGTCTGGGCCTCCCCAAGAATTGTTTCCCACTGACCCTCCTGCATCGGCAAGTTGTTTCTTGGAGGCAGGAGGATGTATATGTATATATATATATATATATACAGTATGCACATGTATATCTACTGTTTATACAAATACACTTGGCGGCCTCACCTTCTTCAGAGTGACTCCTTGTCTGATCGCAGACATCAGGTTGCTCCTTGGGTCGGCCACAGGGGGCGCCGTCCTGGGAGCAGGGGCTTTTCTGAGCTGGATCTGCCCTCGTTGAAGAGACGCCAACACCTCGTCCATGGAGCCTGGAGAACACACGGACACTGTTCACGACGCAGATAAAGCTGGAGAGAAGCCATCAGACGCAGGGATGGCATCTCCATATAAGTGACTCTCAACATGTTCTTTGGCCCCTTACCCAACGCATTTTTACACAAATACAAAAATAATTTAGCACAAAACTGTAGATTCGAGCAGCTCTTTCAGTGGAGATATCAAATATAGTCCAAAGACTATAGAATGCTGGGGCTCACCAACGACTGAATTCTACTGTTTTACAAGTTACATGTACGAGAGTATTTCATGATATTTTACTTTTCTTATTTCTTTTGTGCATGTGAAGCACTTTGGGAAACTGTTGGTGAAGGTGCTATACAAATAAAGCTGACATTGATGGGGTGTGTGCAAAATACACACCACGTTAACGTTTAAAAAGTAGATGCTCTCAGCTCTAGTTTTGAATTAGAAATCACATTACATTTACATTTGTAGAATACCCAGCGCTCGCTCACCAAACGTGTCCAGTTCCTGTGTTACGCCTTGTGTCTAGTTTTGAGATGACTAAATATTCTCTTGTGCCAAATCCACATTCCCAAACTATGTGTCAAAAAGACTTTGAGAACATGGAACCAGTTACCGCAGCTTTAACTACATTTAAAACTATTCAAAAATTGTGCCCAATATTGTAGAGGTTTGTGATATTTTCCAGGACGAATAGACAAAAACTGCTCATTCTCTTTGTTTCTTTTTTCAGACATTAAATATATTGCCGCAATTTCTAACTAGGTTCAAATGCCCCCAGATGTTTAGACAATCAATACGCACTGTTTCACTGTGACAGGACTGGGACGCGGGGACAAGAAAGATTTATGTTTGAGAAAGTAGCTTAGTTTTCCCCAAAGATCCCAGTGTGAAAGCAGCACCACAGTACAGTACTTTACAACATCGGATAATAGCTTTTTTTATGCCAAAAATTGCCCACGATTTGGCTGCGGTTATGTTGCTTTTTCATGCATTTCGACAAAGAATAAGAAGGAAAACGGTGCAATGACTACAATATTCATCTTTTTGGCAGATATCACAAAAGAGCTAAGAAAAGCATTGTGTTCAAATATTAGAAGCAATGTGGGAAACAGGGGGAAGAGAAGCCGACAATGGGCCTAATTCTCTTCAATGAAATCGGAAACAAAAAATAATAATGTGTTGGTTTTTCCTTTGCAAATGTAGAAACAGATTTGAGGATTGATTCTTTTGATGGTGGGTCTGCAGTTGTCAATTTGAAGAAGTAATCAAGCACAGAAATGAATTAGGATGTTATTGAATTGAATTTTTTTGATTTTCAAAGCAAGTTTAATAAAACAAAGATTTTACAGGTTTGGACTATGCATTTGTTATTATGGAAATTCTTGTGTTCAAACTGATTCTCTGATCTGTAATTGAGGAAGCCACAACTTTGTAAAGTTGTCCGAGACGACTGCTTTGGTATTTAGGGCTAATCAAAACATTTGTTTTTATTAAATTAAAATACCTTGCAATATTTATGTATAAACATAAACTGCAGTACAAGGATTTCTTTTTGTATATAAATGCACTGGTTTTATTTAGCTCTTTTGGACACTCAAAAGACGCTTCACAGCATTATCTACACCCCACTGTGGAACCTGGTGTTACCAGAGGTCTCCCATCATAGTACTAACCAGGTCCTGCCCTGCTTAGCTTCAGAGGTCGGATGAGATATGGCTTTCCCCTGCAGGTGGCGCCCCACTTTTTTGGATAATATACATCTATTGAATACACTGGGAATATAACATAAGGAATAATCAAGAGTGTTTCAAAGAGCCAATAGTTTGACGTTGTGGTGGAGGGAAATCTTTCCTGGTAACTACGGTAACTGTCAAAAGTCAGATTTCTAGTCTTAGTTTATAGCCAATGTCTCTGTAATTCCTGGACCAATCCACACAAAACAAAACAGTCACAAATCCTTTTAACCATCATTGATAATAAATTATTAAGGGCCTGTTTTTCTGTACATTTCATTTTTTGTTTAACTGCCCGTTGAAATCAGGATTTAAGAGCCAAGAGACCAAACTCTCTATATCTGGTTTCCATCTCTCTCTGGTCTCCCTCTGGGCTTCCGCTCTCTCTGGGCTCTGGTCTCTCTCTCTCCCTCTGGGCTCCCTATCTCTTGCTGGCCTCTCTCTCCCTGGTCTCTCTCCCTGGTCTCTCTCCCTGGTCTCTCTCCCTGGTCTCTCTCCCTGGTCTCTCTCTCTGGTCTCTCTCCCTGGTCTCTCTCTCTGGTCTCTCTCTCTGGTCTCTCTCTCTGGTCTCTCTCTCTGGTCTCTCTCTCTGGTCTCTCTCTCTGGTCTCTCTCTCTGGTCTCTCTCTCTGGTCTCTCTCTCTGGTCTCTCTCTCTGGTCTCTCTCTCTGGGCTCTCTCCCTGGGCTCTCTCCCTGGGCTCTCTCCCTGGTCTCTCTCCCTGGTCTCTCTCCCTGGTCTCTCTCCCTGGTCTCTCTCCCTGGTCTCACCCTCTCTGATGGTGAAATGTAATGTTGGCTTTTGTAACGTTTTGTGGAGTAGGCCTAGACACTATTCAGAACAGAATCTTGTTTGGACCATCTTCCGTCTTTGCATTTGTGTCATAAAAGCCCCTGTGAACTGGGCGCATTAAATAAATACAGTAACATTCATTCATTAAGGGTGAGTTCACACGTCAGTCTCAGTTGTCCTTGTGTCTTTCGAATATATATTGTTTTGTTTGTATTGTATAACTATGTTTAGAGACGCTTCTGAGGAAGACAGACGTAAGCTGTCGAAACATGTCAAGGTAATGACATCACTTACCATCTTCTGTATAGAAAATCCAAATAACTTTATTTCTACCAAGACGACAAGATGAAATACTTGAAAGAATTACTCACCAAAGCTCACATTGAGATAGTCATATCAGTAATTGCATCAACTGTGGTCTAATTAGTTTCTCATGAAGGCGGCTAATTCTCAAAACACATTTGTATGATGTTGACCAGTAGAAATGAATTCCAAACATAAGATTAAACATGGCAAGTTTGTTCATCTAATCACTATTAAATAACGATCTAGGAAGACATTTTTTTTAACCCACTTTCCCACAGACTCAATCCCAACCCTCACCTATGTTCTGCTTCAGTGTGTTCTTGGCTGGAAACGGTGGCTCTGGCGTCTCGCTCAGTGGTTTTGGTTCATCTATGTTTGTGGTAGGTTTAAAGACACCACTGGGCGGCAGAGGAGGAGGAGGAGGTGGAGGTGGGGGAGGTGGAGGAGGGCAGGTTGGGGGCGTCATGGGGGATCCAGCGAAGATCTGAACAGGGATCTCTTTGGTCTTCGGCAGCTTCTTGGCGTTGGCGGGCTTTCTGGATTTGGGGGTGGGATGCAGTGAGGGCAGAGCGTCTGAGTTGGGGCCCAGGCTGAGGATGGAGAGGGGTTGAGGGTCCGGAGGAGACCCGGGGGAGGTGGTCCTGCTCTGGGGCGTCTTTAGCATGTACTGCCCCGGACGCTTCTGGAACGAGAGAAAGAATTGCAGGATTAAGATCTGGACACTACAGCACATCCATGTGTAGACCTCGAGTCGTGTGGATAATCAGGTTTTAGGGAAATTAAGATGAAGAGGTCCTTTAATCGTCCCACAGTGGAGAAGTTTCAGTGTTGCATCACAAGTTACAGAACAATAGGAATGAGGAGCACGTAACACAGGATAAGTGCATATCAAGTATAGCACAACACTGTATTTCACCAACAAGATCAAATAAACCTTTAAATCTTTAGCTTAAGGAAGAAGAACTTATCAAATACTGCATCGTCTAGTACAAGAAATATATACATAGTATACATGCAGATAAATCAGTAATACACTAGAGCAGGGGTGCCCAAACCTTTTGCTTCCAAGGGCCAAAGTAAAAATTTGCCAGTGGGCCGCGGGCCAAATACACCAATATTATGCATGAAACACAAATAAATGTAGATTTGATCAAGTTCTTTTAAATGCATTAATTATTGTCTATCAGTGCAAATCACAGCTGAATGAATTAAATCAACACAGTCTTAGTGAAGTGGAGACTCCAGGGAAATATGCAGGTTTGAGGAGATTACAGTACGGAAAGATTCCGGTCGGGTAATCAGGGTCCAGAGGAGGGAGATTTTCTGTCATGGCTTATTTAAAGGTTAAAATCATATAATAAAACCTCAAAAAGAGAACAGAAACATACATTTTGTGTGCACCATGTGCACTTGTATATTGTAAATAGTAACTGTAACTCTATTTTAAATTTAAATTTATTCCTTAGAAGTGTTTTTTATTATTTTTTTATTATCTCTGTTGCACTGAGCCAAAGCAATTTCCAAGTCTATTTTCATATATTTATTTTGAACAAAAGTTTTTAACTACATTTGAATCATATTACTTTATCTTAGCTTTTATCAAAAAGGGGAGACATCACTGATCAATAGATCTGGTTTTAGCACACTTTTAAACAATACATTTTAACATTAAGTAATGAATTTGGGAACATAATTGTTAACTGCATTTTCTAAACATGATCAGGTTTTAACTCTGTTTTAACATAGGGCAAGTATTCTCAATTAGTAGTGAACTGAATATTAAACTAACAAAATCAGACTAGTTAACCATGATTTTTTCCTGGAGTTTTGTTTTGTTTTGCCTAAACACAGTACAACATTTATAAATAATCAAAACAAAGTAACTGTTAAAGAGTCCGAGTTTCCGCTCCTCCAAAGGGCTCTTGAACGCATCATAAAACTCCGCGTAAGTTCTGACATTCAATGATCGCGAGTGAGGACGGCGCTTACCGGCTTCTTTCATGGGGTTGTAGAAGAGTTTGTTTTGCACAGTATTTGTTGCTTCTACTTGCGTGGATCGTGCGCTGCGATCCCTGCTTGTCCTGCTTGAACTCACTCTGAAGTGTTTGTGTCCGTCCTTTTTAACACACCGGGTGGGTGCGGATTGCGCAGGTGAATATTTCCACTCGCCAATTCCCTCCGGTGAGGAGGGGGAGTGGCAGTTCGCCAGCACAATCCTCTCAATTTGATAAAACATTAAATAGCTCCAAAAAATAATAATAGTAGGCTGAAAAAAAACATAAATGGGCCTTGCACCCAATTGTTTTGAAAGATGTGTTTGATTTTAAAAAACATTTTAGTGCAAGTTGATGTGAACCATGATTGAGGAGTGTATCTCGATACAACACTTAAGTACTGGACAGTCGGTATTCAGAGGGCGACTATGCGCCCGCGCAACCTCAGACATGTCACTGTTAATTCAGCGAGGCTGAGGGACGCAGATAGAAACTTATAGCGGAGGTGGGCAATGTTTGGCGGGCCAACTGAAATGGTCTGGCGGGCCAACTTTGGCCCGCGGGCCCCACTTTGGGCACCCCTGCACTAGAGTGCAAGATTATTAAGGCAATAAGTCATTAGGTCTGGGGTCCCACCGCAATACCTTCTCCATCAACTCCACTGATGTCTGCTGTCGTTGTGTCCTCGGGCAAGACACTTAACCCACTTTGACTATAAGGAGCATGGAAGTAATGGTCGCTGCATGCCTGGATGTGAATATGTGTAGTCATCAAACTGAAATTTCCCCACTGTGGGACGAATGAAGGACCTTCTTCACATTTTCACAGAGATGAAACCACTGTACATGTTAGCAGCATGAGGGTATGGGCGAAAAGTGACTAAGTAAAGTGTGAAGTGGACACATATGGTCCTATAATGCACATAAAAAAACGCATTCCTACAACATTTTATTTATAATATTGCTTTATGTCGCAGATTCTAGTGTGCGTAATTTTGCATGTTTATTTTTTACAGTGTGTATGCTCCGTGTGTATCAACAACATCATGTAGCCACTAATATAACATAACAGTTGCCTTTGTTAGCGGCTTGCGTGCTCAGCCGCTAACACACATAATATGACATTGTTTTCTTTCACAAAACAGAGAGACTCACGATGCCCACAATACTGCATGTTTTAAACAGTGCGAGTTGTTTGACGTAAAGCGCATGGAAAGGTATAACTGAAACAAGAAGAAAAGCAGTTCTAGAATCGTGGTGCATTTCCATGACAACCGTTGCAATTGGTCATTTTCCAATTCGAAAAATCTACCCCTTCCTCTAGTGGTAGCATAGGAATATGGCAGGCCAATAGCATTCTCCTCTGTATTTTCAACCCGAGATATTATTTCATTCTAAAACATGAAATGACAATGTAAAAAGTCTCGTAAAAATGTTACATGTATTTCTTCATTAAAACATTCTTGAAACAATCTCACGTCCCCCACTTTAGGTCAGGTACAAATGTGAAGATGGAAAGACGTTTTTCTAATTCAAGCACCAGACCCGCCCCCAAAGCTTCCCGATTGGACGCCATGAAATCAAATCCTTGTTAGAATCCGCTACCCATTGGTCTAGCTTTTCTCCTCCAGCAAATCTTACTGGTGGGACCGTTTTAAATATACATGTGGGTCATATGGTCAAACAAATGACTGTATGTGTGTGTGTGTGCGTTTGTGTGTGAGTGTGTGTCCATGGTCTGTGTTGTCTGAATGTCTTTCTGTATATGAGTGTGCGTGTTTGTGTGTGTCTGTGTATTGTACCTCTCTGAAGGAGCGTAATCGACTGAGCGTCTTCTCCCTCTCCTGATCCACCCACTGCTTCCTCCGCTGCTCCTCCTCCCGCCTCCTCTCACGCTTCTACACGCATCACGAAAGACACAGACATCCTACAGTCATTGCACTTAAATAAAGATGAAGTAGAAGTAAGAGCAGGGACATAAAAAGCACACGCATCAATATTTACCCTTAAAAATACTTCCTTAAACTTGACAACTGAACTAAAGCAATTTTCTCTAATACACATTTACATGAAACCCCCCCAAAAAACAGCTCTGTTTAATCGTTAGCACAAGATGTGGGATTTCAGCTGGTTTAAGGACATTCTCAAATACAATGTTTTCATTACACCCAGAACAAGGACTAAACATGGGGAGGCAGTCTTCCTAAAAATGTGAGACAGGATTCTTCTCTGACAATGTTCAAATCCAGGTTAAAACAGTTAATGATCATTTCTATCGTTTTATTAAGCGCTTTGAGTTGCCTTGTGTATTAACTGTGCTAATTCAAATGTGCCTTGCCTTGTCCACTTTAGGGACCCCATCTTATTCCCAGCCTCAGGGCTTGTCATAACCAGAAAAAACTCATACCAGGTGAACTTGATGGTGTTGGCTGAAGACTTTGTTGCTTTGTTTGGCCGCTGACTGTTTCTGCTCATGGGCCTCAATGCACTGGTCCTGGACAGAGGAATCATAGAAGAAATAAGTTTTATGTCCATAGAACAATGCAGTAGGTCATTATTGAACATGTTTATACAACCACTGCACCAACAGAACATGCCAATGACGTGTTTCTTTTTAACTAAATACATATTCTCAGTTTCTTTGTAGTCTTAAAAGGGTGGATCAGGCAGGAGTAGTTTTAGCAGATGCCAACTTGGACAGAAATGCAATCAGTGAAATCTAAAAATACATCTGCAGAACAGCAAGCAAAAAAAACCATTGCAGGAGGAGAAGGAGCCACTTCCTGATTTGATTTTCTCTAATGAAATTATGTGATCCACGAGACCGTACCTGCTTATCATGAGGTCTTGCTTTTGTATGAATTCACAACCAAAAAAAATAATGAAAATATATACACATAACGATTATTGTTGTTTTATAATATGGTAAAAACTAATCCCACATTAATTATTCAATCCTGGGCAGCACAGTGGCTGAGTGGTAAGCACTCTCGCTTCTCAGCAAGAAGTTCCTGGGTTTGGTCAAAACAGGGCCTTTCTGAGTGGAGTTTGCATGTTCTCCCTCATGTCTGCATACAGTAGGTTTCCTCCATGTGGTCCGTTTTCCTCTACCACTAAACCCTTGTACAATGGTAATCCTTCAGCTTTGGTAGTCCTGACCAAGCCGAGGAGAAATATCCGGAGAGGGCTGCATTGCGGCGACCCCTGCTCTTGACAGAGGCCCTAGTGGCAGTGAAGGATGGGACAAATGCAGAGGACAGATTTCTCTATACACCTACACTAGTAATAGTTTATCTTCTATATAATTTGCATAATAACCTTCTTGTTCCTGAGGTAGGCTCTCCGTGCACAGATGCTCCCTCTCTTGGTCTCCAGAGTCTGAAGCCGTTTTTTGAGCTGGCGCAGGGCTGGGATCTCGGTTTGGATCCCGGTCTGGACTAAACTCTGCAGCTCTTCTGGGTCTTCACACACGTCATAATACACCACTTCGTCTGTCAGCTCTGAACACAGCACAACAGGACAGATTTGGGATTAAAACAAAACATCATATAAAAAGGAAATCTATAGTTTATACAAAGTTAGATTTTATGAGCCGTCTGTCTCTTAGGGAACAAAAGGAACAAAGCTGTGCACTTATTCCAACAATAGCATTTGCTTAGATCCATATGGTGCTTTTGTAGTATGTAGAAGTGTCAATATACATTTTTTACAACTTTCAGAAATTTTCCTTAAGATTCATTGGAGAGTTGTTTATTCCATTGATCTTTATGACTTCTACTTTAGCAAACTGAAATAATGTTTGTGTTAATGAAAGATTCGAAGTTAGTGCTTGTTAAAATCGTTCCAACTAATTTGGAAACCGTACAAAACAATTTAAACATGACAGAGACTACACAAACTTCGTACATGTACAGCCCTGAGTGTTTGACTGTGTATCATAATATTATGGTATTATGATTTCAACTTGTGATATGATTTATGAATATGCATCTGCTCTTTACATTGGCCATTCCATTGAGACAGCTCCCTCTAGTGGCAGTAACAAACACACTAAATCTATTGAAGATCTTTACAAAAAAAGTTAATTTGCCAACAAGAGATCAGAGAATCAAACAGTGTGACAACAGGAAATACAATTATAACAAACACATAAGAGCCATTGGACCGAAGGGAGCGGGACGACCACTGTCCAGAAATGTTAATAAATGTCCATAAATGTCCTGGATCATCACTGTCATTAGACCCTCCTGCATCAGCAAGGAACGAGAGAAATCTCTGAGGGATCTGCTTCCACGAACACACAGGCTATAGATCCAGTGCCGAGGCTATAGATCCAGTACTGAGGCTATAGATCCAGTACTGAGGCTATAGATCCAGTATTGAGGCTATATATCCAGTACAGGCTATAGATCCAGTACTGAGGCTATAGATCCAGTACTGAGGCTATAGATCCAGTACTGAGGCTTTATATCCAGTACTGAGGCTATAAATCCAGTACAGGCTGTAGATCCAGTACTGAGGCTATAGATCCAGTACTGAGGCTATAGATCCAGTACTGAGGCTTTATATCCAGTACTGAGGCTATAAATCCAGTACAGGCTGTAGATCCAGTACTGAGGCTATAGATCCAGTACTGAGGCTATAGATCCAGTACAGGCTGTAGATCCAGTACTGAGGCTATAGATCCAGTACTGAGGCTATAGATCCAGTACTGAGGCTTTATATCCAGTACTGAGGCTATAAATCTAGTACAGGCTGTAGATCCAGTACTGAGGCTATAGATCCAGTACTGAGGCTTTAGATCCAGTACTGAGGCTATAGATCCTGTACTGAGGCTATAGATCCAGTACTGAGGCTATAGATCCAGTACTGAGGCTATAGATCCAGTACTGAGACTGTAGAACCAGGATAGAGGCTGTGCGATGTGGGACTGAAGAGGCCCCCAGGTGTGGAGGGGATAAAGCAGACATCTTTTCCAGTGTATTAATACAGGATATTGCACGTTAGCCAAGTGAGCCTACATACAGTTAGGATCAAAGGAAATGTCGCTTTGACCTTGAGTCGTTTACTTTAGAAGGAGGTTTACCTTTGATTTGCCTGCGCACCGTGTCGATCTGGGCCATCAGCAGCTGCTCCTCGTTCTTCAGGATCTCAAACTTGGTGTCATAAAGTTCCAGTTGCGTCTCGTAAAACCTCAGCTCCAGCCGGTCCACGGAGTCCTCAGAGTCTGAACCAGGATCAGAGCCTGGACTCAGGGCTTCCATCTGGAACAACAGCAGTGGAAGATACAGCATTATAACGTTTTAAGGTTTTACAAAGCTTTTTTACAAAACCTTCAAAAGAATCATAACGCAGACATTCAAAATGTGATTGCTGATATGTAAAATACCCCTGCGCCACACGTTCTCAAACGCTTGGATCACAGTTGAAACATTTTACAATAGACCCTAATAAAAGAACATACTTAAAGTTCCTGATGTGTGTGTGTGTGTGTGTCTGAATTAGACCGTGCCAATTAAGGAGATTATGAAAATAGCCGAATGCATTTCCCACTTCTACCACTGTTTCACTACTCCTAGTTTATTATACACATTGCATATTATTTTTTACTGGTAATCCATGTGCTTGTTAAGAAAGCCCTTCAGTCTGGCATCTTCATGTATTTCTGACTTATTTCCTTATGAACCTGTGCGCTCTCAGACCTTAACCTTGTTTGCTGTTCCGTCATGTAAGACTGAAAGTAGGAGAGGCTGCTTTCTCTCCTTGTAGATGGAATGCTCTGCCAAATTATATAAAATGTGCTCCGGCATGGCGCTCATTTAAGAGTCGAAGTTTATGTTTTATTACCTAGATTATTTTGTATTTTGTCCAACTGATTATCTGCCTTAGTAGATGTTAGTCTTATTAGTTATTAGGAAAGTCCAAAAATCTTTTTAAGGAGATTTTTGGACCCATGGAATTGTGAATTAAGGCTATACTAAAGGTACCCCATCTTAAATAGGCCACATGTTTTAAATCCATCAGAAGTTTTTTGTATTTCTGGTGTTAACTAAATGTTGACAAGACATCGAGTTGTTTGTAAGCTCTCGTCTCTCTGTTGATGTATGTGCAAGAGAAATTACTAACAGAGATTTGACTTACAAACTACTGCATCATGTACCACGCAATGTAACTATTTCACGTATTATGCAATTATTTCACAAACCCTAAAACCTGTTGTGGAACACAAAGTGAAGAGTGAATGTAACCTGTGAGGTCAAGTCATTTCAGTGCTGTCAAAACGCTGTGATCCAATTAAAGATCAATAAGCTATGCTCAAGTTCCAGACTGATGAAATATGAGGACTGTTTTATTAGATTCCTTCTTTATATTATGATTGGAAAAAGGTCCAATAAAAGATGGTATGAAACCCATAAATAGTATAGGCTGTGTTGTGTACGTCTCTATCATGTATAATATGTAATTGCTGTTAAATCTATAATTGATTCCTGTTTATTTGCTTGAAATAAAATACGATCAATCAATCAATCTAAAGATTTAATTTGACCCTATACTGACATTTTCAACTAAACTAAACGGTTAAAATATGATGACAAAGGTAGCTTGATAGTTCTATTCTATATATTTTAGTGCAGCCCTACATCACAGCAGTCGTTTTGGAGGATATTCCAAATCTGTCAATTCCTCAACAACAGATCAGAGAATCAAAACACACTTCAGTTCAAACAATGCAAAGAAATAAAGAGCAGGATGACCACAGTCCATAAATGTAAATACTTGTCCTTAAAATGTCCTGGATCATCACTGGCCCATGACCCTCCTGTATCGGCAAGGACTGTGATCAAATTGAGAATTGCCCTATGTCCTATGAAGCGTGTTTGGTAGTGTTAAATCTGTCACACAGATTGTATACTGTTGGGTGTTCAAGGCTTTGTTTCCATGTGTCCGGTTTATCTCTGCAGACAGGAGGCGGACTGGGCGGACGAGCCGTTTGCTGATCTTATTACAAACACGTCTGTCTCGTGTTGATTTTCCCCAATCGTGACTTTACGGAGCGAAACAGGATGAATAATTTAGTTGCCAACTGTGCCCAGGTGAAGCGGCACTGATCTACTTCAAGAGCGAACACCCCAAATAAAAAACAGAAAACAAGACTTATGCTTGAAGGAAGGTCGGGTTATAAATAGATCAAAGGAGATCCAGACTGGAATAGTAAACAGCCGCTGTCCGATGGTGTGTTTGATCAGAAAGATGACCCCTTTAAAATTAGACTCAAATCTGATGTTGGAGATTGTAGGGCAAGAGGGGAATTCATTACCAGCATAATTATAATTTTGTGTCATGTGGAAGTTACTGGGACCTTTCCCCACGTTGTCTGAGAGTGTCCAGTGTCATTGTTTCAGGGAGATCGTGGCAACTGTGGTTAAAGCTAAACTCATAATTCTAATATGCACGAGGCAGTACTTTTCCACTACTTGTTTTGGTTTTCTGAAGGCCAAGCTACTGACACCACGGCGAATGCTGATTGGACGGTCTCCATTCCTCCATGTTGCATAATATCACATGCATTCTGTAACATCTTTGTTCGTGCTGTCTACCATCAACAATAAAACATGTCTTCTGTCTGATTTAAAGGCACGATCCCAGACTTTGTTATTCTCTTTGTTTGAATTAGGAGGTTTTCTTGAAAATGTATTTGGACTATATGGCAATTTTCTTTATAGAAATGGGCTGACCTTACCCGGTGACCTTATTGGGTAATTGTTTTGTATTTTCTCTGAAATCTTTTGGGGAGCAATATCCACGCTTTTTAAACAAACTAAGTACAAACATTATTTTCACTGAAAAAAATGTAATAAACACTTGAATCTGCACAGCCTCAGTCCGAGTCCTGGATCTACAGCCAGTCCGTTCCAAAGAGACAACTGCTGTTGTGATATAGGGACAATTATTGAATTGAATTGAATGAAACAAAGCCCTTTTCTTCTCTTCAGACCCTTTTTTGTTTGCAAAGAACTTAAATAATTGCAGTAATATCGATGTACTAATCGCGACGAAAGCCTCTCTCTCACCTTGTCCCTGATGTGGGTTTTCTTGCGGTTCAAACACATCTCTGTCGCTCTCATGTGCTGCAGAGTTTCTTTGGCCAAAAGAAAGCGCAGTTTCTCCAGTCGAGGAGCGACGCAGGCCCAGGCCGCTGCCCCGAACCGACACTTGTCCTCCTCCATCTGCCTCAGCATCCCTGCATCAGCCACAGCACACCACAGGTTACTTTATGTAGCTGTAGTTATCATCACACTTTTCGAGCAACAAATCCCATTCAAAAGTACATTAGACTCTGCTTATGTTCTCTCCAAGTCTCTCCATGGCCTCGAACCAAAGTACATCTGTGACATGTTAGTGCCATATGAACAAACTGAGACACTGAGGAGCACAGGGACTGGCCTCCTGCTAGTGCCCAGAGTCAGGACTAAACATGGGGAGGCAGTGTTTCAGATTTATGCAACTAAAATCTGGATCAGTCTTCTTGAAAATGTGAGCCCAGCTTCACCCTTGTTTTTAATGTGCTGTGGTGATTTTAATGCTTTGCATGTTTGTTTTTCTTGTTTCACTAAGAACCTGGAGTTGCCTCGTGCTACATAGATAAACTTTAATTACCTAAGTATTTTGTGGCTCATAATATGGTCTTTCTTTACAAAGTAAGAAAATGTGTGTCTGTGAGCTGAGAAAGTCAATTTTATGGTTTATAATTCCTTCTTTTTGCTGTTTATTTGTTTCCGCTTCTGGCTTTTAGTGATAAAGAGACATTTAAAATGGCTCACAGGGATTCTCCAGCTGTTTTGTAATTGCACAGCGGCACAAAGTCGTTAATATTGCTTTTTGCAGTCTGAATAAAGAGTCCATGTATTTTATTGTGACAGGCTCCTTCTTAACATTCCACTTTATATTTGTCATTCATAAATCCTATTGAACCCATAATTTTGGATTCTATTCAAACATATTTAAGTAAGTAAGTATATAGTTATAAAGTGCCTTTCAAAGACCAGAGTCACAAAGCGGTTTACAATTGCTGTGAGCATTTGTCTCTCTCTTGACCTGAAGACTTGAGGAAATGGATGGAGTCTGGTGTGCTCCTACTTGGTTGGAATGAAAACACGCAGCCACACTCTTTCTGGAACCAGTTTGTCACCCCTGGTCAAGGAGCCATACATTGGTAGGAGGATTCTGACAAAGTTAGATTGTAATTAGTTGTGACTTTGTTAAGATCACAGATAATGCATATTACACAGTCTCTTAAACCACTGAAATCCCTGACTACAGGTACTTACTATTGAATCCTACTGAAACTGGGCCATAGCCACTATTTTGTGTAAAGACCTGAATCGTAACAGCAGTCGTCTCGGAGGAACTGGCAAAAATGTTCGAACACAGGAAATGCAATAAGAACAAACACACAGTTGCCATTGGTCCATAAGGAGTGAGATGACCACTGTCAATAAATGTCAATACATGTCCCAAATCATCATTGTTCTTCGACAAAAAAACCCCAGTGGGAAAAAAGTACCATATTATATTAATTATTATATTATCCCGGCAATATATTGACCTCATTAACACAGTCTCCACTTTAGATTAAAAAAAATACAGCATTAAGGACCTGAGAAAAGGTTCCCAACCGAAGCCGGATGCTGCTGGATAATTCTATTCCAGTTTCGGCATAGAGAGCACAGACTGCATAATGTTTAGCCTCCAGCGAGCTTTCTCCCCTCTCTCTCTGCAAGTTCACACCAGGACTTCTTCATCACAGAGGTCTGTAGTGCTATGTTTTGACAATGACACTTCACCATTTCTACCGCTGCTAGCCATATTGTCTTTAAGCATACAATATTCTAGCTTGTCCTGGTACTTAAAATGGAAATAAAAATAATTCTGTCCTGATCCTCGCTTAGTTATCATGAGTTTCATTTCTTTTTTTTTGTTATAGCACAATGGAAGAGATGATAATGAGCAGAGCCTAAAGTGAGTTTCAGAGTATTTTCCTCACAGGGGAGTGGAGGCACAGATACAAACACACAGTACCTGCTAAAGCTTTTGAAGTCTGGGCAAAGTAGTTGACGGTGATGTCTTGTATCGAAGCCACTGCGTTTTCTGCTTTCACTCTCCACTCGTCAGCCTCTTTCTGCAGCTCTGCGATTCTCTTAGGACCCAAGTCTTCAAACTCCAACGATTTCTGTAATGAGCCAAGCAACCATACAGTTATTGCAATTGAATAAACAAAGAATATCAGTTTTGGACAGGATTTGTACAGATTGTATAATTATCTTCATGAAAAAAGGCATAATCATTTCAAAACATTTAACACTCCCCCTTGCCAATAATTTACAAATTAGACATACACTGGTTTAAATATTCACTGTGAAATTATTGTGGATTGGTAAACATCTAGCTGTGTTTTATCATGTTTTTTCTCGCACTTTCTGTCTCACACAATTGGGTGTGAGAAAACATAAAATATTCAAAACTATCTGGATACTTCTTAGCATTGAAACACTTCTACTGCTAAAGAAATCGTGTTCTTTCTCTCGAGCTTTTGTGGTGAGCTAATCAAAGTTACCCATGTGATAGTAACCATGGCTGAGATGTGTTGATAAAAAAAATTACTGCACTAAACAAAGAATATACTTGTTTATATAGAGTCCTCTAAACAGTAGCTATTCACCCGTTGTCCCATTGTCTGTTTCATGGTACGATGACGGGATCTCTGAGCCTGGCCTCCTCCATCTACACCTGCGGACTGCCCCGCCCGACCCGCCTGGGAGTGCTTCAGTCCTGCACCGGACCTGTCCACGTTCAGCGGCCACTGGTCCACGTCCTGTAGCTAGCTTAGGTCCTAGATCATTAGCCTGTCCGTCCGGAGGAGCGGATCCCTTTCTCAAATGGGTCTCCCTTCCTGTGGGTTTCCCTAGTTCTCCCCAAGGTTTCTCACTTTTTCCCACTGAGTTTTTCCTTGCTGATGCAGGAGGGTCTTGTTGGACAGTTAGTGTCCAACAGAAAGGATGTATGGACATTTTCTTCTGTGTGTGCTTTATATTTTTCATGTGTTTAACTGTTGATTCTCTGACCTGTGTTGGTGATTTCAATGGTTTTGTTAAGTCCTCTGAGATGACTTCTGTTGTGACCTAGGGCTATACAAGAATAAATTGTATTGTATTGTATTGTACATACTCTATTACACACAACGTAAAAGCATTACAGTTTGTTTTATAAATGAGCTGCTATTTCAGAATGGTATCAGACCAAATCTATCTGTGAAAGCAAGAAATCTCCGTCTGAATTCGGACAATTTCTTCCCTTACACCATCCATCCATTTTTGTCCACTTCCACTATCCGTTGCCAGATTGCGGGGGCAGCAGTCTAAGCAGAGGAGCCATCCCAAAAAAATGCCCAAGCCCCTTCAACCATGGAGAAGCAGCGGCTCTACTCTGAGCTCCTCCCCAAAACTCTAAGGGAGCCCCCAGCCTCTGTGGTGGAAACTCATGTGGAGTTATATCCGTGACCTCACTTACACTTAATTTGCTTTTTTAATGATTTCTGCCTCACTCTCATTTCCTTTTGTTGCATATTGAAGCCTGTTGCAATGGTGAGACTGTGGAGGTTTTACCAGGATCTCCATCTTGCAGAGACAGGCCAGCTCTCTCATGTCTCTGAACGGCTGTAGCAGGAACTGGAAGAAGGTGGTAGCCACGGTGACCAGTTCGTGGTAGACGTCGTCTTCTTGTTGGTAAATGTCGAGTAGCGCCACCATGCGATCGGCCGCAGAGTGGGTCTGCAGCAGCTGCAGCGAAACATGAGGAAAGATCATTTGTGTAATGTGTATAAGAGATTTAGAGAAACTTAAAAAATTAAATTTAACAACACATGGATTCCTGGCTCCATATATTTCCAGATATACCATGTCTCTACCAGCAAATTTTGGAAGTTTTCCATTGTAGCTTGTGAGACATGGGTATTCTAACTTGAAGATTCAGCAAGATAAAATGGTTATAATTGTGTGTATACCACTTATTTCCTTTCCAAGCCTTTTAAATTTTAGCAGAAATTTAAGTACTGGACAGGTAAATTATGTCTTCATGTTTACTGCTAATGTGCAAATAGCCACTTAAATACATTATATTACATTCCAAATTTAAAAATATACTTGGTTAAAATTATACTTATTATACTTACTTATTATAAAATGGTTGTAAATTAAATATCAAATAATAATTTTCCATGTGATAACTTTTAATTTTCACATTAACTTGAGAGTAGACTTTTAAAAGTCTCTTCATAGCCTCGCACCAAAGTTCATCTGTGCTGTTTTTGTTCTGTGATTGTTTGTGATGTTGACGCCTTGTGTTATTGTTTTGTTAAGCACTTTGAGTTTCCTTGAGTATGAATTGTTCCTTGCCTGAACTTTATGGAGCTATTATTGTTTCAATAATATTTGTGTGTGCGTAAAAAGATTTGTGCGTGCGTAACCAGATTTGTGTGTGCGTACCCAGATTTGTGTGTGCGTAACCAGATTTGTGCGTGCGTAACCAGATTTGTGTGTGTGTAAAAGAAATATTTGTGCGTGTGTAAATAGATTTGTATGTACGTATCAAGATTTGTGTGTGCGTAAAAAGATTTGTGTGTGCGTAAAAAGATTTGTGTGTGCGTAGAAAGATTTGTGTGTGTGTAAAGAAAAAAAAAAGTACGTTTTACACACAAGTTTTTTTTTTACACACGAATCTTTTGACGCAGTCCTGCCTTCGCAGATTCGCAAGTGTAACTTGGACTGTGTGCGTGCGTAAACAGATTTGTGTGTGTGTAATTTGACATTTGTATCTGTAGCAGAACAATCTGTGTGTAAATAACCGCGTTGTACAAAGAGAAGAACGAAAAAAGCCTAAGTGCTACGCACAGGCTCTGTTTTACACACGAATCTCTTTTTGACACACCTCTGCCGCCAAGCGTGTGTCAAAAAGATTTGTAAGTGTAATGTGGTTGTTCTAGCAGTACACCAGCAGATGGTGCTGTTGTAGCTGGTTATTACCTACACGCAAGCAAACCAAAACCTACTGCCTTGACAAGACACACTACCGCAGCTGTTTATGATATTTTTTTCCTATTTTCAAAATCCTGTCATTCACACCACTGTATGATACATGGATCTATTATAATAACTGGATAGGGTGTTACTAGCTTGGAGCTGAGGGATTCTCACGTACTGCAGACTAAATTCACGTTGGCTACACAGAAATTTTCCCCATAGAACTCAAAGTAAACTAAAACAGCTGACAGATAACCTACAGCTTTCATATGGTCGGATTTTGTGGGAATTTTAGTGTTCCTTGTCATCCTGAACTTTTCTTCTTCTTAAATCCTTCGGTTTTCTCTATCTACACTTGTTGGTTTGCTTGCGTGTAGGTAATAACCAGCTACAACAGCACCATCTGCTGGTGTACTGCTAGAACAACCACATTACACTTACAAATCTTTTTGACACACGCTTGGCGGCAGAGGTGTGTCAAAAAGAGATTCGTGTGTAAAACAGAGCCTGTGCGTAGCACTTAGGCTTTTTCCCGTTCTTCTCTTTGTACAACGCGGTTATTTACACACAGATTGTTCTGTTACAGATACAAATGTCAAATTACACACACACAAATCTGTTTACGCACACACAAATCTTGATACGTACATACAAATCTATTTACACACGCACAAATATTTTTTACACACACACAAATCTGGTTACGCACGCACAAATCTGGTTACGCACACACAAATCTGGTTACGCACGCACAAATCTGGTTACGCACGCACAAATCTTTTTACGCACACACAAATATTATTGAAACAATAATAGCTCCATAGAACTTGCCTTTTGCTCTTGTGTCTGTACTGTTACTCCAGGGACAGCACGGTATTTCTGGTATATCTACCATCAATAGTGTGTTGACACATTTGGACTAATACTCAATAGGAATCCCATAATCAGTTAAATACACCAATCTGTCGCCTGCACCTGCCCATGCCTCCACCTGCACCTGCCCATGCCCATGCCTCCACCTGCACCTGCCCATGCCTGCACCTGCCCATGCCTCAACCTGCTCATGCCTCCACCTGCCCATGCCTCCACCTGCCCATGCCTCCACCTGCACCTGCCCATGCCTGCACCTGCCCATGCCTCCACCTGCACCTGCCCATGCCTGCACCTGCCCATGCCTCCACCTGCTCATGCCTCCACCTGCTCATGCCTCCACCTGCCCATGCCTCCACCTGCTCCTGCCCATGCCTGCACCTGCCCATGCCTCCACCTGCACCTGCCCATGCCTCCACCTGCTCATGCCTCCACCTGCTCATGCCTCCACCTGCCCATGCCTCCACCTGCTCCTGCCCATGCCTCCACCTGCCCATGCCTCAACCTGCCCATGCCTGCACCTGCCCATGCCTCCACCTGCCCATGCCTCCACCTGCTCATGCCTCCACCTGCTCATGCCTCCACCTGGACCTGCCCATGCCTCCACCTGCCCATGCCTCCACCTGCTCATGCCTCCACCTGCTCATGCCTCCACCTGGACCTGCCCATGCCTCCACCTGCCCATGCCTCACCTGTCGTAGCTCACTTTTGGCCCGGGACATCTCCTCTTGCATACTTTTCTTCTTAAACTCTTGCAGATTCTCAAAGTAATCCTCCACGTCTTGTTCATTTTGGGCAAACAGTGTATCCAGGACAATTTTGCGTCCACACAAATCGATGGCTGTGCTGAAATACTTCTCCAGCTTTCTACACGATGTGTCAAAATCCCTCTCCCCGTTCTCCTCGTCCAGACTCGGCCTGCGGTTCAGGAAGAGCAAGTCCCAAATGTTTCCGTCCTCAAACTCGGATAGATCGGGGAAACAGTTCCCTAAAACGTCTGCTACACATGAAAACTGCTGGTGGACGTTTTTTAAGTCGTTCACGGAGAAAAGTCCAGCCCAGCTCAGTTCGCAGTCCTCAGCGAGTTCGGCTTTACGTCTCTGCCTTTGCAAAGTCCGATTGTGGCAAGTGACAGCGAACTTTCCCTCGATCACGCTCCACTGGACGATAAACCCGAGCTTAAACGCCTCGGTCTCTTCGAATATGTTGCTTTTGACCGCCACCCACCCGTCTAGGCTGTCCAAACGCTCACATTCAATGCTGTTCATCTTCAAAACATCAGATTTTCTCACGGAGGAAACACTGTTCTGTTTACAACCTCCGCCATTTGCAATGACGTGTGATGCGTTCAAGGACGAGAAGACAGTGGGAAAACACACATACTACCGCGACATGCGTACGAAAGATCCGTGGCTACCGTTTTTTTTTTTTACACAGTTAATCCATCTTTAAAATGTAATTATATTGTAGACAACCATATATGATAATCATTAGTTTCAAATGATTTGATTCAGAATTAATATTATCGATAAAGCATAATTATTCTTCAAACATTGTGTGTAAACACAAAATCTCTTGACTCTCTGAAGGCATCGCGATGACAGCTCGCTTTCAACTTCGACCTTGAAAGAATCACATGTTTGGGGAATTCCCGCCCCGGTGTTCTGGAACAAATATTAATATTTATAATATATAGCCACTGTCACTGTTTATTCCAATTAAGTCATTTATAATGTTTTTTAACGTTTTACCAGTGATCAGCAAGCAACTTGATTTGTGTAGTGACCTAAGCTACAAGCTACTCCACTGTGAGATGAATAAAGCTGATCTTATCTTATCTTCTCTAAGTTACAAAATTCTGTCAAAAGTAGCTAATTCTGGCGAACATTTTACAATTTTAGTGATCAATACTAGTGATTGATAGTCTGTCAGATAAAGGATAAAATATTAGGGGTGTCCCCATTTAGTTTTTTTTATCAAAATCAATCAAAATTACGTCATGGTCTTGAGCATCGAAACCAAGAGATGATTTTTTTCTGTGAACGAGAGAGCATTAAAGTTAGTTTACATGCTCTTGTAACGTATGAGGAGGCAACCGGTAACTTCACATGTACTACCCAGAAAATGACCATAGAACTCAATGTAAACTACAACAGCTCGACCTCAGCTGACAGAGAACCAACAACTTTCTTAAAGATTAGATTTTGTGGGGATTTTAGTGTCCCTTGTCGTAATGAATCTTTTTTCTTCTTAAATTCTGCAGTTTTCTTTAAATCCACACTTTTATGCAACAAACTCTGCTCGTTTTTTGCAGATGATATACATGTATAGTCTCTGTGATTTGTTTTGATAGATTCAAAGCTCTAAAAATCGATATGATGTATTTATTTTGTCCTGGATGTGTCCTGCGCAGGCTCCTGTACTGGGACATGTGGACATATGAGCAGCAGCTGGTGTCTCGTCTATTTCTGTCTCAAACTCTGAAGAGGCCGCTCTCTGGACACGTCAAAATTCAACAAGACATTGGCAAAGAATGGTGACTCCCTGAACCAACCAGGTAATTGCATATGCTGTATTTAGTATGCTATTATACACAGTGCAACAGCTGAAATAGTTGTAACAAAGAAAGTGCCTTCTCTCAATGACTTTTGCTACTTGTTTGTGTTGGACCAAGTCATTCCTTGGTGGCGTTAAGAAGAGTGAGTAAAGATTTTGAGTTGTTCCAGCAGATTTACTCCTCTGCTTGAAAGTAACATTATAACAAAGTCCCTCCAGTTATACCAGTTCAATCTATTGTGGGTCTTCCTGTGTGTTTGTTATTTTTTGTGGTATGATTTGTTGCTAATCAGACATTATCTCCCTGCATGTTGTGATTTCTTTCATATATTCAACACCATGTTCCCAATGACTAACTATAACTTAAAAACATTGAATCTGCTCTTCTTTGCAAATACCTATTTTCAATTCATTAGTGAGTGATATTTTGATCACCCCCCCCCCTTCCAAACTCACATTAACACATCTCTAATATTGAATTTACTAAAGGTGGATGAGCCCAGAAAACCATTTACAAAAACACATTCTCATTATAAGGCATGAGCATCAACACATAAAAGTCAGATAAAAAAGTCAGTTATTGCCTTAAGATACCTCTTCAACCGTCACATATTTGATATGAATGTGTCATAAACTAAACTGAATATCATCCTTTTCACTATTGCAAGACAGTGGTTCCCAAAAAATGGTTCAATGGTCCCCAAAAAGATGAAAGATGTTTATGTAAGACTTTCTCTTGAATCCCTATGAATCTGACCAGTTTTCTCCAAGACTCTGCTGGACAGTTGAGGCTCTGTAGTTTTAACCACTGATGACTCATTTACACAAATTACAAGTGGGGACAATTTCTGCACAGTTAAAGTCCTCTAAGGCATGGAGTAGGGTAAATAATTTCTGGGAATGGGGTCTAATAAACCTTTTTTCCACTAGCCTTACATGGCGCTTCTCTCCTACTCTACTTTTTTTAGCTCTACTCTACTCGGTTTTGCTCTACCTGGTTGTGTTTCCATTATGCTTTAGTTTCTGGTATTTAAATACCAGCTTGGCCTGGATAGAACCAGGACCAAGATGTTACTAAAAAGTTCCAATCAGAGTAGAGTAAGGCCTGGTAGGGCTGGTGGAAACGGGGCTATAGACTGTAAACTGTAAACTTAAAACCTACTCCTGGGTTTCCTTTATTCCTGTAAATAAACCACAAATATCCATTCATTCAATTCAACTCAATTTATAAAAAGTCGTCTCAAAAGACTGTACAAGATTGTTGATTTGTCCAACACAGATCAGAAAACCAAACAGGAAGTGTATCACAGAACATGTAGAAACCAATGGTCCATAGGGAGCGGAAGTACCACAGTTTTTTAATTAAATGTGCATTAAATTCATTAATCATTAAATCATCACATTCTGTTACCCTCCAGCATCTGCAAAAAAACAAAAAAAAACAATGGGAAAATAGTGAGAAGCAACGGCAAGTTCCATTTCCAGATCTACAAGGATTTTTTTTGCTAATTCCTGTTTAAATTGGTCCTGCTTCATCCCAGAATGTGTGTTGGTTGTTCCATCAATTGGCTGACAAAAAAAGAATTGTAAAACCCAGCAGTTCCACTTCCTCTCCATGTGATATCACTCAAAAGTCCTTATTCAAATCCTCCCCCTGCAGTTGCCCTCCTCATGGACCTGTTTGAGATCCGCGGGGGGCAACTGGACGTGATCGAAGAGGAGCAGGAGTTCAGTCTCATGGAGCATTCCGGAGCCCAGCGCGTCTCCGTGGAAACCAACGAGTCGCTGCGGTTTGAAGCCTGCGACTCGCCGTCTCCCGCCGTGACGGAGGACAGCCCCGACGACGTGTTCAGCGACACTGAGGTAAAACGGGGACAATCTACCTCATTGGGGCATCTCACCTGGTTTTAGGGACTTTTAACATCAAACTGCATCATTAAAACAAGTAGGGGAATCAAAAAATGTCATTTATTCTTTTCTCTTTTGGAGTGAACATTAAATGATTAAACTTCTACCCTAAGGTCTTTGGTTCTACTTAATCTACTAAGAAGAATCTACTTTGAAACTTCTGGACTGGAAACAGGCATGTGACATCACTTGGCTAAGTTATATGTCTATAAAGTCACAGAAGACAGACTTTGCCCTTAACAATATTTTATTTATATATTCAAGTCTCAAAACTATTTTTATTTTGTTTCCCCCAATACGTATTATAAAAGTCTTGTACAGACTGTGCTGATATTGTAAGTATCATTAATGTGCTGCTGGAACTCTCACAATATCCTTCATTGGATTTCACGATTTTCAATTTTTTTTTTTCAAAAGCCGATTCATTGCCTAAATTCGATTTTTATGCCCAGCCCTAAACCAAACTGAGCGATATTTCAAGAAAAGCAGTAAAATATCCATAAGCAGGTATCAGACCACTTCACAAATGCGGACAGTTGAGGAATCCACCTGTTGTTTCAAAGTTGGCTAAAGTAACTAAATGATATAGTTACAACATACAAATCTGCTCATATAAATGCATCGGTTTTATATAGAGCTTTTTTACTATTTATTTGTATTTAATTTTTTTTACAATTTGCCTCATTCTCTCAAAAACACCATATTTAAAAACATCCAATAATTGTTTATCAAAAGAAAAATCTCACTTGGCAGCCCTAAAAAAAAATGGGATTGACATAGTAGGTTAGAAGCAGAATAACATGCAAGATCTTCCAGACTATAGAATCTCTGCTGCTCTTTCTGTGTGGAGTTTGCATATTCTTCCTATGTCTGTGTAGGTTTCCTCCTGGTGCTCCGGTTTCGCGTCCCACTAAAAACATGTACAGTAGGTCTGAATATAATGAGTAGTGTTTGGTTTCTCACTTCTGTCCTGTCCGTGTGTGGAGTGGACGGAGAATGTTGATACTTCAAAAACATTGTAAAGCGCTTTGTGTGAACTCGATCTGTGAAGTGCGCTATACAAATAAGATTACTTTACTTACTTAGCGAAATAATACTGCACTGTCCATTCACTTTCAGTTCTTGCACAAGCTGATTCCATAAACATAGCTGCGTCTGACTCACTGTATTTCGTGTTTACTTTTGCAGAATGAAAGCGACGTGATCCGTAACAAGCTCCAGGAGAAAGTTTCTGAGATGGAAAACTTTGCTGGACATTTGGAGGAAATCTTTCTCACAGTGGAGGTAAAACCAGTTTGTTAGAAGATCTATTATGCGTTCTATTATGCGTTATATTTGGCTATCAAAAAGGCTAATAATGCTTTTATCATGTAATGTTTTAGAATTTGAAATAATATCTTCAGTCGAAAATACATGTATATGGTAATGAAACGTGCTTTTACGAATACAATCATGGATATTTCTGCAAAGATTTTGTGGCCAATTTCACTAATTATAATATTATAATAGATTATTGGTGTTTGGCTTGAATATTTTTATCTCAGTTTGTATTTACTCTTTCACACAATCACAATCTGACATGTGTCACACTGACGCAAACTTGGAAACTCAGGGACCATTTACCCAGAGTTTCAATGCGAGTTTCCAAATTGCATTTCCGACTTGAGTAGCGTTCAGTTCCCAATTGGGAAGTCAGTGAGCCACAAGTTCCGGATATCAGCATGGATGGATTTAAAAACAACTCCAGGTTTTTTTGTTTTTTTACGAGGGAACAACATTGAAACAAAACATGTCTCCTTTGACATATGTAGAAAACCTTCATCTTTTCAACAGAACTTGGATTGACTGAATGTAATTTCAGGAGAACTTTGGTCGCCGGGAGCAACACCTGGAGCAACACTACAACGATGTTCTTCAGACGTTGTCGCAGCGTTGTGACGACCGAGCGGCCGCGCTGCAGGAGGAGAAGAAATCCAAACTGGAGGCACTGTACAAGCAGCTGCTGGACTGTGGCCGCGCTCTGGACGCCTCCAAGGAGCTCATCGAGAGTGCACAGGAAGTGCACCGCTGCCACGACAACCGCCTCTTTCTCAAGGTCTTGCATCTATGTGCAGAGTGAGATGTACTCAGTGGTCTGAGAGCTGCCAGAGAAGAAAGAGTCTTGAGCTTTATTGTTGCAGAAATCATTTCCTTTTCTCAAGAGTCACAAGAAAAAACAAATCAGTGACAGTGGTGTACCAACCACTGTCGACGTTTCCCTGAGTCTCGTTCACTAATAATTATTAATTATTAATTATTCACATGTCAGACATGGTGGCGATAAACTTCTACTGACTATTATGTGACCACAGCCCCTCCCACCACCGCCAGCCAATCACACACCAGAGGACACAACTTTACTTTACTTTACAGCCGCAGCCGCCCCACTGTGGCCCCTGTTGTTCTCAGAGGTCTCCCATCACAGTATATACCAGGCCCCGCCCTGCCTAGCTTCAGAGGTCTGTCAGGATCTAGCTTTCACATGCAGGTGCTGCCACTCAAGATAAAGCAGTTATTTTAATGGATTCTATTGAATAAAAAACATTATAAAAATCCATTGGACTTTAGACTCAATACACATTGTTGTGGTTTGGTATATTTTTATTTTACAGGACAGAGTACAACAAGAATTAATTACAAGATTTTTTTTTTAACTATGAGCTAAAACTAATGAATATAGCTTGAATTCAGCAAAAAACAGCTTGTTGAAAGGCTACCAGGTGCTAACTGCTGGCAAGAAAGGGAGAGTGTTGCTATGGTAACATTATGCTCACGTTTCAACGTCAAAAGATGGTTTCATAAAAAATAATGGCGTGGAAATAAACTACATTTAGAAACAGAAAAAGTCACAGTTATGAAGCCCAAACATGTACATACACTAAGTATTTACACTTCTAAAACTAAAAGCCGTCAAATTTACTTTGGGAATTCTAGTGTTGAAGTAGACGATGCAAGTGTCAAGGCCCTTCTCCATTAGACCAATCACTGCACACCGTCAGGAAAAAGGATATTGTTACACCAGTCATTAAGAAATATGTGGTAACAACATGGTATTCTTTCATACTGCTCACACAAATGCTTTTGCTCACACAAATGCTTTTAAAACATTACAGAACATTAGAGCTAGCGAGTGAGAGGATGATGGTGTTGATGAGAGGCACCGTGTAGAGAGAATTGGAAAATATCTGAAGTCTGAACATTGTAGATCGCTTTGGGTGATGTTGGTCTGTGAAATAAACATTACTTATTACTAGAGCTGTTTAACATAAACTAACCATTGAAACATGTAAAAAGCTTCTCCTTCTCTTCTCTTTTATCAGGAATCTGACCCTGATCGCGCTAACAGTCATTATCATTTAACAAACTGTAGTAAAGACATTTCTGGTTTTAAATTTAGACACCACAACTTTAATTGTTGCACTAATTGTGATGTTTTCTTCTTTTTTTTCTTCTTTGTCTCATGTGGGTTGTGTGACAGATGGTCATGCCCATGATTAAGAGGTAAAAATATTAGAATGTGCAAGTACTGAAGAAGCATTTTGGCTGAAATAAATGATGATAATAAATGGTCTGGTGCAGGATCGAGGATGTGGCTAAAGACGACATGGACCTGACTCTGTCCACGACGCTGGAGTTCCAGACGCCGCGCTGCGATCTGTCAGACGTTAAAACCATGATGGACTCCATCAGCGTCGTCCCAGGTTTTACCATGGATCTATAATAATATCTGGACAGGGTATTACTAGCTTATAGCTGTCCCATCCATGGACAGTGGTACTGCAGACTAAATTCACGTGGGCTACCCAGAAAAATGTCCTGTAGAACTCAATGTAAACCAAAACAGCTCGACCTCAGCTCGGCGAGAACCTACAGCTTTCAGAAAGGTCGGAGTTTGTGGGGAACTTTTTTTCTTGTTAAATTCTTCGTTTTTCTATAAATCCACTCTTCACTGCCACAAACTCTGCTCATTGGCTCCCGTTCTAGCTCCGCCCTAGCTCTGGTCAAAACACGGCTGAGCCCCTATGTGCACTGCACTTGCATGAGAGCCACTTACGCGTATTTGGCGCAAAGCATTATGGGCGCTCTCCCCCTGCACAGAACCGGGATGACAATGCCCAAATATGGGCGAGTTCTGCTAATCTTTCGGCCCCCGTGAAGGTCCCATGCGCCGCTGAGCACAAGCAATTGATTTGAATAGGGCGCCATCTTGGATCGCCGGGCTTTGGTTTTACTCACTCTACACTTGCAGCCTGTTTCATCATCAAAGAGACTCAGAGAAAACTAAACACATGAGCTGAATGTATTCAAACTATAATGTGTCATATGGGACATATTTACATGTTGTGAGAACTGATTCAATTAAGAAAATTTAAAAAATCATTAAAGACAACAAAATAGATGCACTGCGATTATTTATGATTTTGCCTTGTGTATGAACTGTGCTATACAAATAATAGGACTCTTGGACTATATTTTACAATGAACCCTCTCAAAACCATGAATTCAAATGTTTGAATGAAACAATCGGCCATCATTACATTATCTGTGTCTTCATGACTTTTGTGTTTGTTGTTGTGGCTCCAGCTCCTTCGGCTCCGGTCATAAACCCTCAGGCCCCGAACTCCGCGTCTCAGACGTCTCTCCGTGTTTGTTGGAGCCTGTTTTCAGACGATACAGTGGAATATTACGAGCTGTTCTACCGCCCGGTGCTGGAGGACTGCCCCCCCGCAGACTGCCCCACTCCTCCAGGTAACACTCCCCAAAACACCTGCCATCTTTGGGTTTTACTGTGGAGGTGTTAAAGCTGGGGTCAAGATGTCAATCTGACTGCTTCTAATCATGAAAGTGTAATTACTCAGCGTATTTGCCCCTTTAAGGTCTTCATAAGTGACTTTTTCTGAATTTATATTTAGTTCTATGTCATTATCTTTTGTTGTTATTATTTTACCGTTACCACAGCAACAGTTAGCATTTGGTAGCGTTTCAACAAACTGTTTTTGCTATATTTCAAGTTATATTAATCAGTTTTAGCAATTTTTGAAATTGAATGAAGGTAAAAAAAAACCTAAACATATTTAGGGAATTTTTCTGAATTCCATCGAGTTTTTTTTTGAAATTGTGAAAAAATAGACAATACAATACAGTGCAGACGTACGGACAAATACAACAAGACAGACAACAGTGCCCAGTTCCATCTGTTTCTGGGAGGTCTAGTAGTTTCAGAATTCTGGGAGGTCTTGTGTTAAAATCCTCCTCTCTAGTTTTCACATACATGTATTGGTGCACCTCTCACGTCTTTAGATCAGCTTTTTCAGAGAGAAAATGGAAAGAAAGAGGACCACCCTCACTCAGCCAATCACCAGCTCTCAGCCCGAAGCATCAAATAGTGACTCTCTGGGCTCTTCTTTTGTTAACAAAAGTGAAGATGTGAAGACAAAGGCAGCATGTTGTGAGCTGATCTGCTCACTATATTGTTTACTTTTGTGGCCATATCTGCATGTGAAAGCCAGATCCTGTCAGACCTGAAAACTAAGCAGGGCAGGGCCTGATTAGTACTGTGATGGGAGACCTCTGGGAACACCATGTGCTACAGTGGGGCAGCTGCGGCTGTCATTGTGTCCTTAGGCAAGACACTTTTACCACATTGCTTAGAATGAGTGTGTGAGTGGTGGTTGGGGGGTGGCTGATGGCACAGACTGGTTACCTCAGGGCAGCTGCGGCTACAGTAGTAGTTTATCACTGCGGTGTATGGAGTGAATGAATAATGCTATGATGAAGAGTCTTTAAATGTCTCTTTGGGCGCTGTATAAAAAAACTGATTTATTATTATTATTAAGACTTTTACAATACAAGTGTGAATATTTGATTTCTGCATTGTTTCTTTCAGTGAACAAGGTGAAAGTGAAGGAGACTCACTGCACCGTGTCTCAGCTGCTGCCCAACGCTCAGTACGAGCTCTGGGTCACAGCCACCAACATCACCGGCATCAGCCCGGCCAGCGAGAAGGCCCTGTACATGACCGGTGAGCAGGACCTGGCAACACGCCACATACTGACCAACATATTCAGATGAGATTCTAGTCCTTGTGGTTCACAGTAAGAAGGTCCTGGGTTTCTGAGTGGCGTTTGCATGTTCTCACCGTGTCTTTGTGGGTTTCTTCCGGGTGCTCCGGTTTTCTCTAAACCACTAAAAGCATGTACAATAGTTCAGGGTGAATGAGTGTGTGTGACTGTAAGACAACGGATGCAAATAAGGCTCCAATCCAGAGAGGTGTATTCATTAACATGCACTGTCCCAACCAAAGACATCTATGTATTCATTCTAAAAGAAAAATATTTAATTAACGTGTTTGACTCAATCTATATTTATCCCTGGCTCATTTGCAATAAATAGATTTTTCTTATTTTCCTTTATGTAGTCATACTGTATTGAATATTTGAGTTTGATTTTGATTTAGTGAAAAGTCCTTAAGATTTCGCATTTCTTTATCCATCATAGTTTTGATTGTTCTCCACATTCAGCTGTACCGGGGTTTTCTCTGAAGTTTTCCCAGAACACTGATTTTGCGTCTCACTTGTTCTGGTATTTCTTCATTCCATTAACATTCTGTTTATCTACTAAAGACAATACAGAGACATACAGGTCAGAAGAGACGGGGGATTTATGTTTAAAATCAGGCTTACCAAACAGTTGAACTTTTGTTCAACTTTTGTTTAAACATTTGAATGGAAAATCTTCTCACAATATTTTAACAACTATGTGCTCACAACAACTTTTTCTCATGTTTCTAAGAGGTTTGCTAAGGGAAGCTGGAGTTTCCCCCCACTAATCACGGCATTTCATTGGTCAATCAGATGAGCTATGGCTCACATCTGGATTCATATCTGGATTTACAATATCAAAGTATAAACACCAGGATGGGGGTGAGCGCGGCACAAACGGTGACTAAGCTAGAAGAGTTTACTTTTCAAAGTCCATACGAGCCAGAGCGAGTTGGAACAAAACTTCCCTGTTGGGCTTCATTGAGCTAGCGGGTTAGCATTGTCTATCTGTTTACCACAAGACTTTCTCCACCGACTCCCACTGATGTCTGCTGTCGTTGTGTCTTTGGCAAGACACTCTGGGAACACCATGTGCCACAGTGGGGCAGCTGCGGCTGTCCTTAGGCAAGACACTTCACCCAAATTGCCTAGAATGAGTCTGGTGTGTGTGTGAAGAGTTGGTGGTGGTCGGAGGGGCCGATGGCACAGACTGGTTTCCTCGTTTCTGTCAGTGTGCCCCAGGGCAGCTGTGGCTACAGTAGTGGTTTATTACCACCGTGTATGGAGTGAATGAATATTGACATGTGAAGCGTCTTTGAGTGTCCAAAAAAGCGCTATATAAAATGTATTTATTATTATTATTATTATTATTTGGTCCTGTATACAGTCTATGATCCGTGTTTTCGCAGTGCCATGTCCTCCCGTCCTGGACCAGAGGGGCTACATGAGCTGCACCGACGCCGCTTTGATCCGCTGGGAGTCAGGAAACACAAACCCGGTCGACTCCTACACTGTGGAGATCCAGGAACTGACCAGCGACGGAACACAGAGCGACTTCAAAGAGTAAGTTTTGAAACATATAAATTGTACTGTTTGTCTATCATTGAACTGAAATTTTGTTCTTCAATTTGGGAAACCTGACTTTCCTGAAAATAATGATGTAATAGATTCCATGTAACTGCTTTCTCGCTCTCAAAACAGTTTGGTTCCATCACTAGGTTTCCCATGCATGTGTCTGAGGCAGTACCAGCCTTCACTCAGCCAATCAGCTCTCAGTATGTAAAAGACACATGTGTTTTCCCATGAGATGAAACAGAAAAGAAAACATTAAAGCTGGGGTAACTGTTTTTGTTTCATAAATACTTCTCGTTTGACTGAACAGAAAGAGTCTTGTTTAAATACCATTGTGTGAACATGCTACGTTTATCTATTAGATCAGCATTTCAGATTTATGCAGCTAAAATCCTGAACAGTATTCCTGAAAACGTGAGACAGACTTCTACTTTGGCAATGTTCGAATCAAGGTTAAAAACTGTTCTGTGTAGATAGTATCTTCACTTTTAATTATTAGTTTTGATTTTGATGCCTTGTACAATTGTCTCCATCTTGTTCTGTTAAGCATTTGAGTTGCCTTTGAGTTGCCTTTTTTATGAACTGTGATATACAAATAAACTTACCTTTCCTTTCCTAGAAAACATGTTATCTTTTTAATACTGGGAGCTGATTGGCTGATTAGGGCTGGTCCTTATCTACGTATATGTGATGTGAAGGAGACCAAAGATACTACTATTGAGAGATTGAGGAACTAGCTACATTATTATTGCATTAAAATATTATTACATGCGATTATTAATGTCTTGTGATTTCAAGGTTAGGTAAACCAGCTTTGATTGATTGATTGATTGATTGATTGTTATTTATTTGAGCATTTTACAAACATATTTTTCATTGTTACAAGGTTACACTGGTATAAAGTGGCTCAAAAGGAGTAGGCTGAAGCAAGAAAGCTTATTAGTGCCCACCCCCTGTTCCAAGTGACCACTTTAAGCTGCAGACAATAACCGTGAACACAGGCATCATACAGTTTACATACAATAAACACGAGTTCCTGAGTTACCCAGGCACGTGCACATCAGAAGGTGCATGGGCCTGTTTACTTACAAGCAATTAGTGAATGACATTTCCATACATAGACACACCCAAGGCTCTGTGGATGTGCTCATCCATGATCACAATCAATTCTACGATTACAGTTGTCCAGGTTAACCAAACACACGTCAGCATTGATTAGAAAAGCATTCATGATTATACAATATATCACAAGTTTTTCACACGACTACCAAGGTAAAATAATCATTATTATTATTTATGTGGGTTTATATATTCATATATACACATGCATACACATACACATACACACACACATATATATATATATATATATATACATATATACATACACAGACATACAGTATATATATAATTTTTTTATTTTTTTATTTATTTATGTTTTCTTCATTTCGTATGATAACCATATACCATCATTACCTAAGAATACCGATCACAAATCTTTTGACTGATCAGGATTTCATTATTATTTGCATTACATTTGTCATAATTTTTCTTTCTCAACAATACATAATCATGATTATAAGTCCCCTTACCATCATTCCCATTTTAGAATCACATAATTTATTTGCACTACACATTTTTGTAGAATGTCCTCTTGCCGTCATTCTCGATTCACTATAAAATATTGGTTGTGACTGTAGAATTACTTTTTGTTGTTTGCCTTTTTAAGTGAGATGCATTAAAAAGCAAGGGCGTGACGTGGCCAGTTGGCTGAGGGCAGAGACCCCCCCATCAGCTAGCCACTCCCTGCTCCCTAACTATGTATTGTGTAAGGTTTTATGTCCTGTGCCGGGTAGTGCTTTGAATTTGAGGTTGGTGACACTGGTTCTTTCGGCAATGATGTGGTTAATCAGATTCACGATAATACTTAACAGATTACATGTCTTTAGCATATTTCTCAAACACACTTCTCTTGTATCGTTTTTTGAATAGCTGTAAACAAGCAACATCTTTTAAGGGTTCCTCTAGATTATTCCACAATTGTACACCTCTCCGGGTAATACAGCAACTTTTTAAGGAAGAGTGAACACTTTGAACTTTGAGGTAATGAGTACCTCTGAGGTCATATCTTCCATCTCTTTTACCAAACATTTGTTGTATGTTGCTAGGGAGCTGGTTATTTACAGCTTTATATACCTGTAACAGAGTATTATATTTTATAAGATCATCAAATTTCATTGTGTTTGATTTTAAAAACAGTATATTTGTGTGGGTCCCTATAACCGACGTTATGAACGATTCTTATGGCCTTCTTTTGAAGTCTATATAAAACCTCTAAATGACTATTGAAGGTATTTCCCCAGACCTCTGAGCAATAGTTTATGTACGGTTGGATTAAGGAACAGTACAGGGTGAAGAGAGCCTTTTGGTCCAGAAAAAATCTACATTTGCCCATAATTGCCACATTTTTTGCCATTTTCCCTCGAATGCTATCTATTTGTGGTCTCCAGCTAGCCTTATGGCTGAAGACCACACCTAGAAATGTATATTCCTTGACTTGTTCAACTTGAACATTATCAATATTGATTTTAATTTGAATATCACTATTACGTTTACCAAAAAGAATCATTTTTGTTTTCAATATATTCAGCGACAGTTTATTTCTACAGAACCAATCTTTCAATTTGTATAATTCAGTTGTGACCTCTGAGACAAGCACTTGTAGATCTTTGCCAGAACCAATAATTGTTGTGTCGTCCGCGAATAAAATAAATCTCAACTTTGTTGAGACTTTGCACAGATCATTTATATACAACAAGAACAATTTTGGACCTAATATAGACCCCTGGGGGACTCCGCATACTATGTTCTTCCGCCCTGATACATGTTCATCAATTTGTACGTACTGCTGTCTTTCAGTCAGGTATGACTTTAACCAATTGTTAGCCACCCCTCTGATCCCATTATTATTAAGTTTACTTAAGAGGATTTCATGATCTATAGTGTCAAAGGCTTTCTGGAGGTCTATGAATATACCCAAACAGTACAGTTTATTGTCAATGTTATTGGTGACTTCTTCGTTTAGATTGATTAGTGCATGTGCTGTAGACCTGTTGTTTCTGAACCCGTACTGACAGTCACTGAGTAAGTTATGTTTATTCACAAAGCTGTCCAAACGGGCAGCAAAGAGTTTTTCTAAAATCTTGGATAGTTGTGGAAGTATAGATATCGGCCTGTAATTAGTAAATTGATGCTTATCTCCATTCTTATAGATTGGAACGACCTTGGCAATCTTCATGAGGTCTGGGAATTCTCCAGTTGAAAAGGATAGATTACAAATATGTGTTAAAGGCAAAGTAATGTTTTGTATAACTTTTTTGATCATGTTCATGTCAAAGTTGTTCCAATCAGTAGATTTTTTACTTTTGAACGCCTGAACGATTGTGATTATTTCATTTTCATCCGTTGCAGTGAGAAAGAGGGAGTGTTCGTTTCTACCTTTGTGTTGAGAAACATTACTACATGTTTTGGCTATTTTTGATGCCAAGTGAGGCCCAATATTGACAAAATAATCATTGAACGCATTAACTACACCCTCCCCTTCTGTAATTTTGTCATTGTTTGCCATCATATAATCCGGGTAACTAGCTTTCTCCATGTCTTTAGACATTACATGATTTAAGACTTTCCATAGTCCTTTCATATTGTTTTTGTTAACCTCTATCATATTTCTATAGTAATTTCTTTTGCAGTTTTTTATTATACTTGTTAATTTATTCTTATATTTTTTATATTTCGTTTCGGTTTCCAATGTTTTCTTTTTTATAAATGTTTTATATAAGACGTTTTTCTTTTTACATGCGTTCAATAATCCCTTTGTCATCCATGGGACACATATCTTTGTTTGTGTGTATTTGTGCGTTACCACAGGACAATGTTGATCATATAACTGTTTGATTGTGTTAACAAATTGTGAGTATGCAATATTAAGTAAGTAAGCTAGTAAGTAAGCTTTTATTTATATACCGCCTTTTCACTGCACATCGGAGTCTCAAAGCGGTTTACAATTGTTGGGTGGGGGTGCCAGTACAGGAGGCACATGTCAGACCTATTGTACATATTTTTAGTGGTAGGGGAAACCGGAGCACCCGGAGGAAACCTACGCAGACACAGGGAGAACATGCAAACTCCACTCAGAAAGGCCCTGGTCCAACCAGGATTCGAACCCAGGACCTTCTTGCTGAGAGGCGAGAGTGCTATCCACTCAGCCACCGTGCCGAGTGGATAGCACTCGATATTAACATCTTGTTCTCCAAGAACGTTATTCCAGTCCTGATCTGACAAACTGCTTGAAAGCGTTCATCGAGCACTCAGATGTCAATCTTACATTCTTAACCATAAGTTTACTTTTGTTTTTCTGATTTTTTTGTTGTATTTTGTATAGAGTGAATACTGGTAAGTGGTCACTGATATCGTTAAACAGTATTCCACTTGTCATATTGTCAAGAACATTTGTGAAGATATTATCAATCAATGTTGCACCGTGTGCAGTTATCCTTGTGGGGCGTGTGATTAAGGGGTAAAGCGACAGACTGTACATGGTGTCCACAAATTTTTCAGTGGGTTTATGAGATTTTACTTTCAGTAAGTCGATATTAAAATCTCCGCAAATAAAGACATCTCTGTGGTTACTATAAGTGAATATCTTTTCAATATGTTCAATAAAACCTTCAATATCTGCACCTGGTGCACGGTAGATACAAGAGACTAATATATTTTTCCTGTTTTCAAAAGTTATTTCTATCGTCACACATTCAAACATATGATCGATTGCCATTGTCATTTTATCACACAGTTTAACATTAAAGTCTTTATGTACATACAATGCTACTCCACCACCTGATTTATGTTTTCTGGTTTGATTGAACATTTGATACTCCTCAAGCTCAAAATTCCCAATTTTGTTTTCCTTTGTCCAAGTTTCCGATAGTGCAATTACAGCTGCGTTCAGATTAAGTTCGTTCAGATAATCTTTTATTTGTTCAAAATTAGCATAAAGGCTACGGCAATTTAAATGAACTATTGGCATGCTTTCTGATTTTTCTAATAGTGACATTTGATTGTCTTGATAATAATTACAGTTACGACATATATTATGAAAAAAATGCATGTCAGGGTCCACGTCACTTAGCTGGTTAAATCTATCATCCATGAATGAAAAAACTTCAAGTTCTGCCTCCTGAGTGAAGCTTATGTCCTCATTGTCGGATGAGGAAGAGTCACTGTAGATAGTGTCTGTCATGTTGAATTATTAGGTGTGTTTTACCTTATCACTTGTACTTATCCAGCTCGTGTTCCTCCTTCACCCAGAGAACTCTCGCCTCCTCCGGAGCTCCATTTAGCTTAATGAAGACCCTGCAGTTGGTGGTCCAAGTCCCTTGAATCTTGCTTTGTTTCCGTAATAAGCGTGCTTGTTTGGCAATGTCGGCATTTTTCTTGGTTAGGTGTTCGTTTATGTATATGTTCGTTCCCTTTAGGAGTCTTCCTTGCTTGAGTAGGGCATTCTTTTTTTTCCTGTTTATAAATCGCAGAATTACTGCTGGTTTGAGTAGTTGTGCTGATATTTTCTGCATTTCACCGGCCAATGAATTCAGTGTCGTTTTAATAGTTTCCAAATCACCCTCCATTGATGCGGCGTTTCTCGTTTTAGGTTTTGTCATTAATCCCCGGTAAAGAGAGGCTCATATACGAGTACGCCTCCAGTATGAGCAGTGAGAGTTTACAACAACTTTAAAGTTGTATTGACCAAAACATAATTTAGTGTCTCACAAAGCTGTGTGTTGCTAGGTAAGTAAGTATCTAAGTATGTAAGTATGTAAGTAGTACCGCAGAGGCAGAAGTGGGATGCTCTGCTTTGTCAGGACCAGTGCTGGAGGATTCACATATTTTTAGTGCTTAGGAAAACAGCAGCACCTGGAAGAAAACCTTTAACATGAAAACTCCACTCAGAATGGCCCTGTTCCCACCGATATTCGAACCCAGGACCTTCTAAAGCTGAACAGTTTTTTGCCACCAAATTATGCGTCTAAAAAATAATGACCTGATTATTCTAAATATCTCAAATGTTATGAATACAAACAAGCAACAACGTATGAACGTATTTGGAGGCAGTTTCCAGTCCCTGCCCATTGGGATGCACTGTCCCATTAGTCTAGCCAGTCACTTCTCACTCATTGAACTTGAGTTTGTTTGGCCTCTTAGGGCTGACAGTTACCGAGCTGCTGATTCAAGACACTTTGTCCCAGAAAATCTATATTTAGCTCTGGCTCCTGCGGCAACATTCAACACAGCAGCGAAATCTGGCCTCGTCACAGAGAATTAGGGCTGAATAAACTGGCTGCATTGTTCAGAGGTGTTCTGTATCATCACTCTGTTGGTTTGTATAATTCGTGAGGGTAATGACCTAATTCATAAGACACAAAGCCTCTGACAAATAGATTTTAGTTTTTTTAACTGACCTTTGTTAAACCAGGAAAGTCAGGAAAGATAATTAAAGACAGACTGAACGTGGTTGATACTTACTGTTTATGACGGTGTTTTAGTGTTTAGACAGTGTGTTACCTTGAGATGTTGTGTGGATCCAGAATCACCTCATTCAAAATGAGGCCAATGCTCATGATGGAGATGAGGAAACCATAAAATTAACTGACGTACTAAAACTTGAGCGCAAAGGTTGATTTTATTACATAGTATTATTTAAGCCTTGGTATATTATAATACGTAATAATTGTCCTTAATGCCTCATTTCCATGTGACAATGTTATGTTCTATAACTGGTTAAACATGACAGATTCTTGTGCCGCTGTATTTCCTGTGGTTTGTTTGAAGGTCGGTCGTGGCCGTCCCCTCGTGCCAGTGTCTGATGCAGCTGCAGCCGGGACAGAGCTACGTGGTCTCAGTGAGGGCCGTGAACATCGGGGGCCCCAGTGAGAAGAGCGAGGGCCTCCAGGTCAGCACAACAGGTGAGAGGCCCAGACTGTAGAAGGAGTAAATTCACAGAGGTGTGTGTTTGCTTAACACTTTCATTTCACTCCTTGAAGTAAGCAAGTATTTTTTCTTTGAAGTAAGCAATGTATTTTTTCTTTGAAGTAAGCAATGTATTTTTTCCTAAGATGTAGTAGCACTAACATGAATTGTTGTTTTTGAATTATAGGCCAAATTGTTGAGATGCAGTTTGATGGTAAAAGTGCCTTAAACAAAGTGATAGAGATGCCCCAATGAGGAGGATTTCAGTCCCAAGCTTCAAGCACCAACCATACTTTTCTCCAACGTGTCTTGAGTTTTCCCCTGGTCTCCTCCCAGTGGGACATGACCGGAAACATTTCCCCAGGAAGGCATCCAGGAGGCATCCCAAACAGATTCCTGAGCCACATCGACTGGCTCCTCTCCACGTGGAGAAGCAGTGGCTCTACTCCAAGCTTTAGAAGGTCCTGGGTTCGAATCCCGGCCGGACCAGGGCCTTTCTGAGTGGAGTTTGCATGTTCTCCCCGTGTCTGCGTAGGTTTCCTCCGGGTACTCCGGTTTCCCCTACCACTAAAAATATGTACAATAGGTCTGGCATGCGCCTCCTGTTCGGCGACCCCGCTCCCATCTCTGTGAGGAGTGAGAGGACAAGTGCCCAAAAAATATCAATTGTAAACCGCTTTGTGACTCTGGTCTGTGAAAGGTGGTATATAAATAAAGCTTACTTACTTACTTACTTACTTACTCCTCCCATGTGACTGAGCTCCTCACCTGGTCTCAAAGGGAGCACACAGACACTCTCTAATGAGGAGGCAAGAGACAGGACTTGGCTTTTAGCTTGTGTATTACAGCTCAGCAATGTAACGTGTAACCAGCATTTAGGAATCAACATAACTCTGTTTGTAAATACAGTGACACAACACATAACATAATGGATTTGATCCAATTTCGTTTCAGTGTTTTTTTTTCCCTTTTGTTCAAAGCTGCTGTCATTTATTATACTTTCGAAGCCATAGGAGACGTAGCCCAAGGAGTTTTATGCCAACATTTCTTTAATTTTTCTACACAATTTCCAGAGAAAACAACAACACCCGTATAGAGGATTCTGTACAAGATCAACACCATCTTTTTTAATCCTCATAATGCACTTTAACCTTTGTTTTGTTGTTTCCCGCAGGTACGTACTTCAGCCTCCTGGAGGAGTCCTCTCACCAGTGCCTGTGCTTCTCTGAGGACATGTTCACCATCAGCTACGGATACGAGGATCCGCCCATCAGCGCCATGGCCTTCGACGACAGCGGCTTCACTCGGTATGAACATCTGCTGCTGTGGTTTTCAAAGTTAGGAAATATCATGCCAAGTGTCCAGAATCTATTCAATTCAGTTCAATGAATTTGTGTATACGCTAAATCAGAACAATTGTCTCGGAGGGCTCTACAAAGTTATCAATTCCTCCACAATAGATCAGAGAATCAAACCGTTCAAACATAGGAAATGCAATAATAACAAACATATTGGTCCTTAGTTAAATTGTGTTTGAGTTTGAGTAGAAGGGAGTGAAGCCCATTGAAATGCCTGGTGTGGTGTCTATGGCAGGTGCGTGGCGGTGCTGGGGGACCTGCTCTCCGTCAGGGGCCGTCATTACTGGGAGGTGCAGGTGGAGGATGATACGGAGTACAGAGTGGGCGTGGCCTATGAAGACACGGACAGAAACTCTTATCTGGGCGCCAACAACACGTCCTGGTGCATGAGACACATCCTCACCCCGACACGGTAACCTCTCCGATAAAAACCCACCATCAGTTTAAACAAAACTTATCTTTGCATGTTCTCCCTGTGTAGGTTTCCTCCAGGTGCACCGGTTTACCTTCCCACTAAAAACATGTACAATAGGTCTGAATGTAAAGACAGATTGGATGGATTTTGATGGTTAGAGGCTCGATGAACCAGTGTGTTTGCCGTCTTGCTTCTTTCATCAGCGTGTGTGAAGTGAATGGGAAATACCACTAAAAAGTCAAATGAGCTCTTTGGTCTGTGAAATACACTGTATGAGATTTACATTGAGGGCATTTGTCTTTCACTCCAGAGATGGGGTGAGATTGTCTGAACATCCAAAATAAAACCAATACAGGCAACATTTTCCATCTTATATTATTCCATGGAAACAGAAATGCACCAGACTGGACCCACTTGGTTGAATCTGGTTCCTGTCTGGTGTCCTGCTCGATTAGAGTGAAAATGGTTCACCTGGAGGACCAAGTTGAATACCCCTGGTTTTGGAAAATGGGCAAATTCAAGTCATACGATCAAGTTAAATGTCTGAGTCTAGTCATGTGGATTATGTGCCCCATTAAATCACGTGTTTACGTCTTTCATTGAGCTGCTAGTACTGCTGTAAAGTAGAATATTAGTTGGAAATTCAAATTGTACATTCCTTCTTGAGATTCCATGTTTTTCCTTCTCTGTATTTAGACATAAATTTGAGTTTCTGCATAACGGCTGGAGCCCAGACTTGAGGATCACAGTGAACCCGGTGCAGATCGGCGTGCTCCTGGATTACGACCGTGGCACGCTGAGTTTCTACAACGTGGATCTGAAGCAGCATCTCCACACGTTCCACTGCGACTTCCGGAGCTTTGTGCATCCCTGCTTCGGCCTGGACAACCCCGGCGAGCTCTCGGTCCACAACGCCATCCAGATGCCAACATTCACCTGAGGAAGGAAGTCTGTGCCACAAAAACATAACCCAAAGTTCCAAGGCCTTTTCAGAGCTGATCCTCAAGAGAACAATCTGAAAAACTCCTGAAACTGATTTGTGAGATTGCCTGGCAATAATTCACAAAATGCTTTCAGACTATACAGAAAAACAAGAATTGACCTTTAATTTAACCATGAAAGTCACACTGAGATTTGAGTCCTAGACCCAGTCTTGGTTATAAAAAAAAAAAAAAAAAAATCCCTAATGAAGAGAATACTGTCCATGTCTTATACACTCGATCGTCTGAAATAAAACCAATGCAGACAAAGTTTTTCATCTCTTTTATTATTCCATGGGAACAGACATGCACCACTTTCCAAGATTTGAAAATAAGTATTCAATTTTACAATTCATATTCTAAGAAACTGTGCAACACCTAAGCTTCCATTTGAGCAAGAGGCAAGCAGTTAAACTCTAGAATGGACAAATAGATGAAAAAAATAACTCGTTTTGTACGCAAAGGGTTAGATCACCTCAAGCGACAATTCCAAGCTGTGTAGTCTCCATCTTATATACACAGGAAAACAATTCAGCAGAGGTGGCAAGTACGAATTTTTGACCTTGTATCTCTATTGTCTACTTACATAACATGGTTAGCAAGCTGTATTTTCTTTTGCAGAGAAACTTACCTACCTCATACATATCTATACGACCTCCCATCCACGTATTAGCCAAGCCCGACACTGCTTAGTTTTGAAGCCATGCATTCTACCTTTATACTGTCCCGGTACAAAACTATTATATGGCATATATGGCAGTGTCCTTAAATACTAAAAAGGTATAAGATTTTCCAAAATGTTAGAAACCGCCCCCTCCACCTGTTTGAAAAAAACAAACAAACAAACCCCGTTCTTACTTGGAGAGCCAAATCACTGATCTACTCAAATTTAAAAATAATCCTCAAACACCTTCAAGTACATATGAAACTCATCACTTTTACTTAAATTACAACAAAAATGTTGCGTCTTATGCCCAACTAAGACTCTTTGAATAAAATCAGACTCTCTCCCTCATTTAAAAAAAAAACCTATTCCTCTAAGAGCGAGCCTTGAGAGTCAATCTGACACTGAGCTGAGAGCTAATTGGAACATGTTCTGTCTGAAAAAGCAACTCTAAAGACACAGAACAAAATGACAGTTGAGAACTTTAGTGAGAGGGTCACTCGTTCATCATTCTTGTCCAGTGGCCGAGCTTTATAATTAGCTACTGTACGACTGAGCTAAAGTTGGCTGAATGACAAATTACCATCTCAAAAACAAAAAAAGGCTGGCACTTTTATTCAAATAAAGTGAACAGCTGAAATCCAGATAGTGTAATCTTTACAGAAAATACTTTGTGAGCAAGGCAGAAAAGCTTTGTTTGGACATGCTTGGTTTAGAGCCAGGTTTTACACTAAAGCTGGGGTACCTAAGACTAGTATTGTTGCCACCTCTGCAAATCACAAAAAGCTGTGTGGTCCTATGTTAAAAAACACCTCACTAGACCTAAGAAAATACTTTATTTCAAAAATCACTAGAAATGTATATTTTTAGTAGATTTATAATCATTTGACCTTTTCAGGTGTAAAATAAACTCACAGCTTGGAATGGTGCGTATGAGATGGGTTTTCCTTTTGTGTACACTTGTTGGTAGATTCTAGTGAACATGGCGCCCTGCACGCCTCCGGAGGGTCATGTCTTACTGCTGTGAGTCTCCTCTTCTTCGTCAGAGGAGTCTGCTCCGTATGGAACCAGACCAGAGGCGTCCACCACTTTGCTTTTCTTTGTCTGGATTTCGTCGTCGACACCTGTCAGAAAACACACACAGACACAAACACACACAAAGAAAGAGGAGGAGAGGAGCCCAGTGACGAGGCCAAAGTTATCAGCAGGATGAGGCGGGGTTTCAGTCGCAGTCAAACCAGTCAGTCATTGCGGCGGCACAGAACCAGGCGAACAGCACAGAACCAGGTGAACAGCACAGAACCAGGTGAACGGCACAGAACCAGGTGAACAGCACAGAACCAGGCAAACAGCACATGTGGAGAGAGAGAGAGAACAGAGGAGACAAAAAAGAACATATACAAGAGCAGAGCGTTAGTGAGTTTTATGGAGATTCAAGGGGGTTTAAAACAGCTCCCCACTGCCACCGTGAGGCGACACAATGATCAATACAACCTCAGATGTGATGAGAGAGGAATGACACTTTTTTTTGTTAACGAGGTTCAATCATTTGAGTTAGAAAAGGCTTTGGTCGTCTTTGAGTATTGTGAAAAGCAGATTCGCCCCTACCACACACATAGATCCATTGATAAATTTTGTTTGTAAATCTAGAAAATGTCTTCCACCATTATGAGAATAATATACAAAAATATTAACTGTAAAGTAACAGGATATCACTGGTGAATTAAACATTGGGCCCTAGACCAACATCAAAACATTGTGTCAAAAGGCAAAAAAAAAGAAAGCTAAAAAATGTATCTTAAACAACTCTTTAAAATTGGGCACAAATAAAAACTGGGGTACGCAATATTCAAAGCTGGCTCAAGTTTGAAAAGAGGTTATTCCCCGTACAGACAGTGTTTACGGCATGATTTTTTTTCATCTGTTGGGATCAACATTTGTATACGTTTTTAAGTTGGGTACCCAAGCTTGAATTGCCAATTGACTGAAAGATTTTAGTTCTAGTGAAAAATCAAAATGAGTTGTACCCGGTGGTGCAAGAGGCGGTGGTGCAAGAGGCGGTGGAGCAAGAGGCGGGGCAGCTGCCGGAGGGTCAGGGTCTCGTGTCCGCTTACGGAGTGGAGGAGCTGGGCAGGTGAAGACTGGGGGAAGCGGCGGCGGCATCAGGAGACTGTAAAGACCAGTGAAGGGGTGAATAAACCGACAAAACATTGGATCACATCAGGATATCCCCATCGCTGTCAGACTGTACAATAAGTCACTTTAAGTCACTAATAGCCGCACTAGGAAAAAAACAAAACGCACTGCTGCAGCTTTTTATTGTACATAATATCCTGCATCAGAAAGACTATTTTTTACATGTTTGCACACTTGTCTTTTTGCACAACTCGAGTGACACCATCTATGCCAAATGTGACAGTTGGTGGATCCCTCAGACTAGTCTTTTAGAACACCTTGTGACATTGACATTGATTATAAATAGTAGACAGAACAGAAATAGGCTGCTATTTGTGTGGAGATTCGAGATCAGGTGATTCAGATTAACATTTACTGAAACAAAACTACAGTGAAATAAATAACACTGGATGCATTCACTGTACTTTTCAGGAGTATGAACAAACTTATAAATCACTGACCGTTCGACGACTTTCTCTTCTGCTGGTTTGGAGACCGGAGCAGGGCGTTCAGGAGACTTTGTGATGGGCTGTGGAAACAAAAACTTGATTTTAAACAATATCTTGTATGTGTGTGTGTTGTGTGTGTGTTGTGGTTTTGTTTGTTTTGTTATGTTGTAAACATTTGTAATGAAAATGAAGGAGACCCCAGGTAGAATAGCCCCGGCAATAAGTCAGGAGCTAATGGGGCTCTCAATAAAATGAAAAAAATGAAATGAAATGAAATCTTCCTTTCAGGTTAAATTGTATAAACGTTCTGGCAAGTAGTCATTTCAGAGTATGGTAGTGCACTTGAGTAAAAGACTAGAAACAAAGTCATTTTGACAATCACTGCATTTGCTGGTTTCATGGGCATACATGGACTGTCAGTTTGCATTACAACCCGCCTCTTTTCACTCAAGTCTCGATTATGAGTAATTTATATGGGAATGGGGCCTGACCTCCTCAGACTGCGGAGCCTGGAGCGGCTGCTGTTTGGGACTTCCTGTGCCTGGGGCGCTCACAGAACCCTCAGCCTCCACTTTCTCTGCTACAGGAACCTGAAATCAATAATGACAGTCGAGCCTCGGTCATAACGATAAGAGTTTGTGTTTTTATCCCAACATGTAAAAAGGTGTGAATAAATCAGGCATAAAAAAGAGCCACTATTTGATACTGGTGCAGAGAGCTGAATGGCTTTTCCCCCTATTTTCTGTCTGAGAAAATTGTCGTTGTTAAATAAGTGATGTCAAACGGGTTAGATGGATTAAATTACATAGTTACATTACTGCAATATGAATGTTATGTATCCCAGATTTACTCAGTGTGTTTTTAGCCTACAGGTTGTGGCTGTAGCTGGACTGAATGGAGGAGTTACCTGGCCGCTGTAGGGCTGCGGTGGCCGGGGACACATCGGATACTGAACCATAGCCTGAGGAGACGGAGGGGTGGTCGACAGGTTAGATTGACTTTGGGCAGCGCTCGCGTTACTCCAGTAACCCACTGGGTACGCTGCCGGGTAGGCGCCTGCATACCCATTGGCTGGGTAGTTATACCAGGATCCCTGGTTAGAGTAATTGCTATTAGGAGGATATCCATGACTTGCAAATGCTGAAAGGAAATGGAAGTCTGAGTTAATATCTATGTGTGTCGATACTGACTCTTCTAACAACATTTGGATGAACGTTAAAATTACAACTAGCCATTTAGAATTAAGAAACAAACTGTTTTAAACACAGAAAACAATTTTCCACTTACCTCAACTATAGTAATGTGGGTGCAAAACAATTCCATGGCAAATCATTAACAGTCAATTTTAGAATATTATAAACGGCATCATGGTTTAAAATATGTGTCAGATCTGGTTTGTCAGTAGGAAAAGACAGTACATCTTCACCTCCGCAGAAGAGACGATTAAATGACTAGCTCCTTTAATATCCTCCTCACACATCCAGACTGGACCTCTGCCAGGTCCCACCAGGGTTTACTGTCTTGGCTACATTTATTTTATTTTTATTTTCTGTATGTGTATTCATGTGGATTTCGTTTAGTTTTTTGTGGTTTATTCAATACGGTAGGCCTCCACTTTTGTCCATTTACCAAAAAGGCCTAAAAACTTAAAGAGACTGAAGTATTTACACCACATCATGTAAAACCACTTTGCATCTGTCAGATAATCGTGCAGGTAAATTCCTGCACATGGCACAAAACTCACTTGTTGCCGCAGCAGGAACTGGGAACGCTGCCGTCACCCGGGCGTGTTCAGCTCTCACCTAAAAAAAATAAAACAGATCCTCTTCAGAACTGATGCCAAACAAAATATTGACAATTTCACACAGTAATAATTCAAACTGCCATGTGGGTGGAGAGTAGGTCACTTCAAATACAGTCTTGTGATTAGTAGTTTACTCTTTCCATTTTACTTTTGGAGGCGGGTATCAGTGAAGACTACACAGCTCAATAGCTTCACCTTCTTAAACCTCCAATCATTGTATACAGTTTATTTTTGTCAATATCAACAAACCGTCCCCAGCAGGTTTTCCGTGAGTCTCTTTGCTGCCTCCAGTCCTTCTGGATTTGGATGACTGAACAAAAAAACAAAACCAGTCATTCAAAAAGACGTTTCAACTTCAGAGGAGAGAAAGATTTAAGAAGCGATTTACCTGATGTAGACGTAAAGAGGCTCAAATGACTCTCGTTTGGAAGCTTGTTCGATGTATCCGGAGCCCTTCCCGCGGAGGAACACGCGTGAACCAGTCTCTGATTGGATATGTCCCAGATACGCCCCCGAGGGTCCTTCCACTTTCTCCTTCACGTTGAAAGAAGGCAGCGCATGGTCCAGACCTACAAATATTTTTGTGTGCACAAAACTCTGAAAGATAGGAGGTCATGGAAATGCATTTTAACTAAATGTTTGCAATTTAGTGTTATTGGTCATGACACTAAAGTGCTGAAAACTAGTACTAATCTACTGTTTGTGAGCAGACACAACAATCTTTAGTCCAGTTCTTACAAACCAAAGATGTTCTCTGCTTTTTACTTTAGGAGGTGGGTATCGGTGAAGCAATAGGGCCTCTTCAAACTTCACTTTCTTAACCTCCATGTGTTATACACACTTTTATGCCTGAAAGTAACTCTTTTAAAATAATAAATTAAAAGGTGGGGTACCAAATTTTTTCATTCATAAATAATAAATGTTTGTCCAGACACAAAGAGTCTAGTAAAAGGAAGTTGTGAATAAGACAGACCACAACTTGTAACTTTTTGTGGCACCACCTGCAGGTGAAAGCCTGATCCTGTCAGACCTCTGAAGCGAAGCAAGTTTTAAGAGCAATGAACTAGTTCAATGGATTTAATAATATTGTTCAATTCTTTTTGTAGTTTGTACCCCAGCTTTAATGTAACCTATAATATAATATATTTGTTCACTTCGACAAAAACTAAACCAGAGGAAATAAAATTACATTCCCAGCTTTACTAAAGAAATATGGATGATAATGGACTGCCTTCTCACCCCGATGTGAGGCGCTGCTGGGCGATGCCCCATGACCGGCGCTGGGACAAATCCAGAGCTCATGACGGGGCGCGGAGGCTGAGGGTACAGCGTGAGAGGAGGCACGACAGGAGGCGGCACCCCTGAGGCTGCCGACGCCCGGATCACATCCTCAGCAATGACCTCCTTTATCTTCATCACGGCTTCTGCAGATCCACAGAGTCATGAGTTTCCGTTAGTGTCGGGAGCCCGACAAAGTCACTTACTGTTCACTTGTTCCTGCGTTTTCCCTTGGACTTGTAAATACAGGGGTCTTTGTCTAAAATCAGATATGGAGTTTGTTAAAAGTGGTTCTTGTAATCTGCAAAAATGTAAAAGCAATGCAAATAAATGAGATGATTATACCCTGCTACTTTGCCCTTTTCAACATCTGCCATGTAGTGCCCTTTGGTTGTGACCACTGCTCCGCTGAATTGTCGAATCTGTATAAACAAACATGTTAAAGGCAGGGATCCAAACTTTACATAATACGTTGTGCTGAGAAAGATTTTTCTCTTTACAAATCAGACAATATAATGCGATAGAATTAGTTACTATTTATCTTTTGTACACTTTTAAGTAACACTTTAGTGTCACCATTTGACGCTTTGGCCTGAGACTCACAGGGACTGGCCCCCTGCTGGTGCCTGGAGCCAGGAATAAAAGTGGGCATGCAGTGTTTTAGATTAGTGCAGCTAAAATCTGGAACAGTCTTCCTGAAAATGTGAGACAGGCTTCAACTCTGAACATTTTCGAATCCAGGGTAAAAACTGTCCATTTTAGCTGTGTAAACAACTGAGGGATTCTATCTTCTCTATCTTCCCTTCTTTAAATGTACTGAGATTATGATTTTAATGCCTTGGATGATTGTTACAATCTTGTTTTAGTAATACTTGGGTATGAAATGTGGCATGGGCAGAAAAAAACCCTAAAAAAGTCATTAGTATACCTCCTCTTGAGTTTTGCCTTTAGTCAGAAGGTCTCTGCTGTTAATAGGAACGTCATTGATGTCTACTTCTGTGACCACCATCTCCTCGACGGCAATAGACACCGGGACGACTGTAGGCTTCTGAAGCGATAAAGCATAACAGCCCATTCATAACTACAGATAAGCCATGTGAATGAATGTGTGACATCAACAGCACCTTTGCCAATAAAGGTGGTGGAGTCATGAGTTTCCCTTTAGCCATCAACATTGCATTGATCTTAGCCGCCATAGCAGCTGCCTTCTCCACTCCGCCTGCAGAGACATCTCCGGTTTGTGCTGACGAAGGCACAGCGCTGTTTGAAGATGCACCATGAGCAGGCTTGTCCCAACGACTTTTCAGGCATCTACAATCAAAGATACACCAAAATCTAGTCTCCAATTCAATTATCAGTAACATTTTCTTTTTCTTTTCTGGACACTCAAAAAACACTTCACAGCATTACTCATTCGCCCCATAAACAGTTGTGATAAACTACTACTGTAACTCCGGCTTCCCTGGAGCACACAAGAAAATATATAAGTGTAGTATATTTGTAAGCAGATCAAGTAACCCAAGGCCAGTACTTTCCAACCAAAAGGTGTTCTATCCACTTTTTAATGTAGGAGGTGGGTATCAGCGAAGCAGCATGGTCTTGATTTGCTTCACCTTCTTAACCTCCATTGAAATGATTAGCTAATTATAAATCAACGAACACAACTTAAGTGAAAGATGCACTATCTTCAGTTGCTCAAACAAGTAAGATAAGGAGCAGCTCGTTTCATTGGGATTTATTTCGTATGTAATGACTTCACAAACATATAGCTTAAAGAAACTAGCCATAGCCTTGCTAACAGGACAATGCTAGTGTTGCTAACATCTATAACACGTTAAGACTGGAGACACATTTTCTATGCGTCAAATAATTAAAACTCTCTGATGAGTTACACATTGACGTTATCAGCTGCCTGGTAGTCCATTTGAGTCTCATATCGTGCGGACTAAAGATAAAATGTGCGGATATTCGGCTAACAGCTAAGATAGCCGCCAAGCAAACGAATGTGGCTATTGTGCATAGTTTATAAGTCTAAGTGTGTAACAATAAAACCACTCACGGCGTTTGGCCCGTCATGCCCCAAGACATATCACCACACCACACGGTCTGTAACAATAAAGCGGTATTAAAATCTTTTAAGTCAAACAAACGAGAGCCATCGATGAACTGCAGCCAAAAAAGCCAACGTGTGACGTAGATAAGGTATGTGACGTGACGCCACGCCACGTGACCTCAGAACTAAATCATTTTTTGTTTAAAAAAAATATATGATAAGTTTTGTAGAAAACATTTTACTCAATTACTGTGAAGATTCAAAAACAATAAACCAAATAGATGAACAAGATGAAAGGATATTAGATTTAAAACATAGATACTTGCCTTGGTGGCCTTTCTCTTTTCTATCCAACGCGTTTCCTTGTCCAGTTCTGTCTTCTGCCAGCTTACCCATGACACACCAGACATTTCTGAGTAACCATGGCTTCAAACAGTACTCACTGAACTAAAAAAGTACTTTGTACCGGTTGAACAGAGTTGACTTGGTCCAGTGTATTTCAGTTTGGTCATTTGGGCTATAACTAACAACTTTTTTATTTTATTTGTATAACCGATTGACCTAGTGATTACTCTCATTAATGGAATAGCATTGTCACGTATTCAAGTTTATAGTAGTTCATGATTATCCAACCTAAGCACACAGTGGGGGTGGATCAGTCTGTCACTGAAGCTGCTTTCCAGTGTAGACAGAGTGTCCTGCAGGGGGTGACAGTCATGGTCCAGCATAGATGTTTGTTTGTCCAGGACCCTCCTGTCCCCCACCTGCTGCACTGTGTCCAGGGGCAGCCCAGGACAGAGCTGGACTTCCTGATGACCTTGTCCAGCTTCTTCCTGTCCCTGTCTATAATGCTGCTGCTCCAGCAGACACTCTCTGGCCCTTCCTAAAGAGGGCATCTATGTTATCAGTCCAGAAAGTATGACATCTCAGATACAAGCGGTCCGCATGAAGGAGTAGAGCCGCTGCTTCTCCATGTTGAGAGGAGGCAGTTGAGGTGGCTCTGGGATCTGTTTTTGGTGCCTCCTGGACACCTCCCTGGAGAAGTATTCCGGGCATGCCTGGGAGGGGACCAGGGGAAGACTTAGGACACATTGGAGAGAAAATTGATGGATATACAGATTAGAATAAAAATAGTTTGTAAGCATTTTATAGAATTTAAATTGAATCTTTTAATGGACTAACCAAGTCATAATATTTGACCCGAGCTAAACATGGAGAGGCAGTTTCAGATATCTACATCTAAAATCAAGAACAGTCTTGCTGAAAATGTGAGACAGGCTTCTACTATAACAATGTTCAAATCCAGGTTGAAAAAAAAGTTATGTGAAGCTGTGCATACATCCAAAGGATTGCATTTTCACATTTTTATTGCACAGGTATTGTTTTTATATGAATGCCTTATCTTGTTCTAATAAGTAGTTTGAGTTGCATTGGGTATGAACTGTACTATATGAATAAACTTCCCTTGCCATGAATCATAGTAGGACATCAACCAACTGCAGTATGTGAAGTAAAAAAATGGTAAAACATACTGAAATGTACAGGAAGTAGATTTAAGATTTGACAATCTTTCCACCGTTTTGTTTCTTCCGATTTATCTTATCCAACATATTGATATACCGTTTTACACGACAGCATTCTTAAAGAAGAGTCAAACACACAAACAATTGACATTATTTTTATTCTTCATTGAATAGTTTCTAATTTTTCCGTGCCTTCAGACCAAGATGTGAATCAGAACAAGGAACAAATAGAGATCCCCTGATTGCATGTATACAGTTCTGTCATAGGAGAGAAATAAACATGTACAACTATGGCCTTCTCATTGACGGCCAGTTGCTTAGTTGTAATGACATTAATATACGGCTTAAAGAGGAAATAATATGAATATGCAACAGTATTTAACATAATATGATCCTAATCTGAAACCAATTAAGCCCCAACTTTAACAGAAAAGCTGATCCCTAGCTCTGTGCATAAACGAGTCGATTGAAATGATCAAAAGAGGCCTCAATAACAGTGATAGACAACATCTGAAATCCACTTTAAACCATATTGATTTGTGATATCGGATATGGTTGATCTCTCGCTGCTGCAAATCCAGTGTAAAATTCATTGCCTATACAAAAATATTGAGATTTACTTGATCATAACCTTTGGACTATAATAAAACTCCAGATGTCCTTTGCGGTTGCACAGTGGGATGTAGTGTATAAATATTGTATAAAATAAGGCAGTCTTTTCAGTAGGATAAACCAGATACAAAAATTTCTAGGAGGAACAAAAAAAGTAATGTCCAAAATATCTTCTTCACATATCCTTCTTTCTGTTGTCGAAGATGTCGAGTCGGTTTTTTGACACCTTTGAACCAAAGATTCATATGGGATTGTTACACAGCCACGCCCCATTCACACACGCACACACACACACACACAAACTCTTGATTTAACACAAAAAGAGAAAATAAAACAGCTTATTTCTAACATCCCGTATTCTGAAGGGTGAATCTCATGCGCAGGGTATTTTGTTAAGAAAATAATACGGTAACTTTCTGTTTTAAAGGTGCATTACACAACTTTTGGAAGTTCTGCCACTTGAACTTATGCAAAAAGTGGAGCTGTCGTTAACGAGTTACTTCATGCATTTATAAGCTTGGGTTCAATATGATGTTCTGTTGTCTCCAGGTTTAGCAGGTAACAGCAGCGCCAACATGACAAACGTTCATTTAATATTGTATCTGTACTACGCAGACGAGTGCAAAAGTCACAGCGGAGGTCACTCTGTGCACCGTGAGGAGGTAAAGGTCCCATGTGAGCGCTAATGACTCGTGAACCACTACAAACAGTCAAAGATTCTACTGAATTCTGAGAGAAAACAAGAGCAGGTTCTATCACTGACCAGAGGAAGGATCCACTGAACCAGCTCAGCTTCACATGCACCTGGAACAGTGTGGCCTCAAACTAGTCCTAAAAAACGGTCCTCAAACCGGTCCTCAAAAGGGTTGGTGTGGCTGCAGGTTTTCATCCACACCAAGCAGGAGCACTCCACTCATCTGTTATGAAGTCTTCAGACCGGGTTGAAGACCACAAATACAAACCATCATCAAGCTTTGTAAAACTAATAGTTATAAATTCAACTTACATTTATATATTTTCTCTGAAATAGTGACAAATGTTCTGGATGCCTCCTGGACGCCTCCTTGAGGTGCTGTTCCAGGCATGTCCCACCAGGAGACCAGGGGAATTCCCAGGACACGCTGGAGGGATTGCATCTCTCAGGTGGCCTGGGAACGCCTCAAGATTCCCTCGGATCTTGGTGGAAGTGTGTGTGGACAGGGAAGTCTGGGCGTCTCTGCTTAGACTGCTGCCCATGTGAAGTGGCAACGGATAAAGCGGAAGAAAATTGATGGATGGATATTGACAAATTCTCCAACATTCTGCTTTGCTTTAAGTGCTGAGATTAATCACAATTAATTGCAATTAATTCAATTTTTATTTGTTTAATCAGATCTTTTATTGATGGACGGTTCTAGAAAAATATGATTATTTTAAAGAATGTTCCACAGTGTTAAACGCACTGTTAACTGGAAACTAGTGACATCACCAGGCTAAATAACAGCTCATATCTGTGGAGAGTCGAGTCTTCTCACGGGAAGAATATGAAATCTTGAGCAGTAAAACCCTCTCTCATTACGGAGAACAAAAACAGAAGTTGCCTAGTGCACCTTTAAGGATAATTTCTTTTTCCATAATATTTCCTGTTTCTAACTTTGGCTTTTCTGTTTCCTCCATTTGTAAAGTTATCTATAGTCACATGTCTCGTAGCAGCGGCTTCACGTGACTCACTCAAAAGAAAGACACGCAGCTGTTTCATGGAATCACAGCTACTTGTCGTATACTTGGGAAGGACACGAGAATATTGCCAAAAAACGAACAAAAAAAATAACTAAATAGGAGTGTTCGTCCTTCGTTCCGGCGGCAGTCAGGCGTATTTTTAATCCACAAGAGTAACCTGAGTGCACTCACACCCGCTGGGCATCCGTCTCCCCCCTGTAAACTGCTCAGCCCTGGCTCGGCGAGTCCTTGTCCGTGGGGGAAGACTCAAAAAAAAAAGGCCAATACATTTTATGAAGGGACCCTCGCTCAGTCACCAGCTACAAATGCCCGAAGAATATAAAGTCTTCTCAAGGATTCAGAGTGTCCAAGCTTGTCCCGCACGTTTCTGTATTTGCCAAATGGACGGAGATACAGTACTGCTACGAAGGCAGGAGTGTCGAGGCGAGGCGGCCCAGGGTTTAGGGGCCCACCGGAGTAGAGGAGCATCGGGGTCCGTGTCCAGACAGGTCCCTTACTCTGGAGGCGGTCGCAGGCTGTGGAGCTTCCTCTCATCCAGCCCTTTCCAGTACTTGAAGTTGTTGTCCAAGTGCTGCATGAGGTTTGGGAGGTCTGCGAATGCTGGAAATATAAAACGAGAATTATCTTGAGATTTTTCTTAGCCTTAAGTTACCGTAAACAATACCACAGAAAGAATACAGAAGAGTAAAATGTGAACTAATCGGACCACATCATGCCCTAGTAGAAAGCCTGTTATCTGTGTTTAGTAAATCCAACGCACTGACCTACGATGCTGCAAAAAGTCACGAAGATGCACTATGGATGTACTATAATATTTATTATTGCTGCCAGAATTAACCGATACTTTCTAATTGGCGGTCACGTTAGCAGAACTTGTATCAAGACATCGTAGAATGTTAATTCGTAATAATATTTCATAAGTTATATGTAAAAATATGTACTGTGCAGGTTTGATATGTAAAAATAATCTGATTTAGTCCTGGAATAATCATGGTATAATCCTGGTGTAGTCCTGTATAATCCTAGTTTAGTCCTGGTTTAGTTCCTAGACTATACCAGGACTAATCCAGGTCTAATCCAGGTCTAATCCAGGTCTAATCCAGGACTAAACCAGGACTAAACCAGGACTAAACCAGGACTGACAATGGGGGCCGCAGTGCTTGCAGACATATGACCCTTAGTTTATTGTTATAATCACTTATTAATGTGTTGGGTTAACATTTTGAATAAATTACATGTGGTGGTTTCCCTGAGAAAATAGATGATATAACGTGTCATGGAAGCCCATTACCATAAATGCTGCAAGTAAATAGTGATAAATCACTGTAGGGGCCACTATAAATGGTCTTGGGGCTGGATTTGGCCCACAAGGCTCAGATTGACACTCCTGCTTTAGACCAATGGCTCCTATGTGTCCCCTGTGTTCGAACTGTTTGATTCTCTTGGTGAATCGACAACTTTGTAAAGTCCTCTGAGGCTACTGCTGTTCTTATTCATGGCTATACAAAAATAAATTGTATTGAATTGAAGTGTACCATCACACCTTTTTGTGTGAATGGACCTGGTGTGATGTCCTGGTGAGGATCCAGGACTTTCGACATTCAAAAACATTTATGGACATCTGTAACATTCATGGTCATTGGTCATCTGCCCCTTATGGACTAATGGCTTATGTGTTTTTCATCATTCCAGTGGTCCTCTGACATAACTACTTTTGTAATTTAGGGCTGTAAAAAATGTGTGTATTGAATTATTAGTCATAAAAAGATAACATTTCTTTAACAGTGAGAAGACTTACCATCCCATGCATCGAACATGTCTGTGATGAAGTAGTCTATGAAGGAAATCTGGGACTTGGGGATGCTACAGGTGTTTCTGTCGAAAACCGGCATGACCACCGGCAAACCCTGTCTCTTCTCCTCATCCGTCTGTGCAACACAACAACATAAGAATGAAAATGAAACGATAAAACGTTAGGACATAGGTGATGTTTAAATTGTATATATTTTAGATAATAATTGAAATAGTATGTTTTGTAGTAATGTTCAGCGTGCACATTGCAAACAGCTCCAGAAACATTGGAGAAAAGACTGGAATATAATACTATTTCTTTTTTGGTCTGATGTTTTTAGACAAAAAAACAATATATTTTTTGATATGACAGTTTTTTGTATTCCCAGATAAACATGACTTTTTATTTGACCAAGCGGCAAATGTCTATATGACAAGCTCATTGCTTTGATTCTATTTTATTGACATTTATTTCACCAGGAATGTCCCGCTGAGAACATCTTCTCTTTTTCAGGGGACTCCTGGCCCCAGAGAGAGGGGGCTGGAGTGGGATCAGGGACAACAGACGCTGTAGTCAGTAAGCACACGCTTCCAACGAGGCGCGTCGGCTGCGTTTTTTAATGCCCGAAAAGCATGCGGTCTGAACACAGCATTATGGGAGACTATTGTACATGTTTTTATTGGTAGAGGAAACCGACGCACGCGGAGGAACACAAAACAAGCAACCATGCTGTAATAATTGCAGTTAGGTTGCGTTCATGTGACATCACAACATTCCAAAGAGCCTACAGTTTAAAATTGCGGCAGTGAGGGCAGTTCAAAAATCGTTCCTGGTAACCGTCAAAAGTAATTACAGCTCATTTCTCTGCATTTCTTGGGCCAATCCACATACATGTCAGTCAGCACATTTCCACTATGGTCTCATTCATTTCTCACAAAGGTGTCTAGAAGTATCGCCTCAGTCCTCGTCCTGGATCCATGGAAGCAGATCCCTCCCTTAATGTGGGCCTCCCAGAGGTTTCTCACTAGTCCTGGGTTTTATTTGGGCCGTTCCTTGCCGATGCAGGAGGGTCTAAGGACAGTGGTGATCTGGGACATATGTTAACATTTATGGGCATTGGACATTTATGTGTTTCTTATTATTGCATCATTTCCTGTGTTCGAAGTGTTCGATTCTCTAATCTGTTGTTGGTGAATCGACAACTTTGTAAAGTCCTCAGAGACAACTGCGGTTGGGATTTAGATCTATACACAAATGCATTGAATTAAATTAGATCTAATATTATGTAGACCAGTGGAAAGTACTTTCAGTCACACAAACAAGGTTTGTTAATCTCTCTATCACTATAAAATAATGTTCTGTGAAAACCTTATATTTTAAATATTTCTTTCAAAACTTGCTCCTCCCAAACAGCATCATCTTCACCTGTGCAAAATACTCTTCGGAGATGCGGCCGGCCCATTCGATGCAGAGCTCCTGGGGGCGACACGGGTTGGAGATGTCTGCACACTTGATCAACATCCGCTTCACCAGGATGCGGTTCTCTGGAGACGTCAAGACACTCTTCACAGCCTCCTCATCGTTATTACCCTGAGACAAAATAAACAATGAGCTAGCAGCATGTGATGCTCCTGTATTTAATGCAAGCATGTCAGCGCACAAGCTCATGGACCTTTTAGCGCACACCTGTCTGAGTTGTTATTGAGTCGGATTTTCTATAACACCTACAATGACTAAACAGAAAACCCCCAAAGTGCCAATTTCACGTTTGCCACCCACTCGCCCTGTTGTGGGAAAGAAAAGAACATCAGATGGCGTTGTATAAGAAGACTCGGGACGCGGCCAGCGCTATGTAAAGCAGGCAGTCGAGTTTTGATAATTGCTAGTTAGGGAAGCTAGCGCTTGTCAAGTACAGCAGGCAAAAGTGCCAAACTGTTGTTGTGTCCTAACACTTCACCCACATTGCCTAGAATGAGTCTGGAGTGTGCGTGAATGGTTGGTGGTGTACAGAAGGGCCGATGGCTAACGCCTAACTTCTGTCAGTGTGCCCCAGGGCAGCTGTGGCTCCAGTAGTAGTTTAACAACAATGTGTATGGAGTGAATGAATAATGAATCCACGAGTGTCCAAAAAATTAACCCTTATCTAAAGCTTTTTTACAGTGCACATTTTTAAACCAGAAAGATTTATTATGGAGATTAAGTGTAGAAATATATAGTCAAAGATGCAAAACTTTCAAACCATTAAACTAATAAATTCCTAATTCTAATTGGTTCTTAACTAAAACAGTTTTTTTTTAATCAATAGTTTTGACATGCAGGACTTTCAGGCCTTTGTCACATGTGTAGAGCAGCTTCGTTTTCCAATAAGATGACGACACTCTTGGAAGTCACTCTTGGACTTTTGGGACAAATGTGAATTACACAGTAAATTACTGTACAGTCACAATTGTACATTGAGGGAGCACATGTTAAGTGTCCGTTTACTACAATGAAACAGTAATATATTTTTAAGGGCCTGGGTCAGGATGCCTCACACTCATGAGAAAGATGGAGCAGAGTTGTAAAATTCCCGGGGCCTAAAGACACACGGCGAGTCACTGGTCTCAGCTCCGAAAAGACAAAATATAATAATGCAAACGTTGCTCCGACAAGTGGGCGAAACCAAGTGACTCAACTAAGAAGTCACTTTTCATACAGTGGTGCAAGTTACTCACCAAGTACCAGTAAAGACAGACTGTAACTGTAACAGCTACAATAACTACATGACCTCAAAAAAGCCTTGAAGCTGGACCACAACCTGCTGGCTTAATTAGAAATCCTCTAGTTGGACAAACAAGTCATCTTTTGCATACTTAATATAAACAGCCCTGTGAGTCACTATTTGCCGCTTTGGGCTGAAATCCGTAGAGGGACCCGAGGTTTCTCACTTTTGTCCCACTGAGAGTTGTTTCTTGCTGATGAAGGAGGATCTAAGGCCTGTGATAATCTGGGACCTTTAGGGACATTTAGGGACAAGGTCTAGCATCATGGGGTTAAACTGTAGAACTCTCCCCCCCACTGGACTAACATGAACATCTTTGTGCATCTGGTTCTTCCAATGGGATTGTTATGTAAATATTAATTAAATCAATCAATAAACAGAGCTACCAATATTACAGAATAACATGGAGTTGTGTTTAAAAAGTAGAGTAGAGTAATCGGCCAACTAATTATCGTTCAACATTTATGGACATTTATCAACATTTATGGACATTATGGTCATCTGCCCCTTATGGACCAATGGTTCTGTGTGTTATTCTTGTGTTTGAACTGTTTGATTCTCTGTGTTGGCCAATTCAACGGTTTTGTTAAGTCCTCTGAGATAACTACTGTTGTGATTTAGGGCTATACAAGAATACATTGAATTGAATTGGAATTATCAAAGTAATCTTTAATTACAGCCTTAACACGATCACTAAACTTTAAGGCTGTTAAACATTAAAGTAGTAGGGGCTGAAAGGGGAAGCCGGAAAGCCCACCCAGACACTATTAGCAATTGCACAATTTAGGTAAAAGAAATGCATGGAATAGTTTTTCAGTTTTCTGCTCACCCCATTCTCCTCCAGAGCAGCTAGTGGCTTGTTGATGCTGTTGACGAACTTGTTGACATGTTCGAAGTGCTTGGTCATCTCTGTCGCCAACACCATGTCGATGATCGCCTGCCGCAACGTCCGGTACTCGTTTCTGAGGGAGGGAGAGAGATATGGATCTGGTCTGAAAGCCCTGATCAGTTGTATCATTATGAGTAACACCAACTATACACATTTCTGAACGGTGTCAGCCAATTCCAGGCCAGCTTTAGCAACAGAATGCAACTAAAGACCTGGGAAATTAATCCTTACAGTGGAAAAGCAGGTTTTTGTTTTACTGTAACTGAAAATCAACCAGCTTGTGTCTTGTCTGTGTGAGAGAAAGAGTGGTTGGAAACATCCTAGCGTGTGCTTTGTCGTGCGTATAAACTCTCCAAACTGCCACCACCAGTTGGATTGGTGTACTGGCCGTAAGAAAGTGAGATGTGGCAGTTGTGGGTTTACGGAACACAAAACTATATTTTTGGGAATTTGAAAGGCTCTGCACCCACTTCTTCAGATTAAACTGCCAACCTAACTATATTAAAATGCATTAGAGATGACTAATGACTTCCTATGTGCTTTTATTTTGATAATCTATTTGTACAGTGTTGTACTGTGAGTGAATGAATGGGGGGCTTTGTTTTGGCCTCGGAGGCATTCTGCTTTGGGTTCAATCACATTACTGAGCTGCGGCTATCAACAAAAACACAGACGGCTTTTATCCCGACACGGCCTCAGCTTCGGCACTGATCAAGGTGAAGACCTAGGCAGTATAGAAGGCTATGAGTGAAGACCGTTATTTGGCGTTTAAGTCTACAATCCGGGATATTTCAGCACCAAGCAGATCAAACCATTTTTGTCCATGTGTTCCTTCTCGGCCAAACTAACTGACTGAATAAACTAGCTTGATTTTGCAGTTAAGAAACATATTTTTTGGACTGGGAAAATGTACTACAGCATAAGAGAATGTCAATTACTCAAACATGCACATTTTACAGCTTCTCTGAGTGAAGGAGAGGTTTTGCAGGTCTTTCCTTCCTGCTGCTGTCAGATTGTACAATGAGAACTACCGACCCTGCCCATGCAATTCACCTGTAGCTATAATGTAATTGAACATAAACTAGCAGGAGCTATTTGAAGACATCTGATTGGTCAATCCTTATAAGGCTCATATCTGAATTTACAAAGACAACATCAACATAGAGAGTGAAAAACCACAGATTTTTTAGAGCCCAAAAATGTTGAACGTGCCACAAAGATACTCAGCTAGGAGTTTACTTTCAATGTAAGTCAATAAGAGATGGACTAAAACTTTGTCCACGAGCACTTCCCTATTGAGCTTCATTGAGCTAGAGGGTTAGTATTGTCCATCTATATACAGTTTATGTTGGTGTTGTCCATCAACAGTATATGTTCTACACACTCTTTTTAACCTCACCTCTCTATGTTCTTAAAGATATTGCACTTGTCGTCTCGTGTGCTGATCTGGAAGGCGAGCGCAGCGTGGTGGCTCTCCAACACGGCCGTATCGTTGTAGAGGATGGCGAGTTCGGAACCCGCGTTACAAAGGAAGCTGTTAGTACGTCCCGGGTGGTCCACGTCATGAACCGTAGCAGCAATCAGGGCGGCCACCTCGTCAATGGGATCCAAGCTTTGCTGCGGAAGGAAAGGGAAAACGCTCAAAAGGCTATATCCAATGATAATATATGTTGTTTTTACAGCCCAAAAACTCAACAAAAGATGATTTGAAAGACACAAAACTGCTGATTTATCAATAGCAGATTAAACAGGGGTAAAAAAGTGCTAAATATTGACCAGTGACAAGAATAAGATCACGCCATGTCTTTAGTCCCTCCATTATCGACAACAAATATGAGTCTTTATTGCGCTCAACCACAGCTTGTAATATCCCCAATTAAGGCCATCCTCATGGATCCTGAATCCAGGATTCGGCTGTATCCAATTCCACTAGAAAGCCTCTAGCTTGTTCGACTGAAATACATGCAACACATTTTAAGATGTTTTAAAAGCCACTCAGGCAATTCTTATGCTTCCAACCACAAACGAAATAATAAGAATGGGAAGTGAAGGGTAAGAAGGTTGTATAATGAAATCGAATGCACCGAGAGACGGCTGCAGACAGCTAGCTAAACACCGGAGGTGACACCTGTTTGTTTTTACTTTTAAAATTCAACTGGGCTTATTTCCAAATGGAAGAGGGTTAGGGATAGATATTTACACTCAAACTTTTATCTGGAATAAAAAATGAAACAGAGTTCATTTATAAGATAAGACTGCGGACATGAAACATATTCCGTTGTTGCCAAACAATTTGTGAATAAGCAGGTCTGTAGTTCCTGTTGATAAATATGTAGCGTTAAATCTGATTGGGATGAAGTCAGTGCCTCACCAATCACCAACCTCACTGACCAGTACTACTACTACTACCATGACTAGTAGTCATTACTACTACTATGACGACTACTACCACCACCACTACTACCACCACTACAACTACAACTACCTTAACAACTAGGACCACGACAACTATGCCGCCACCACCACAATCACGATCACAATAAATAGAAGGTATTAAATATGGGCAGAGGGAGGACAATGCCAGAGGTTATGTGCAAACCGGAACGTTTTAACATACTGTGTTTTCTATTTAATAATAACTCCTTCTCTTTTATTCACAAGCATCTCATTTAAGGGGAAAAAATACGGTCCGAGGCACAACTGATTGTAAAGTCCATCCATTCTTCCATCCATCCATTCTCTTCCGCTTCATCCGTTGCTGGGTCGCAGGGGCAGCAGTCTAAGCAGAGACGCCCAGACTTCCATAACCACACACACTTCATCCAGCTCATCTGGGGGGACATGAGGCCGTCCCAGGCCAGCTGAGAGACATATTAGTGACATAGTGACTGTTAAGTAAAAATAATTATGTATGCTGGGACACCAACGCGTTTGGGCCGATTAAGTCTTCATCAGGGAAGGCAGTAAATGGCTAATCAAGCACAGGTATATCATTAATAGACACAAGTTACATGATGAGTCATGTTGCCTGAAAATGTCTAATTTAAGATTTAAAAATAATCTTCTAGCATGCAATGTAGCCCGCACATTAGTTCTAGTGGCTCTTCCAATGTTCAGCTGTTATAATCACTGCTTTGTAAGATAAGATAAACTTAAGACACCCACTTTCACCCATAAGCCAGTACTGTAGACTGTTCAAGTATATTCATCCATCCATCTTTTCCCCCTTAATCCATTTCTGGGTCGGAGGTGTGGTAGTCCGAGCTGCACCCAGTTCACAGAGCACCAGTCCCTCACTGATCCTCCTGCAGGTGGTGAGTCCACAGGAGTATGCTCTGTCAGTGACAACACAGCCTTCATCTTTCAGCGATGCCCGAATCTAAGACTTCCAAATAGTCCTGTCCAAAGGGAATTACAGCGCCTTGTGAACGTTTGCACATTTTGTCTGGTTTCCAACCATAACGTTTTTTTTTTTTTAAATTTTCACTGAAAATTCTAACACATGAAACAGGCAACTGTGAAGTGAAAGTAAAATTATACATATTGTATATTATTTTAGAAAAAACCTGTATGAGTACTATTCTTTTACTTTTACAATTTCTGAGTGCATTAAATTACCCTTACAATCCTAATAACTGCTGAATGTTCATACCTTGCCCTAATGTATACAAATACAGATGTTCGTGAGGGCCTCAGAGCTATGGTAGGGTGTATTGGTCACTAAACAGCACGGTGGAGGCTACCAGAGAGGTCAGGGATAAAGTGTATGATGATATTAGCTATGGATCCTGTAGATATACACACACATACCATATGTATGTGTGTATGTATAAATTACCATGTTATCTATTATATATAATTCATACTGAAAATGTAAAAACGTTCACACACTTAAAAATAGAAATATATTAGTCACCTACAATGGGACAGTAGTGAAATCCCTCAAAAGTATTACATACATCTGACCCAAGACTTGAACTCAGCGGAAAAGCAACTTGTATTCATGCTTAGAACCCCCAGAAAACAATTATATGAAATGTACAATGACTGTAACTCACAGCTTTACTGTGCGTGATGTAAAGAGTGACGTAATGTTCGGTGGTGATGTAAGCGCTCTGGTTTAAGCCAATGAGAAGTCACGCTGCCGAGGTCAAAAATAGACACATAAACCGTCTTATCCGCGTCCTGAGACACTGACACAATAAGCACTGGCACCAAACGATGTGGGACACGCAAAGGGCATCCCCACAGCAGCCACTTCCACTTTGGAAGATTTACCAAAGAAACAAGCAGGTGTCATCTAAAAGATATGTAAAACAAGCAAACAAAACTCTTCTGTACTTGACTAAACTTGGCTTTGCGGAATCTGCAAATCTTAGACAGACTTTACTCAAAGAACATACAACTAAATGTTATAATTAACAGTTTTATACAAATGAAGGATAATGGGATCCTGACTTTGTCTCAAGAGAAAACATGTTATCTTTTGCATACAAGAAGGTACTATTTGTCACTTTGGACTGAGAGCTGATTGGCTGATAAGGGAGGTCCTCTCTTTCCTATTACTCTACTCTACTCTACTCTACTCTACTCTACTCTACTCTACTCTACTCTACTCTACTCTACTCTACTCTACTCTACTCTACTCTACTCTACTCTACTCTACTCTACTCTATGGCTACCAAGGAATGTCTTTGGTTTCTGGTGTTTTACGGCGGTAGGTTGCTAGGATACAGTACCAGATACTAAAGGGTATAGAAACACAACCGGGTAGAGTAGAGCAGAGCAGAGCAGAGCAGAGCAGAGCAGAGCAGAGCAGAATATAGAAGGGCCAAGTGTGCCTGGTGGAAATAGGGCTAATGATACATGGATCTTATTAGATAGTTACTTTTTGTGAAAGTTCTTCACCTCAGCTTTATGTTATGATATCTTTCCCAGCTTGGCCTCACCTTGACCCGCTCCTTGCAGAGGAAGTATGCGGTGGCGTGGAGGACATCGGCAGCATGAGAAGAGTTGTGGTAGGAGTTGGTAGAGTGGTAATTGGCCTCGATCACCTGGAGCCATGAGCGCAGTGTGGCCTCGGGACAGTTCAGGAACTCACACACCCCAAAACGAGAGAAGATCTTCATCCCCAAGTATGTCAACGGCCTGCAAGGGAAAGGCAGAGCTAAGAAGAATGGTTTGGACCCTGATTTGAAACATTGTGAGAGACTGTTCCAGAGTTCAAATGATTTATATAAAACAATAAATCACTTGTTCAAAAAAGGCAGTCCAGACCTTGAATACAGCTATACAGTCCAAACATTTTAGTAAGATGGTTATTTGAGTTCACCAGACAAACTTTACAAACTTTTTGACTGAATTTGAGCTGTTCTGAGCTTACTTAGGTATGATCTGTCCATATTGATGACCTGGCTAACTTACGGCTAACTCAAAGTAGCCTCATGTGTGTTTTTTAATTCTTAAAAGTATGCATTAATTTGCCCAAGCAGGAGAGTACGGACTCTGATGATCCAGCACATTTATGCACATTTATGAACGTTTATCATTCAAGTTCCAATGTGTTTGTTGCTACTATTATTTCTTATTATACTTTTTTTAACCTGTAATAATAACAAGTAAATGTCCACATTACTAATATTAAATACAGGCCATAACCAACTGGAACTTGGTGGCATGAGGGACCAGTTCTTGGTACTGGCAAGAAAACCCATTAATCCTAAATGAAGAAATAATTACAGTCGTCTGTCAATGATCATAATCTGAATACAAAACACCTCCTTCCTCGTCCTTTCTAAATATCTTTTATGAGACATTTCAAGGCTTTTGTTGTGCATTGTTGTGTTACCGTTTCATAGTTGCCACTTCCAGGTTGACGATGTCGAAGTCCCAGGAGTCCTCGTTTTCCATGGTCTGTGCGATCCGCGGCGGGATGTCATTCACAGACAGGGGAGTGGCCAGGTGACTGGGGATGTGGTGAGGCTCTGGAGAAACGCAGCACAACAGTTTGTTATAGGTAAGGTTTATGGAAAGGCGATCATACATACACTAAGCATGGCCTTTGATTACAAATATCTAAGGCAGGGTTGTCAAAGTCAAATACATCAGAGGGCAAAAATACCAAAAAAGGGCCGGACAAGTTCAATGTTTATTAAAACATTAAAATTATTGCCAATACCTAACACAGTGTAACATATTTATTTATATTAAAGCATCTATTATATTATTAGATTATGAATGTGTTTTAGCGGGTGAACTGTTTGACTTACGTTTTGTTGAGAAGATGTATTCATTTCCTGACAATCTTCGAAGGCCATCCTAAGAAAATGGACAGAGAGAATAAACAAAAGGCCTCAAACCATACGTTTACATACAACTCAAATACAATTACTGATATCTATCAAACAAAACTTTCTTTGCTAGGTCAGGTGGCTCTATACAATATTTTCATGTGAAATATAAGGAGGAAATGAGGATTTATCAATACAGGCTTCTGTATGTGATATACAATATGACAATCTATTACACACATGGCTAACTATTCGAAGAAGAAATACTGCGCATTATATTTGCACATTAAAAATGATAACTAGACCTATGTATATACATGTTTTAGAATAATATCTTCAGCAGAAAATAGATGGTGAACCAAGCATCATGGGTAAACAATGCAATGAGCCTGCAGTACCCCTATGCTACCACCAGAGGGAGGGGTAACATTTATTTTGTTCTTTTCCAAATTTGAAAATTACCAAATAAAAACACAACCATTTAACTTGAGTAAAAGCAGAAACTAATTTATAGGAATGACTTGTTTTAAAAAGGAACAAAATGCTTTCAGTGTGATGTCATAGTGGTAAAATGGCATGGGACTAAGACAGGAGCTTCTAGACAGAAGGTACGGAGCTACATGTTTGTGCCAGAAGTTCTTCATATTAGCGTGGATGGATCTAAAAACAACCAAATTTTTAGATCCATCAATTTACATCTTGTTAAAAGTATGGATAAGAGGAATGGATCATTGCTGTGGGTTTTATCATTGGAATAACCGGTAACATGGAGACTTGGGTGTGTGTTTTGTGGAGTGAAATGTTTACTTGACAGTTGAAAAAGGAAACAGACTGTCTCATCTTTGACCCGAGCATTGTCTCCCGGTGCTTCAACTATTTTTGGATATTTTTCCAAGAAGCAACGTCGTCGTAAGTGAGTAACCAACAAGCAAAATGAGAAAAATGTGTGTGTGTAGCAAAGTGGGAGAAACTAATACAAACAATCAGTACATGTCTCGTACATGATCGTTGGAATATTTTAACTGTAGTGAAGTCTTTGTATTATTGTCATTACGTTTCACCAGTAGCTACAGTATGTCACAGCATTCCCCATTGTGAGCCGAGCATTCAGTGAAATATTGGGTCTGTCACAAGAATGATTATATAAACCAATTGTTTACAAATGTAAAGATATCCTGAAAGACATAATGAAAGTATGATAGCACAGTATTGTTTTTTTTAATATTATATTGATTGGAAACAGTGTCTCAGATCATATGGCCCTGATCTGTGGAGTGACACCGAGGTCGACCCTGGGACCTCTTCTGCTCAATCTCTACGTGCTGCCGTTTGGTCAGTTAATACTACACATGGGGAGGCAGTGTTTCAGATCCATGCACCCAAAATCTGGAACGGTCTTACTGAAAATATACGTAATACTTTGACAATGTACTTTGACAGTGTTCAAATCAAACAGTTTATCTGTGCATACAACGGAATGATTACATATTCACTCTTTTTTAATGTACTGTGATTATTAATGTATGTTGTGTTTGTTTTCTACCTTGTTTTAAGTGGCCTTGTGTATGAGCTGAGCAATACGCATACAATTGTTATTAATGTATCATTCCAAATTGAAATGCCTCATTAGAAATCCCTGACTGTTTTACTTATTGCTTCACAAAAACACTTTCAATAAATATCTCCCATTCCCTCATTTTGTTATATATTTTTTTTATAATATTTGTCTTTGTGTGTGTGTGTATTTTTAATTTATACTTAAATTAATGAGGAGCTAAAGTCTCAGCCGAAACATTCCAATAAATTTCAAATAACATAAAAATTAACAAACAATCCAATGACGTGTGGGGCATTCAGAGAGTGAGAGGGAGGGGTTAGGGAAGACAGCGAGGGCCGGGCTTCCCTCTGCAGCAGTAGCACAAAGGACAATTCAACACTTCCTCCGGAGCCTCTGCCAGGACTCTGCCAACTTGGCTCTGGCTCAACCGTCTGTCCCTCCTGCATATTCTCATTTGAAACATCTAGAGAAATGTTAACTAAAACACATCATTATCGGGTAACTATTACATTGCCTGAAGCAGACTGCATTTACAACGACAAATATGAAACTCCTTCATATAGTTTTCCTTGTAAAAAAATATGTTTGAAAATGCTTGTGATCCTCTGCATGGGTGAGAAGCTTTCCGTAGTCCATTATAATGTGATTTTTTGTGAGTTGTTCCTTGCCGATGCAGGAGGGCCTAAGGACAGTGATGATCCAGGACATTTAAAGACATTTGTTCACAATTATGCACATTGGTCATCTCGCTCCCCATGAACCAATAGGCTCATATGTGTTCCTTATTATTGCAACTGTTTGATTCCCGCTGAAAAATAAAAGCTGTATCTTCACTGACAGAGCAGCCATCCTCCTGTGGACTCACCACCTGCAGGAGGATCAGTGAGGGGCTGGTAGCTCTGACTGCCACCCCCCGACCCAGAAATGGATTAAGGGGAAGAAGATGGATGGATGGATGGATGTTTGATTCTCTGATCTGTTGTTGGCAAAACCTCAGAGACGAATACAGGAATATTTAGGAATACATAACAATAAATTGCATTAACAGGATTACCTGGATCCTGTGTGCACTGTGCTGTGACTGTAGAAGACTTATTTCGAAAGTCGGAAGTTTGTTTTGACCCTTTTATTTTGACATTTACCCATCTCCTATGTGATGACTCAGCATTTCAACGTGGGTCAAAAAACACTAGTCTTCAGAGAATACCAATCTACAGAAAACGGTGTCGGCAGAGAATAGGTTGAAATAGGAACAAATCAAAAGTTTTGAATGTATTGACTGGTGCACGGGACACAGGGCTAAACGTTCTGGATACATTTCATCTGAGTTTGTTACCGTCATGAGCCCCCCCACGAGGTCATTGGTGTGGGGGTCCTCGTCCTTTGTTCCCAGTTGAGGCGAGTAGAGTTCTGTCGTCCGGAGGATCTCCAAAACCCGGTCCAGAGCCTCCGCCACAGGCATCGGGCTGCTCTCCTGCGCAGCGTTTATGATGTTTATCACCTGGAACCACAACAGATAGGATTGGTTGGTACATGTTCTTTGCAATAGCGGAGGAATTCCTTCTGTTTTATTTGGAAAAGTAAAACATTTGAGGAAGTATAATAACATTAGTCCAGTTCTCAGGTTTCTGCTTCCTGTGGCATCTGAGACATGTTAGTCCTATACGAACCAACATGGACTCTGAGGAGCACAGGGACTGGCCTCCTGCTGGTTCCTAGAGTCAGGACTAAACATGGGGAGGCGGCGTTCCAGATTTATGCTGCTAAAATCTGAACCAGTCTTCCTGAAAATGTGTTCAAATCCAGATTGAAAACACTTCTGTTTAGCTGTTCATACAACTGAAAGATTGTATTGTCACTCTTTTTAACGCACTGTGAGTCACTTTTCATGTTATCCCATGTGCTCCACTGAGAAAGGCCTTGTTCTGATTGGGATTGGAATCTAGGACCTTTATGTTGCGATTATGTGTATTGATTATTGAATATGAAAATGAACATGAATATAATATTGGATATGTATATTTCAAGTTCCAAAAAAACAATGCATTATTTTATCAGTAGTAGAATATAGAAAACAATTAAACCAAACTGTTGATAGCCTGTTAGTTAAATGTGAGTCAGGTGAAGAAGGTTATAAAAGTCACACAGGGACAATAGTTTTCAAAATGGCACCGTGACATAAGTAACAAGAGTAAAGCTCTTACTTACCGCTGCAGCTAATGATTATTTTAGTAATCATGATTGAGAAGTACATTTGCAAAGAACAATTTTGCAAATGTCTTCTTCTAGTGGCAATATATTTTGTCATTGCCTGTAAATTTGAAAAGATTTGCTCAAGAAGTAATAAGTAATCTTTATTTCTATAGCACATTTTACAAACCAAAACCACCCAAAGCGCTTTACAATGTTCAGAGTTCACACATTTTTCCACGAAGAAGAGAGTGAAAATGTATTTCTATAGAACAAAACCACTTATCTGGGTTTTGCAAATCAACTGTTCTAGTATTCTATCAATTATTACCTTTGAAACCAGTTTTTATATGTATAAATGCATAGTAGATATATTTCAGGAAATGTATGAATAATATTTGAAAACAGTTTGAAGTTCTATAAAATCTGGATTTAACCCAAGTTGATGGATAAATAGATAGAACCACATAATCTCCGCTTCAGGTGAGCTGGTCTACAACTTCATATTAGTTTACAAGTATCTCAAGTGAAGTGCATTGTCACTTGTATGTAAATATGTAATACAATAGTGTCTATAGTGAGGTCAGCCGGTGCAAGTCTGTTCAAATGGGGCTTTTATTGTGAAGGAAGTGATGCCTTCAGGGACCTGCTCCAAAGTCAGATGATACCAGAGTCATATGATCCACCCTGGGACTCTCAGTTTCCAACGCAGAAAAAACAGCATTATCACCCAATTACAGAACACATACAAGTCATTTAGTAACACTTTACTTCAAATGTAGGTCAAATTGGCAGCCTGTATTTATATATGTATCTATCATGTATAATATCTAATTGCTGTACATTCTATAGTTGATTCCTGTTTATAAGCTTGAAATAAATGCAATTAATCAATCAATCAATAATGTATTTCAAAGATCAGGGGTATCAAACTCATTTTGGTTGGAGCCAGATTTATAGAATAATAGCTCCCAGGGGCAAAGTATAAAAGTATTTGAAGCTCTTTGTATCAGTTTGTATCTGCATGTTTTACATTATAACAAGTATTTAGACAAAAGGATTACTTTTATTTAACCTGAGTTTTAATAGAATTTCATGATGGATTTATTTATTTATAACCCTAACCCCAGTTTAGTTTCTGTATGTTTGGACAGAACCAAAGTAACAGGATTGGGAGTTACAGATGGACTGTTACCATCAAGGCTGCAAGGCCTGATGGTAACACATCATGATGACATCACATCATTGAAAACATGAATGGTCTTTAATTGGACAATGAAACAAATCAACAAATCTTATGTCTAGGGCTGTGGTACCTCACTTTAGTTTCTCATAAGTAATACATTTCAATTTTCCCAGCAGAAAGTCTTGTAAAAGTAAAATGTTGTGAACAAATCAGACCACATGTGTCTGTCTTTTTCTATCATTGAGCTGAGAGCTGAGCGGGGGCCGAGTGAGATACATTTTTCTGTGATTTTGAAGTTAGCTACCTTATGATCTCACATTTACTTCTTGTAAAGAGCAAGAATTTCCCTAAAATAACTTAATAATAGGAATAGGGGCATTGAGTTTTGGATCGAGTTCTTCAAAAGAGACATTTTACATTTCAACGCAGCAAGTAGCAGGTTATCAAAAACAGGATTTTACTGCCACAAAGATTAAAATAATACAAATTCCACATTAAACTATTAGGGCTGTTACTAACAACCATTATAGTCGTCAATAGTTACAATTACTTTTTAGATTAGTCAAATAGTAAAATAGGTTTACATTGTTTACAAACATTCTAAACATGCTTCAACGGCTCAAATGGCTATAGTGAGTTATAGGGATGAAAAATTTAAATAGTTAATATCCTTTCGACCTTATTAAACCATCAATGTCTCAATTTTTGCCATACCACGTCTGTTTGCGCCCGTTTTATAGTCTACCGTTAACAATTATAACATTTTGATTACAATTTTTATTTTTGGTCTAGTAGCCTTTACATCCTCATCGATTATTGAACACTGTCGCTTATGGTTTTGATAAACATTGGTTAGTAGCCCAAAATAACTGAGCAGCAGCATATTCTGAACCAGCTCCTGGCGTTTGTGACATGTTAAAGCTGGGGTCCTATACTTTCAAACAACTAAAAATAGAACTATGAAACAAAATCCGCCTCACTAGTTCCTATCTCTCAAAATAGATTGGTTCTATCACTATTTTTTGCATGTATGCAATACATGGGTACTTTCTCATACGTACTTGACTTTATACATTTTACAACTTTCTGTATACACAATAAATAAAACTTGTGGAGCTACATGTCATTCTACCAGAAAAATAAAGATTTATCAAGTAATGACTCGCTCTAGAACAATACTCAAAGAAAATGATTTTTATCTTTTAATTGAAGCCATTTCTAAATGCAATATTCAGATCAATAGAAATCACACAGCCTCAGTTTTATATTTTTCTTTTAATCTTGGCTTGAGTAGATGTGACGACAAGGTGATTAATAGTTTAATTTCTTCTAAAACAAGAAACATAAGGGACCCACCTTTGTAATGGGAGCTTCGATGGTCATGGAGTGGATTCTGGCCATAGAGGAGTGTCGTCGCTGCGAGCTGCCTAAAAACCCAAAAATAACATTTTTATTTAACCAGTGTGGTCTGGAATCATTTTAATTTTTGCAGGGACAGTGTGAAATAAATACTAGCCATAAGGAGATATGCATTGTATTTGTGGATGTGTTGTAATAACTGGATAAGGTGGTGCTGCTTAAACCCGTCTCCACATGGACAAGTGGCCACCTGAGGCACTGCAGCTTAAATCCACACGGACTGTAAGGTTTTTTTTTTTTAAATCCATTAGTTTTCTATAAATCCACACTTTAGTTCAACAAACTGCTCGCTCTCGTCCCGTTGAAGCTCCTCTTTGATCTGTGGCGCTCTGAATGGTCAGATTGGTCACGTGTCCCTCTGCACAAGCGTGAGAGCAACGTGAGCGAGCACCGCCATGTTGCTCTGGTTCTGCAGATGTAGAACCACTACACACCTACTGCACAAGACCGAAAGAACCAGAGCTGGCTAAAACGTGTCACTTCTGGTTATGTTTCGGACGTCCATGGTGCGAGCGTGAACCAATGAGCATAGGCCATTAATATGAATGGGCAGACATCTTGGAAACCCAGGCTTGATTGTACCAACATATAGCAGAATATGCTAATTTACAGCTGTAGGCCCTGAGAATGTTTTTGTCCCAGTAAAACAAGGGTAGATGGATGCATGACCATACATTAGACCTAATATGTATTCTGGCCCGTTTTTTCTCCTGTGTCACAGAGTACCAAGTATTATTACTAATTGTATCATGTGTTCATGATCACAATTGTAATACAAAACATTGACACATTTAAACACATTTAAAACAATGTATAACATGCAAAAACTTACAAAATCAAATTAAAGTAAAGCCCAGGTGAAAGCGCTTGCACAAGTTTTTGTTGTGTTTACGCTTGGGCTAATTACAGCCCAATCAACAACCTCACAACTTAATACATGAGGGGAGCTTTGTCTGGAGTAAAGTTCCACCATTTTGTCCCTTCCCTCTCACCATCGCTCCCTCGTGACGTTGTGGATCTGACGTCCAGAGAGCCTTTCCTCCGGTCTTTGTATTTGCTGGATTGGATATCTGAAGAGAGAGGGAGCGCCTTTCATCAGCCACAAAGCGTTCATAAGATCACTGACGTAAAACAGGGTTAAGAAGAGTTCAGCGCTCGTTATCAAAGTCTCGCACAGAAACACAAAAGATAAGTTTGTATTTGCTTGGATTAGGCAAAAAAATATCTCAGAGGATAATTTGGAGCATAGATTGGTCAATGGAACATGCAGCTTAATCCCAAACACGTTCTCATGTGAAATGAGAAGAACACCAGAACTCCCAGAACAGTCAATTTAACAGATTTTAGTTTTGAAAGAGAAACTGCTCACTTGCACTTGTGGTCTTCATTACTTTGTGACTTTTTCTGTATCTAAATGTCATTATTTTTATGAAGTCATCTGCATACTGCTGTCAGTTAAACGCATGAATAACTGTGTAAACGCAAAGCTCCGGGCTGCGACATGCATTTACCCAGGGGGAAGTATCTGAAATCAGCCCCACATCCAACGCGCATCCAAGAAACGTAGGGTCCAGCAGGCTTGCAGAAAACCAAAGCAGTCGCTAACTGACTTGAAAACAACTGAAAACATAAACAAAAGAGAAGCTCCGACTCATTGGAATCATTGGATATCATCACCCAATATATTACAATAGAAAGTGGCAGTGTAGTGGTCTATCTTTTTTGCGGGGGGTTTTGTTTTAAAAATAACCCACAATAAGTTACACTTGTGAAATAGCAGCTCTATGTGTTATGGCTGTAAAAAAACACCTCGCCACACACGTTGTGCACTTCTGTAACCCCCTGAACTCACGACCGCTGAAGTGGGATCTCAGAGATATCAAACCTGCTCATTGTAGGTCAGAGTAATGCAGGGACCACTGTATCAACCAACTAAAGATTCCAAAGAAATGTGAAAAAGTCAGTTTGAATTATGTCAGCAATGATAAGCTGTATTATACAACTGATCAACGTTACGGAATAAGAGGTGAAAACCCAGTCACAGAGTCAAGTTGAAATTAAGATAAGTGCAAATAAATAGTAGCAGTCTCTCGCAAAGATAAAGCACATTGGGACGTGGGGCTTACTATTTAAAAAAGATTAAAGCCTTTTGGTCCATTTCACAAGTCTCCTTACTGCAGTCCTTCTCAGATACTGTGAGCGAGAAAGACCCCAGGGAACATGCTCTTCCCCCTGTCGAGCCGCGTTTGTACTTTTGTGTTTAATAAATGCATGAAGGGAACACAATCTTGATCGAGTCGCAAAAGACATTCAACATATTCTGGTGTATCTTGACGGTCGGACTCTTCACATGTCATTAATCACTCACTTCATACACAGTGGTGATAAACTATTATTGTAGCCACAGCTGCCCTGGGGCACCCTGACAGAAGTGAGGCAACCAGTATGTGGCATCAGCCTTTCTGACCACCACCAGCCATTAACACATCAGACTCATTCTAAGCAATGTGTCTTGCCTAAGAACACAACGACAGGCTTTCACATGCAAGCGGAGCCATGACATGTGCTTTATGGTCATTTGTTAAAGTGTGTGTTGTAATATATTTAAAAAATAGTAACTGACCACATCTAAATATATCCCAGAAGTGAAAAGAAGAACAAATTGGGTTGTACCTGTTTGAGACTCTGCCTGCACACTTTGTTTTTCATTCTGGTCAAAGATAAAAATACATTTATTACAGTTCTTGAATAATAATTTGGACCTTTATTAAATTACACTCACCTTATTATTATCATTTAAAGGCCTGTTGATAGACACATAGTGTCTGATTTTACTGTAAACACAAAACAACAGGATGAGATGTGATTCAGTTTGTGCACAGGAGCCCGAGGCTGTGGTCACTCACCCTCCCTGTCCAATAACAGGAGTGATCTTCACATTTTGTTGAATGCTGTCGCCATTCTTCTTTTTGGCATAATAAATCCCCTGCCACTCCTGAAAGCATAAACAACCTTTACATAGGATTTTGTTGTTGTTTATTAGTTACACACAAAATACATATCAAATAACAACTATCAATAACTATCAATGCTGAAATCCATACATATTTGCATTTGATAAATTCTTGTCATTATTAAAACTAAGAAATCCCTAACATCCCCATTCGAACCCCAAAGGTCTATAGGTGCTGGTCAGTGGATTTAAAAGACAGAGTTCATACAGTGTTTACAAAAGAGGTAATTTCTTCACTTTCCAACATAAAACATGAATCCACATCCATGAGAGCTTGAAGCTGGTGACTCAGGGCACATGAATGCATCATGGGGACTATAGCTGTAGCTCTAATCTCCACACAGAGGTCAGCAGCTCAGCAGCCTCGCCCCCGGACGCTCCGTCCTGGAATCTGTGTTTCATGTCTCGCTCCATCTGACCCTGTCCCGCTGCGTCTGTGGCACCTGTCTGCATCTGATCTGGGGGATTTGAACTCCTCATTGTCAAAAGTCACAGTATTGGAGAATGTACCAAACAATTCCCTTTAGAATGATTACTGTGTCCACCAATCATGAGACAACACCAAACTCAAGTCAATAATTTGAACTCACCAATGTTCACTACATTCATAAATCTCCAGTTTGATCCGGTTTTATCAGCATTGATTCCCAAAAACAGCACACCTTTACCCTGTAATAACTATTACTCCGCCTCACAAGGTCGTATGAGATTTTTTGTTTTGTTCAATTGATTCCCGCTGGTAAAGTAAGTAAGTAAGTAAGCCATCTTTATATATATTGCCTTTCACAGATCAGAGTCAAAAAGTGCTTGTGCATGCCAGATCTGTAGTTTTTAGTGGTAGGGGAAACCAGAGCACCCGGAGGAAACCTACGCTGTCAGGGGGGGACATGCAAACTCCACTCAGAAAGGCCCCATTCCGACCAGGATTTGAACCCAGGACCTTCTTGGTGAGAGTGCTATCCACTTAGCCACCGAGTCGCCCAAACACTACCTAATATTGAGGATACATAGATAGATACAATAGATATAGACTAAAGACTATAACAATCCATACATACTGTACATACATTCATACAAACATTTAAATGCAAGCAGATATAATAAGAGCATTTCCTCACCTTTCCTTTGCGTATGCAGGAGTTTATTGTTTCAAGGAGATCAGGCTTATTCTTCTCACTTTTAGGCACTTCTATGATTTCTTTTCCTATCAACTCGCCCTGTTGGTAGCCCATTATGGACTCGTACGCTGGGTTCACGTACTGTAAAGAAAAACAAAAATCAAATAAACCTCATTACACATGAATTAGATCTGCAGTTAAATACTATGTGATCATTATGGAGATATACATTCATCCATGGACTATTGCCATGGCAACGCAAATGATTGGTAAAAAGGAGAACATTGCAGTACATACTACAAACATACAAATGTAAAAATACACAGAATTATAAACAATTATTAAGAATACAGTGTTTTTGTCACTTTAGGAAATTACTTGTATTATTACTAATGTATTACGTTCTTGTAGATATGGAAAATTCTATTAATGCGACGATGACAACAATTTATCCACAGAGGGACGAAATTATCCCTCATTATGATGCAGATAATTTGTTATGGAGACCTGGAAAACGGCAGTGTTTTCTAGAACAAGTGTGATCGGATGAAGGAAGCGTAAAAGTACACGGTCACGGTGCTTTGAAGTCGACAGAAGGCCCTTTCACAAGTGACATCACAAGACACCAGCATGCACTTATGTAGAGCACAAAGGGGAAAACCACCAATCACAATCATCAACAAACGGGAAAGGCAACATTGTATTTTTAAGCTGACCTGAATGACTTGATCCTCGGAGGAGATTTCGATGGCCTCTTGGCTCTGTTCCAACGCCGTAAAGAGAGCGTTCCCAGCCCTGAAGATGTTCCACAGAAGAAGGTCATTTCATCATTTTCAAGCAAATGGAGAAATAAAAGCACACATGAGCCCTGTTTGGACTCTATTTCAACTCTATTTCAATAGTCAGTGAGAATACTTTAGTAGGCCTGTCACGATAACAAATTTTGCTGGACGATTAATTGTCTCAGAAATTATTGCGATAAGCGATTATATTGTTGTTCTGAGATAATTTGCATCGATTACAATGATAATGCAGGTACACCTTTTCAAAGAGAAATAAACTTTTAACGAATATTTAACGCTAAAACACAATAAATTAACAAACAACCAAAAACAATAAAGAAAATAGACTCAGTCTCTTAACAAAAAATGACCAGGAATAAAACTGCCAGGACCTTTGTAAAGAAAATATGAAACAGATGCCTCAAATGTCAATAATTTCTCAGACTTTATGGCAGATTAAGAGAAAGAAATACCAACATGTTGACTTTGTGTGGCTTAAGACAGGATCTCTCAGGAGTAGTCCCACCTCCCCACACACCACCAGGCGAATGACAAGTGACTGACATGTGGGTTTACCAATGGGGCGTACAGAAGTCCTGCTGCGGTAGCGCCCACCGGAAGTAGTGGGGCGGGCTTTGATGCTAACAGCTAAGCTAGCGGGTTTTTTGTGTAACGTTCTACTCCAAGAATGCAAGTCTGCAGCATCTCTGTGTTCAGAGACCTTCTAGAGACTTTATATAACAGCAGTATGTGTTCACGGAGGTGCGCCATAAGTTTATTTTATTGGTATGGTACGGTACTTCTGCATCGGCGAACACGCTAACGCTAGCTGCGCTAGTATAGTCACTAATCAAGCCTGAATGAGAACTCAGCTGCCGGCATATGTTCACAACTACTGTGTCCCCCATTGTCAATCCTGGTTAAGTCCTGGTTTAGGTCCTGTTTTGGCTGTATTTTGTATTTTTGAGTAATTTCTGTCTGCTTGCTAGACCGCTAATGTTCCCGTGACCACTTTGCGGCTCTCTGACCCGAGAGAGACGGGGGAAACAAACAAGCATGCAAATGGGATTTATTGCGGCCAGAAAAGTTATTGAGCAAATTTTATTTATCGTGCGATTAATTGATTTATTGACTATCGCGACAGGCCTATACTTTAGTACCAACTCGGCCTGGATAGAACCAGGACCAAGCACATATCAAAAAGTATCTGGTACCGGTTAACCAGGGCCGGTGGAAACGCTCCTAATTGAGGTGGAGTAGATTAGTGCGGCAGTAGCTCAGTTGGTAGAGCGTTGGCCTTTGAGCCAGAAGGTCGTGGGTTCAAGCCCCGCTCAAGACCTTCACCATCAACTCCCACTGACTACTATCGTTGTGTCCTTGGCAAGACACTTAACCTCTGGGAACACCAGCCACAGTGGGGCGGCTGCGGCTGTAAAGTGCCAAACTGCCGTTGTGTCCTTAGGCAAGACACTTCACCCCCATTGCCTAGAATGAGTCTGGTGTGTGTGTGAATGGTTGGTGGTGGTCGGAGGGGCCGATGGCGCATACTGGTTGCCTCGCTTCTGTCAGTGTGCCCCAGGGCAGCTGTGGCTACAGCAGTAGTTTATCACCACCGTGTATGGAGTGAATGAATAATGACACATGTGAAGCGTCTTTGAGTGTCCAGAAAAGCGCTATATAAAACCGATGCATTATTATTATTATTATTATTAGTGCAGAGTAGAGTAGAGTAGGGTGGAGTAGAATAAAGTAGAACCAAACATTTACATTGACTACAACATATCAAAAAAAAGTTTTCACAACAGCAGTCATTTTGGAGGACATCACAGAAGTTGCCATTCTCACCAACACCAGATAAAAAAGTCATACAATTCAAACACAGGGAATACAATAATAAAATCCATAATAGTAATAAGCCCATTTAATAAATGTAACTTCTCTATATCATAGGCAACTCTAAATATATCTAAATGAATTTATATCTGTCAATTAAGTAACATAAAACAAATTATTTTTTATTTATTTTCAATACATAAACCATCTTTTACATGGTTACTTTTATAGATGTGAGGGAACGATGGCGGGCTTATATTCTTTCACTTTTTACAGAGTTTATCCAATTCATCCAATTGAATATTTATCCATTCTCTCCACACAGCAATGACAGAAGCGAAACGCCGAACACCAACACCCTCCATTCATTCACTCATTACATTCAGACCTATTGTATAAGTTTTCAGTGGTTGGGAAAACCGGAGCACCCGGAGGAAACCTATACACACACAGGGAGAACAAGCAAACTCCACACAGAGAGCCCTGGGAGGTGGAATCGACCCCAGGACCTTCTTGCTGTGAAAAACAAGCTCTAACCGCTGCGCCACCGTACCAAATTTAAATATTTTTCTACAAAGTCACATACCTTAGTTTGAACTGCGCCCGGACCTCGCCGTGCTCCAGCTGCAGCAGCTCGTTATAGCAGGCCATCATATTGCCGTTTTCCACGTATCTCTGAGGTCATCGGTTAATGACAAAACAACAATTAGACAAAGGCTGTTCGTTAGAGAGTTAGTCACACCTCGCCACCGTCATGAGCCCAGAGAAAGACACCATTGATGAGACTGTGTTTTGGAAGGGATCTGGCTCTGGCCCAGTTACAGGGAATGGGGAAGGGGTGATAACTGTAGTGGTTGTAAAAATGATAATGATAATTAATAATATTAATAATATTAATAATAATAATAATATTATTATAATAATATTAATAATAATAATAATAATAATAATAATAATTAATATTATTATAATAATATTATTATTATTATTAATATTATTAATATTATTATTATTATTATTATTATTATTAGTAATAGTAATGGGGCTGGTGCTATGAGACCTGGGTGGCATCTCTGATTGCCACCCCCCTGACCCAGAAATGGACTAAAGGGTAGAAAATGGATGGATGGATGGAGTAATAGTAATAGTGATAATAATAAAAATAATAATAATAAAAATAATGTATCAGTTTTATATAGTACTTTTTTGGGCATGCCAAGATGCTCCATACACAGTGATGATAAACCTTGGACCACCAACCATTCACACACACACACACACACACACACCAGACTCATTCTCACCTGGTGCTTCCATAGGTCTCGCGCCACCTATCCATGTTCTATTCTGCACAGTACAAGGACGGTGGGATTCCCTGCTCTGTCATTGTGGTTGGTTCGGCTTTGGATTTGAATAATGCTTTGTTGTTTTGTGTTTCTGAAATTACTCATATTGATTAACAGTCCTGCATTTTGGGTTTCTTTTATTTTTGACAATGTAGCCCCCAAATTACATATTCTTGACCCTCAAACTGGCCCAGATTGAACTGAGAATTTTTGAAAAGAGGGGAAATAGTCCTCTAGAGAGATTCACAAGATTTCCATCATGTAGCTGAACTTAAGCAAAATAACAAAAGATAAAATCCGAACTATATATGTAGTTAAAAATGCTGTATTCTATGGTTAGTTTACTTGAAAGTTAATCTTTTTATAAGCTTGTTTTAGCACAATTTCAATGTCTTGCCTCATTGTTGTTGAATGTTCACAAAATAAATGTATTTTCTGTCAATATTGCCCACTCCTAGCTGTGTGGTTTTGGAGATGTTTTGAAGTGCAAGGGACGGGAGCAGCTGCCAAATGTGTGGTCAGTGCAATTATATACAGAGAATAATACGGTAATTCTCAAAAACAAAAAAGGAAATATCATTGCTATGGGCTAATTGTTTTTCCACATGTATTTCACTGTGTTGGCTTTCTTTCTTTTTGTTTTTCTGTTTATTAAATATTAAAACCGACAATTTACTGAAAGTCAAGCAGTGGGAAAATCCAAAAATAACGGTAGTGAAAACAAACAGACTAATTCAAAATAATAGCACCAATATTATGTTTTAGTTTGGAGTGGACTAACACATTTCACATTTCATGAAAACTAAATGTTGTTATTGTTTGTTTGTCTGAGATACAACATGAGGATATGGAGTGAACAGTCTAAACCTGATATAAAATACAGAGGAGCCTGGACAGGAGCAAGACTGTAGACATGATCTGCAAAAAGCAAGCGTCTTTGAGTGTCCAAAAAGGTCTAAATAAGTGTGATGATCTATTTTTATAAAAAGAAATGAGGTTACAGATCACAAGACATTCCCATAATATTTTAACAAAAAACTTATGGTTGACCCTTTTACTCATTCTGAATGGGAAAATGCCTATAGGCTATCCATTACCTTTTTATGTTGGTTTGAGCTTTTTCTGACAATGACTGTGTACACTCTCGCCTGCAGAGACGGAGCATGAGTGCCCAGAGGGAATGTTCCATGTACCCCAGGGATCAAACTCGTTCTTTTGAGGCTTTAGGGTCATACCAAGGTCTCCATTGTTTTCTTTTGGGAAAGTTTATTTATAACTCAACATTCGCATTTTTGTGATTATTTTTAATTGTATTTTTTTATCACTTAAAGGCATTTTGACCAAATTTTCAATGTTGTTTTCAAGTTCAACGTTTGAACTGAACCAAAGACCTTTATATAAACAATAATGTGGTTGTTTTCTTGAGAGAGTTAGCTTGAAGATGATGCATAACACAGTACCTCCTGTTTTACCCGTACAAACCCCTAGGGGTCCATGTACCCCCATGTTGGGAAACACTAGTTTAGGCTCTAATCTTGTCTGCTCAGCATTTGTGAATTAATTTCTACAGGTATGAGATTTCATTTCAAGTTTTGAAAATGTTGCACGTTTTCAGTTGTGTTTTTCCAGCGTCACGAGCAGAGCAGGCGACTGATTGATCAAAGCGTGAGCTAAAAATAACTTCTATTTTTAGACTTTCTTGATCAATATTCTGATGTTGCCTTGAGTAAACATGCAAGCATCATGATAATACTTCTCAGTTACAAAACCGTGCTTTTTAACACAAGAACTCACTGAGCAATCAATTTGATGGCATTTTGTTTAGAAAGTGTTTGCTCAGCTCATGTTCATGTGTGGTCTTCATAAATGTTTAATTTCTATATGTCTATACGTTTATTTCTATGTCTTTATTATTAATGAAATAAAACTACTGATATCTAAAAGATTATCTTCTACACAGAGAGGAGGGTAGTTACCATAGCAACACCTTGGGACTTGACAGCAAATAGCATATGGTTTCAACTAACTGTTTTTGCTGTATTTGAAGTTATAGTCACCAGTTTTAGCAAGTATTAAGAACGTTAAAAAAATTGTGTGAACGTCTTAATTTTATCCATCCATCCATCCATTTTCTACCCTTTAATCCATTTCTGGGTCAGGGGGGTGGCAATCAGAGATGCCACCCAAGTCTCATAGCACCAGCCCCTCACTGACCCTCTGCAGGTGGTGAGTCCACAGGAGGACGGCTGCTCTCTGAGTGTGAGCATAGCCTTGATCTTTCAGTGGGGGCTTTGGGCAAAGTGGGGTTAAGTGTCTTGCCCAAGGACACAACGACAGCAGTCATCAGTGGGAGTCGGTGGAGAAGGTGTAGAGGTGGGAATTGAACCCACGACCTTCTGGCCTTAAGGCCAATGCTCTACCAACTGAGCTACTGTCGATGAGCTACGTAAATACGTCTTAATTTTAAGGTAGTGAAAAACTACTTTTCAGAATTCCACTGATTGGAATGGGAGCCGTCAAAACAGAGTTCTAGTAGTTTCTCCTCGTGTTGATTTGAGTCCCAATCAATTTAATCTCATCAAACAGACTTTAGTGAATGTTTTCAGCGGTCGCTCTGTTTGGGGTTTATCCCAAAAGTGCTTTGTTCTGTGTTATTAATAACGGCTGCTGGGATTTCGCTCTAATGTGTGAACAAGATTATAGCCCCAAAAATGCTCCTCAAAAGGTATCCAATTAAATAAGAACAGTTTTATAACAAAATGGGACACGTATCTCACCCTGTTGAAGCCAGCATTGATGAGTGGCATCACAGAGGCCTCCTCCCTGTCTGGCCTGAGGAGAAACAAATCAACAAAAATACATTTAAAATCAATGTGTCATGTCTGGCTGAAAAGTATGATAGCACATTTTATTCACCCTTTTAGCAGTGAAAAATATACAAATAAAAACAATGTACACACAAGTCCTGTTTATTTCTACAATCTTCTACACAGTACTAATTTTTTGTTGTTGCATTTTTTGTGATTTAAAATGAAGGTAACCCAGCTTTATTTTTATTTTTTTAGTATGACTATCAAAGTACTGTATATTATGAAATAGTACATCCATTCTAAATATCTTACAGCTGGGCACAGTGTGTACGTACCGTTTCACAACAGCAACTATCACAGTGTTTTCTGAAGAGATGACCGATCGAATTGACCTGGAGACAAACACATACAATAAGCACATTAGTAGAAGTGAACAAAACATGGAAATTAATCGATACATGGATCCACAACGTTTTTGGAGAATGTGATGAAATGTGTTTGAAATGTTTAAAATTCTAATACTGTAAATGTTGTAAAACTCTTGGAATGGGGAAAGCATGGCAAATTCTCCTTGGCCATAAATGTGCTGCATATTCTACAGTACAATATAGTAGACACATACTAGATTCCTGAAGAACCAGGATGTAGGATCACATTAGTTCTTGTGCACATGTCTCTCCATGGCCTCGCACCAAAGTACATCTGTGACATGTTAGTGCCATATGAACCAGCTCTGATTCTGAGGAGCACAGGGACTGAACATGGGGAGGCAGCCTTTTAGATGAATGCAGCTCAAATCTGGAACAGTCTTCCTGAAAATATGTCTACTCTGACAATGTTCAAATCCAGATTTAAAACAGTCATGTTTAGCTATACTAAAAAAGTGTAAATACCAGATAAGTAGTGAAGCGGACACAGTATTACTATTATTTCAGTGCAATACTTGGGGACTTCCATTCAAATAGATATAATATGTTAAAGATTTTCTTTTTATTCTGAAATGAATACTAGTCTTATTTAAAAACACTCGTTCAAAGTGGCAGACTGAGCCCTGTGGTGCAGCTGCACTGCCAGGCCCAGTCCCCTGAAAGAATGCAGAGAGGGGAGCCACTCATGGAGCTGTGGTTTTGAGTCCGGCCACTGGTCATAAAGGAGCTTTAGTTCAGCCGCGGTGCCTGTGCGCGTACAAGTAACATATGGATCGTCCAAAATGAATAGGGTTAAGATCCATGCGCCGGGCTGTCCCAAATTAATGTGTGCAAGAGTGTTTTTGGTTTGGGCACAGGCTAAAGATAGAGAGAGTACAGCACTGGACAACATGACTGCAGCGAGGATCAGGCCAGAGAAAGGGACAGAGCTCAACTTTTACACAAGTTTAGCTCTTGTGTAAAAGAGCTTTTTGTGACTGGGTGTGACAAATACCTGAGAAAGTGTACACTCTGTCTACATGAAGTAATACTGTGTTCTAAAATGGAATCTTTATCAAATTCAATGACAAACTTTTTGGACCGTTTTAACTCATGTTTCTGATAATCCTTGATAATCAACAATGGAATAGACATTTGTCATTGATGCATGGATCAATTCGATTTATGTTTTTTATTTTAGTATAGCCCTGAATCACAACAAGAGTGGTTGATTCGCAAACAACATATCAGAGAATCAAACATTATCAAACAAAGGAAGCAATACAACAAACACATAGGAGCCATTGGTGCATAGATTGGCAAAAAGTGAGAAACCTCAGGGAGGCCCACATTAAGAGAGGGATCTGCTCACACGGACAGGCTGTGGAGGGGGTTAGTACATGGCTATTCTATCATTTTATGGTCAGCGAGTTGGAGAGAAATGTGAGCTCAATGATGCTTTGAGTTAGGAAAGTCTAAAATGCACAGGTTTTAGTGGCAGCAAAGGGGTTCTTACAGATAAATATGAATAAAAACAGAGTAGTAGACAGGTGTGCAGTGGGGGCTCTCACCGGCACAGTGCTTCTGCGTCAAAGTGTCTGGAATGTCTGTGGTCGATGATGACGAGGTCGTGGTGTTTCTCCACGAAACATTCGAGCGCCGACTCCGCGGTGCGCGCCAAACTGAAGCGAAAGCCGCCCTTTTCACACGCCCAGCAGAAGCCATTACTCTGACTGTCCTCTTTGGCAAAAACTAAAAGTACCTGCAAAACACGGAGTGATAGGTGTGAGAAAACCAATAATGCAGCTAAGTACTTAAGTGGTGTGGGTGGGCAAGGCAAGTTTATCTATATAGCACAGTACATACACAGGAGAAGTGATTGACAAAACAAGAAAATATACATAACAATCACATGAGGCATTGACATAAAAAATAATCACAGCACATTAAAAAGAGTGCAAATTCCTTCCCTCAGTTATATGCACAGCTAAACAGGACTGTCTCACATCATCAGGAAGACTGCTCTGTGACAGCCCAAGCAGGCCCTCTATTGTTAAGGCTCATACTTTAAAACCTTTATTGCTTGTGCTTGCGTTATCTCTTGCTACTCCTGAGTAGTAACAGTGTGAGATATTAGCTGCATAAATCTAAAATGCTTCGTATAATCACTTTATATGTTACTAGAACGCAATATTGGCCAGAAATATTGTAAATAGATATTTTGCCAAAACCATGGAGTCCTAGCCATCAGTAACCAACAGTATTTTTTCTCGTGATTTTTAAGACAAATTGTGGAACTCCTCTCTCTTATCTATTGATTCACATCAGTAAAAAGATAAAGGAGTCCAACTACAACCAGTCCTCTTTGATATGACCTTCCCGAGCTGAGCCAAAGGTATTTAACCCTCCTCTAAAATGATCTATGACACAGGTAGTGACGCTGGCCTTTTTTTCCTCCCCGGCTCCACTCCACTCAGCACAGTGCCTCTCTCAGCCCGCATACTTTCATATAGGCCGTGTGCTGCTTGCGTAAATACCAAAGCTGGGATTTTTGGGCCCGCCTCCAACAGCACAGCGGCACTGAGGCTAGATTCATGAGTCACCCTCTCTCACAAACGTCATCACACGCTGGCAGTTCCCTCGAATGAACGTGAAGAAGGAGAAGTTTGTTCTGCGCACAGCGGTTTGCATCACACCTGTAAAATTGAATTAGCCGAGACTTTGTTGAGAAAACTGCAGCTACTGTCCCAGCCACAATGAGACGACAGAGGACGGGTTGTTTTAAAAAAGTGCTCATAATTTGATTTGACTGTAGTTAATTGGACAAAGAGGCTAGCAATGTGTTTTAAATAGAAGAACTCGCTGACCCCTTCATTTATGTTGTCTGGCAATTACTGGTAATCAAAAGAGCCCTTTGAATCTTCTAGATCAGGGATAAATGTTGCATCTTTTTTCCCATCTTGATGACTGCAGAGTGGACCGGCATCTCACTTAAGTACAGGCTAAAGTTAACAAAGATATTTCTGATACGAGACCTCAGCTGGTCTTCAACTCTCACTCTCACAGTTTAGAAAGTTTAGATTAGGTTATTTGGTTCTTTTATAAAACAGACAAATGTAACTTGTTATTACCTTGACATGTTTCAAAAAGGTATACTTCAGAAGCTTGTGAATAACTGAATTTACTAAGAAGACGAGAGGAATTTTGGAACATATACGGCCATTAATTTTATTGTTTATTTGGTTGGGACAGTGCAAGTGCAAGTTAATGATCACACCTCTCCGGAGTGTAGCCTTGGGTTAATTTGCATCCCTTGTCCCACATTTGCACTCACAAACACACACTCATTCACCATGAACTATTGTACATGTTTTTAGTGGGAGGGGAAACCGGAGTACCCAGAGTAAACCTACGCAGACAAGGGGAGATCATGAAAATTCCACAAAGAAAGGCCCTGTTTCGACTGGGATTCGAACCCAGATGGACCAATGGCTCTTATGTGTTTGTTATTATTGTTTGAACTGTTTGATGCTCTGATCTGTTGTTGAAGCACAATAATGTAAAAGCCGCTAAGATGACTGCTGCGGTGATTAGGGCTTCAATGATTTAGGAATAGACAAAAATAAATTGAAATGGATGAACCTTCCTATACTAGGGAGAGTTGAAGAGTAGGAGTGAGACTTTCTCCCGCGATCGATTATCGATACGCATTTTCCAAGTATCAATTTTGAAAAAATAATAAAATAAAATAAAATACTTTTTTTTAAATTATTTTTTTTATTTTTTCAATTAGTGTCAATACTAAATATAGGACTACATTACGCATCTCCATTCCATTTATCATGAAATAAAGTGTATTTTTTCACTTAACATTTTTCTTTTATTTAAGCCATAAATTGGCATATGGTACATTTCTGACCAATATATTATAATCGTCTTATCGTGATATAACCTTTATCGTGATATAATTGTTATTGTGAGCTTTGTATCGCGTATCGTCTCGTATCGTGAGGTACCCTGAGGTTCCCACCCCTATTGAAGACCAGCTTGAGGTTGCGTATTTCATTGTAAACAATAGGCCGGACTAAAGTGAAACGCCGGATCCACTCTGCAGGCATCAAGAGGGGAAAAACATGCAACATTTACCCCTGATCTGGAATTGATATTATTACTTTAACATGTTTCGACGGTACACTTCCTTCTTTCTCAGATGCTTTTGAGGGATATTGAAGTCTAACGTACATTTGTCTGTTAGAAGAACCAAATAACTTAATTCAACTGTTAAGATGTTATAGTTTAAATAATAGAGGAAGCCTGTACTAGGGCTGGGTCATCTGGGGAAAAATATCCCCCGCAACAAGTTTAGGGAATTTCATAATATAAAACTGCCCTTTAAGCTTAGCAAACGTCTATGGGAAGGTACAATCTGCAGTAATGTCCTGCTCTTCTACATCTTTCTGAATCAGGACAGAATTCCACATCGAGATGTTGGTAGAAAAGTCAACATTCCTGCAGAGGTGAAGGAACTGCTTAAATATAAAGTCTTACATTAAGCCTGGCCTGGGACACACCCATAGGGATTTTACTGCCATTGTAACAGCAATTTTGTCTCAATTTACACTTCAATTTACACTTCTTACAGGACTGAAATTCAATGTTACAATGTTGCCATAGAAGAGGAAAGTCTAAACAGCATTTTAACTTCATTTCAGATTTATGCAGCTATATGCAAGACAGGCTTCTACAGTACACTGACAATGTTCAAACGCTGAAATTATCAATATGGCATATTTTTTTCAATTAAATTAATTGTATATTTGTGCAGCTCTAAATCACAACAGCAGACGAGGACTTCAATTCCTCAACAACAGATCAAAGAATCAAACAGTTCGAACACAGGAAAATACAATAACAACAAACATCAATTGGTCCATGTGTCCAGGAAGCAGGATTACCATTGTCCATAAATGTTAACAAATGCCCCTGATCATCACTGTCCCTAGACCCTCCTGCATCAGCAAGGAACAACAACAACAAACACAAAACAGCATGGGAAAAAAAGTGAGAAACCTCTTTGAGAGAGAGATCACTCCCACGGATGGACAGTTTAAGACTCAGGCTGTAGAACAAGGTTTGAGGCTGTACAGTGCAGGACTGAAGGGACTATTTTTGTTTGAGAGTTATTTTTTTATATTTTTGTAACAGACATGTCCAGGGACGATGTACAACTGTTTTGAAAAGATTCAGGCAGTTCTATGCTTTACATTAGGCATGTCTCTTTGAATCATATTTGGCTAAATAAAAACTGTCTTACTAGAGGCTTGAGAGCCATATGTGAATGCGTGCCATAATCACAAATTCATGTCAAACCAGATTGAGGAAGTTTTGTGCTTTGTAGTTGATCATAAGCAAAAACTTACAACTAGAAAGATAATAGCGGTGAGGTGGTTACGTTTTCACAGCATTTAAAAAGACATAAATCCAGGAATTCCACATCATTAGGCGGTTGCAGCACATGCCAAAGTGTGGCCCTACTGTACAATGCCCCATTCAAGGCAGTAAATGTCCAGTCCCTCTGTGGTCCCGCCTTTGTCCGTCAAGTGTATTGTCCATTATGTGACGTTCTGGTGACAAATGTTTGGCTCCGTTTCCGTGACAACTCAAGGCACATGAGTGAACAATACATCCATCGGGAATTTCGACCATGATTTATGATACAGAGCACAACATCCAGCACTACTGTAGAGTTGAGGTTCTGGCAACATATCTAACTGCAATATTACTGATCGAACTTGCAATGGCCATGTTGATTTTCTATGTAAATATGTGTTCAAACCGTTTCTCATTTTCTGATATGTTGTTGGCGAATCGACAAGTTTGAAAAGTCCTCTGAGACTACCGTTGTTGTGATTTAGGGCTACACAAAAATACATTGAATATATTTGATTTACATTTTTTAATTTGAAATCTCTCACCTCAAATTCATCTTTCATTCAAACTCTTTGGCATTTTGACCAACAGAATTTCGGTGTCAAAAATTGCATCTTAAAATCAGCTGATACACATTCCTTTCACGATCTTTATTACATTCATTTACATTCATGTCCAGACCAGGTGAGAAACTGTTGTTGCGCCCTTTGTATAAAAACAAAAAGTGGAATCAAGGTCCCAGAGGTGAGACGCTGATAGACCACTGTTTCCTATTGACACAACAGAAAGTGACCGCGGAACTCTGCCGCAGCATTTATAATTCATGTGTTTGGAAGAGTTCTTACCTGAAGTGGGTCTTTAAATAACTTCATTGGTCCAAATTGCACCTCGGTTAATGTGGTCTGCAACAGAAGAGAGACACAGCTCAGTATATTGTACACAGCTCAGGATGGGAACAAACTGGCAAAAGCAGAAACCATTTTACATGAAGGAAAAATAAGGAGAAAAAGAAAACAGAAATTCCATTAAATATATTTTTGTGTAACTTTAAATCACAACAGCAGTCGTCTCGGAGGACTTCACCAAGTTGTTGATTTGCCAATATCAGATCAGATAATCAAACAGTCTGAACACAGGAAATGCAATCATAACACACTGGTCCAATAGGGAGCGGGATGACCACTGTCCACGAATGTTAATAAATCTCAGTAAATGTCCCGGATGATCACTGTCCTACGACCTTCCTGCATCAACAAGGATAAGAAAGAAAGAGACCTAGGGGAAGCCCACTTTGAAAGAGGGATCTACAGGGATAGACCGGCTGTAGACCCAGGACTCAAGCTGTAGAATGAGGACTGAGGCTAAGATACAGTATGATTCAATTATTTAAGGATCGTCTATGAATCAAACTAGAATAAAACCACATATTTTACTAAAAACATTTTTCACATCTAAAGTATAAACCTGTGGAATGAATAAAGATAGTTTTCTCTTAAAATGCTGAATTTGAAAAAAAAACAAAAACATAAATGAATGTGTTATACTGGAAGCATTTGTGGCAGCGATAGATCAAAATAATCTTTACAACATTTCCAACGTATTCAACTCAAACTGACAAATGACTACTACGGACATATGGCTGGGTTATATGGGTTAATTTTGTTAACAGTGCCTAGTTCACATGTGATGAGCTCGGAGTAGAGCCGCTTCATCTCCACATCTAGAGGAGACAGCTGAGGTGGCCTGGGCATTTCTTTAGGTTGCCGAATGGGAGCCTTCGGGTTTGTCTAAGGGGAGAAGACCCGGCAACGGATAAAGTGGAAGAAAGAGGATGAAAGGACATATTAAATCTGGACGACACTAAAACACACCAACAGAATATTAAATACATAAATCCTGTAATTCTCTTGTCATTCCACCAAAAGTCTCGTTTGGAGTAGACTCGTTACCATAGTGATAATGATAGAAACAATAATATATAAGGCTTTTCTCAATTCTGATATAGTTCAAGATGATTCAATGAAATATTCAAGACTTGCACTTGTTGTCGTTTTAATATTAGTTTTATTTTTGTTTATTGCTCAAATAACTTCAGTTGAGTCTGTTCATTGCCATTCACCCGTCTGTTTCATGGCGTGATGAGGGGACCCCTGAACCCGGCCTCTTTTATCTGCATCTGTGGACTGGTCTCCCCCCGCCCAGACTCATGGCCAACTCTCCATATCTGAAACTTTAGTAAATATCATAATGAATCTAATTAATAAATAAATCACTAATCACAAATATAGTTGCAATCACAAAGCCAAAAACCCCAGTCAGATATTTCTTTCAAAGCGGTTGCTGATATGAGGTAAACGGCGGCGGCTTCTGGAGGTGTTGCACTTCCTCCACACAGTTCACTCAAATGTCTGTCGGCCAGTAACACATCCTCTTCCTGTAGAGAGGGACCAAGCTCAGAACTCGTCTCCTCGGAAACCAGCCCCACGCGGACGCCATCCCAAAAGAGCTGCTCTCAACACGTGAGGGAAAACTGGAACCAATAAACAAATATCAATCTAATCCTCAGAATCTAGAAGAACATTTAGGGTCAGCAGATTGGCCCAGTTGGATGAAGCCAATAAAAAAACATCGGCCACAAAAAGGTGAAATCCTGTGGTCCCCAAACCGGACTCTCTCTGGCTGCGGCAAGAAATGATATAATTTCTATACTGCATAGAGAACAATGTGTACACAGGGCAATCCAAAGTGCTTCACGAAACATTTAAAAACAAAACATTTTAAAGTAATAGTTTACACAATAATTATAACATTTTATATAAACGTGTGGCACCACCTGTAATTAAAAACCAGATCCTGTCAGATCTCTAAAGCTAAGCAGGGTAGGGCCTGGTTAGGACTGTGACGGGAGACCTCTGGGAGCACCAGGTGCCACAGGAAGATGGCTGATCTGTCAGTGAAAGCATAGCCTTGATCTTTCAGCAGGGTCTTCAGGCAAAGTGGGGTTAAGTGTCTTGCCAAAGACAAAACGACAGCAGACAGTGGGAGTCGGTGGAGAAGGTCTTGAACCCACAACCTTTAGGCTCAAAGGCCAATGCTCTACCAACTGATTTATTGTTATTATCATCATTATTATTATTCAAAACACCACAAAACTAAAAACTAAACTAAAACTAAAAAATCTCATTAGATGAAAAACCCTGAAAAAATATAAAATTAAATACCTTTACTTGGGTATATTATGAATATTCAATGAAAAGAACTAAAATAATTCATGCTGTGTTTATAGATATTTAAAGTTATAGTATTTAAAGTATGTCAGAATTCTATTAAGATTTTCTTAATTGTGTGGGGTGTGTATGAGGTTATCGCTTCATTTTTTTTTTTAAACCACATTGCAATTGCAGTGTTGGTCAGAAATATCTTGCAGCGCTAACACTGAGAAACCCTAACTTGAGCAGAAGTGGAATAATGACCAGAAAGTCTCATTGATGACTTAATGGTATGCTGCTTGGAACCTTGGGGGCCAGCAATACAGTGCCTTATTTATTGCAACTCAAATATTTTCCAGACCTGATGGGGCCAAAAACCAGACAGAATAGATAAAAGAGGAGAAAAGAAGAGGTTAATTGTGTGTGGGCTGTGAGCATTGACGTCACAACAACACGAGGACTGTATGAGTAGATCATATGATTCAAAAGAGTGAAATATACAGAGCTGATGCTTTTAGTGGTTCCAGAGCTCAAGCCAATCTGAAGACTATATAATAACTATGTAAACGTTCTAGACTTAGAAGAAATTATTAATGGTGTGAGTCAGGCTTCTAATGTGGACAATAGAATATGAATATGAATAAAAATATATTTAGCCCGGCCCCAGCCAGAGCGGGCGGGAGAGATGTGAGGGAGGGTGTTACGAAGAACTTTTGTGGTAGGGAAAACTGGAGCACCCAGAGAAAACCTACGCAGACATGGGGAGAAGATGCAAACTCCACACAAAAAATGATCTGGAGGTGGAATCGAACCCTTGCTGTCACTAACCACTGCACCCGTTCTGCCCCTTTTGAATCATTATCAAAAAGTATAGCCACATGGGTAGCTGGGGTGGCATTTGACAATTTTATGAACATTGCAGAAGAAAAGTGTCTAATTTCCGAGCGCAAGAGAAAGCATCTTTGTGGAGGGCGCTGCTTTTCATTGGTTGAGCTGACGTAGCCGTCTCATGTGTGCTCCACCAAAACACAGCGCAGATTTTATCCAGACCATAGACTGTATATTAGGAGTGGGCGGAGGGAGTGCTGACATCACTCAACACAGAAGAGGATGTTTAGATCTCGCTCAAACCGGCTTTTTGAGGGGGAATGTGGAGTCCTACAACTTCAGATCTATAACTTGCATGTAAAAGTGAATCATTGTAGATATGTTATCAAAGCAGTTGTTTCATAAAGTTTTCAATAAGACAGGAAAAATTGAGGTTGATGCAAATGGGGGAGTGAATAAGGATCACTGTCCATAGTCTTTGAACATATGTCTTCAGCCCCCTGCTCTGACCCTGCATCCTGCCCTGGGCGTCCGCGGCTTCACACATTTACACTTCTCTTTCAGTCCTTTTGACTCTCACTCTCAGCACTCGCCTCCTAAACCTTGGCGTCAAAGTAAAAAACAGGAAATTGAATGACATTGTTCATTGGGCTCACGTCAGCACCGACAGATAGAAGGAATAAACTACTTCCTCCAGGATCACAGCTGAGAATCCTGGGATACCTGCTCCTCGCCTCGGGTACAGTCACATGTGTTTACAAGAAAGTTGGGCAGATGGAACTAAAGTGAACATTCAGACATAAGGACTGAAATATCTATTACATTTCAATTCCATTTATTCTAGCCCTAAATCACAACAGTAGTTATCTCAGAGGACTTTACAAAACCTTTGAATTTGCCAACACAGATCAGAGAATCAAACAGTTAAAAGGAATAAGGAACAACTCTAGAACCCAGTGGAAAAAGGTGAGAAACCTTCGGGAGGTCCACATTGAGAGAGGGATCTGCTCCCACGGACAGACTGGCTATAGAATACAGTGTCTGTGTGGTCATCCTCCCACCAGCCATACTTGAATCCTCCCTACAACACCTGTGTCTGTGCTCATCAGCATCACAGTATCCGGCTGCATTTAAACAGTGCCTCTCACTCCTCTGCATTGCCACCTTATTGGCAGAAGTATCCATCTATACTGGTTCTGGTTTCGAGCTGAGGACTGCCTGGTAACGCAGTGGTTAGCGCTTGTGCTTCACAGCAAGAAGCTCCAGGCCTTTCTGTGTTTGCATGTTCTTTCCGTGTCTCCATCTGCATCCTCCGAGTGCTCCGGTTATCTCTATAACTAAAAACATGTACATTTACTCACCTCTCTCTGGGGCCAGGACTTCACTGAAAAAATGATTCTGCAATCTCAACCTAAAATAAATAATATCATGTTTCTTTTCATCGGCTCAGCTTCCACCACCACAGTCTCTGCACGATCGTAATCTCTGTTCTATTTCCTCCTGCAGACGTCATCCCATATTTTGCTGGGGTCTAATTGCCAAAACATATCAAATAATTCATGATCCAAAATGCACAAAATAATTTACAACCACATCATGGCTGTTGGGTCAAAGTGTCTAATCAATAAACTTCATGCAGACATAGCTCAAAAAACAGCAGTGCCCTCATAAATGTATTCATTTTCTTCTGCTTTGTCCGTTGCCGGGTTGCAGTACAATGTTACTATATGACACCTACTGTCGAAACAGCAAGGAACAGGCGCTTTACTCCGAGCTGCTGCCATGTGACTGAGATCCAACCGGTCCAAATGAGAATAAATAATTCAAATTGTTGATAGTAATAAGGATGCATTCACCCTTGTCCA